TACGGCGCAGCGATACTAGACGCTACTTTTCCTTAGAGCGTTCCTGTTTTTCTTTCCTTCCCACTTCTATCGCATGCACTTGTTGTTTTTTCTTCTTCTTTCGCTCATGCGAAGCACTGGCCTCAAGTCAGGCCCGCTCATATGCCGAAATACAACCGTGATTTTCAACATTGATTTATTCATTCCTGGGCTTCACCTTATTGACAGACCAGGAGGGTCAGAGTCTACTCCGGGTCATAATATCTGTAAGTGAATGAGATCATACCCACTCCGTCTACATACTTGTAAAACCCTGAGCGCAGACCCGTATCTGATGACGTCTGTACTCCTTTCATAGCGCCCGCCTTTGACCCAGACCATCGAGGTTTAATATAATTCTACTATACTTGCGTCATCCCCGACCTCATGCTCCCATGAAGTCATCGATAATTCTGCCTCGGTCTCGGATGAACGTGGAAGGGGCTCACACTACGACGAGCACTATCTTTTCCGAGGACTTCCGTTGAGGATACTACGTACAAAGTAACGGTGCGTGCCTTCCGACTCCGACTTCTCTGTTTCTCACTTCTTTTTTCCGCACTGCTTGTCTATCCTTCCTCTCATCCGCGCGAACAGATAGTCGCCTCCAACCAGTCCCGTTCCCTGAGAGCCGACATACAACCGTGACCATTCTCATTGGCTGGTTTGGTGCGTGACCTTAGGGAACATTTGCGTCAGGGACTACGCCTACTTCTAGCTTTTCCTACTTTGTCTTTGTGGGTAAAACGTACAGCTGTGTACAACCCCAGCATATGTTCATGAATGCCGTCGTTGGCCGGGGCAGATTCCAGATTGTCCATCCAGAGACGCTTTCGCGTTGGCGATCAAGTCGTGGCCCCGACTCGTGGGTATCCCGGATTGGCCCAAAAGCGTCCTGTTCCAATTCAGGACACCTCCTTCTTTTCATCCACAGTTTTAATGCTCAAGCGAAGGGCCAATCAAAAACCGTTGTAAGTCAACACGACACGTAGCCGTGACACTGCAATTTTTCTGTTCAATCTATGTTTAGAAGGCTCCATCTAATCATCGAATGTCTGAAAGCCTACTTCGAGTCATTTTTATTCATCAGTGAGTCATATCCACTCGCTCCACCTCATCTGCAGTACTTATTTCTTACTTTGATAAGGCGAGCGAGGATCAAATACGTGCATGGTAGCTTTCCCTTCGCATCTAGGCCAGCCAAAGGTCGTCGTGATAGTCTCTGCTGCATGATACACCCTTCCTTACGCTCTGGTGCTCTCATGAAGTCATCGACACCTAGTTCTGCCTTAGCTTCGGATGAATCTAGACATGGACCATGCTACCCCCAGTACCATGGACGTTTCCATCGATGCTCTTTGTCGACGACGTTGAGGGGTACATACGATCCTACTGGATTTCCCTATTTCTGGATTTCTCCCCTCCCATGGTCGCTTCTATGTTTTTTTTTCTTCTTCTGACGAATGAGTCGTATCCTATTCCTCACAAACGGCGCGATACAGGACTACACTCGTTCTAATTGGCCAGTTCGGAGCGTCCAAGCAGAGATTCTCTGTTCTTGACGACGTCGAGGGTCCCGCATAACGACAATATACCCGACTTATATGTATATTGTCTCAACCTCGAGCCAGCTTCGTTGCCTAGTTTATGTTATGCTTAGGCTCCGATCTGTCGCTGTGTAGAAAATTAAAGAGTCTGCTTCGAGTCATTTCCTGTGAGTGACTTCTAGCATGGCCACTAAGTATCGCCACACTCTGTCGCATCCAATAAGACTCGATCTAGGTTGCCTCAAAGCAATGCATTTTAAATCGCATACACTCTTAGAGTCGGGCCCTTATACTCGCCATCGACACCTCGTTCCTCCTCAACCTCGGATGAATCTGGAATGCGACTACACCGTGACGAGGAACTCTTGATGATCCAGAGGACACACAGGACGCACCTATATGCTGTTCATCAACGACGACGTAGAGGGTACCGTTTCAACGCGTGCTTCGCTTCCCCTGTCCCAAGGTACGCTTCTGCATACGTGTATGTGTTTTTTCTTTGCTCTTGCGTCCGACTTCTGGTATTTCCATGCTCCACTTCATCCCTACATCCCTACATACGTGCTAAGCGACGCGAAAACAAAAGTCGTACGCAGTTCTCTCTTCTCTCTTCTCATGTCTTCATGTCCCATGCTCTCATGTCTTCCGACATGTGCACATGTCCTGTGCTACGAATCGGGGGTGCGGACGCATCGTGACCTCGAATGAGTATACTCCTCTGATACCCAGGGGTCAGCACTCGAGCCTTCCTCACTTCTCTCCCTTGCCGACGGTAGACGGTCGCGCATCTCATCCCATCCCATCCCTCTTTGCCTGCCTTCCTGCCTGCATGTATGTCGAAGCAAGTCGAAGCCGGCGGATGGTAAAATGTAAGTATAGCCATATCAGTCCTCTCAGTCGTTCATGAACCTCGGAACCTCGGAGACACCTCCTTCTCACTTCCCAATTCTCAAGATCTCACTTCTCACTGCTCACTTACCGTCCGTCCATCATGCATCTGGTCCGGTCTGAGTCTGCTCTAGGTAATTGGAACCGTGATCTACTGAACACGCGGACATCGACACGCTCAAGCTTACCTTCTCGGATCGACTTCATTTCGACCCAACCTGTCTTTAATACACAGTACTTTGCTTGCGTTGAGTGGAATGCTATTCTCGGATCAGTCTGCCGCGGCTACATACAATGCACAGTAGGCAACTCTTCCGAAGTGAATGACTGGACGAGTGAATAGGTGCTTCTCCATCTACCTTGTGGCGTCGGGGTTCTTCTGTGCAGGTCCCTCTGAGTCTTCGGGTCCCACTCCACATTTCGCGAGTCACACGCGCACCGGCATACTATTCATAGGACTTATGAGTCTATGCGGTCGATTTCTAGTGCGGTCGACTGACTGCGATCACTGTATGCGGCGATACTCGTTCTCAACACAGTAAGTACTTAGTACGGAGAGAGGAGGGTGAGCAGGGAGTGGGAGGTTTCTTCGGTCCGAGTGGTTTTACTGATTCAGTACTAGTGGTCTACGACTTCAATTTATTATAAGGACACGGATATCCTTTCTGGGACACATATCCGCCGTTTCCAGTGAGAGTACTCGACGTTTTTCGATCAGCTGCAGGGTTTGGTCACGAAGGCACTGGTAAGTATGTCAGTATGTCTCACAAAGTTACTGCGGCTAATACTTATGGGGTTGCGGGTCCAGACTTCGAGTTTTTTCTATTGTGTCTTAGTTCGATGTTTATTTTTTCTCTCTCTCTTTCAAGTTGCTGCGATCGTTCTCGTCTATAGTTGCATACAGCAAACGAGCATCGGCACTTTTGTCTCTTATAAAGGAGTGATGTCAGTTCCAGAAAAAAATGCCTCTTTAGACGGACGGCTTACTCGATTCGGAAGCAAAGTGGTTCTGCGTCAACGTTGAGGCGGATTCAGATTTATCTTTTCCTCTTTTTTTTTCTTAATATATGTCTTTCCCTCCTGTGAGCGACCTGTTAGTAACCACTTGGCTCCGGTTGATGACGCGTGACGACTTGGCCCCTGTTGGGGACTTAGTGATCACTTCGGTATCTTGCAGCCGGTGTAACCTCAGGCTATTCGTGCGGATGCTGGACCGAGTCAACGTTGAAGCAGTCCATTGACATTCAGCAAACAGATCATTCGGCAAGAACACCGCAGAGCAAATCCTCGCGAGCACCGTTTCTATATCTTCCAGTTCGAAACGCAGCGAATCTATAGTACAACGATCACGATGAGGGGTGGATTCCTTTGGGGGACAGTAGCTGGTCGGTATGTTTCGAACGGCCTGTAATAGGTCAATTGAGTATAGGGTATTATAGAGCTATAAGTGCTCTACTTTATACCTACTACAGCAATAATACTCATTCAAGAGGAAGCCAGGGGAAGTTTGGAGTGCGAGAAGAAGTCGAAGCTCGGTATAGGCACTCGAATTAGAAACCTGCCATGGCCAGTGGGGACACATGTGATGCGCATTGGAGCAACGAAGTCGTAACAAAACAAAGGGGCGAGTCTCCATCTCCTGCGTTTGGAGAGTCAAGTTCCATAGAGTCGAGAACATGGTCAAGATGCTCGTGCCCTCAGAATGCAAAGGCCTTTTGGGGAGAGGGAGCGCCGCTTTGATTGGCTGCGGAGGAGCAGGGCGGTGTGGTCGCGACGGAGGGACTGAATAGGAAGAAGAGGCACGAATACGATACTGCGATGACCGACCCGCGAACTCGAAAAAAACAGTCGACGATCTCACCGTCATCGTGCATACATCGGGCGCAGTGCTGATCCCGCCCTCGAATGAACCCCGGCAGATCTGGGGAAAGATTCGGCGACGAGATTGATAAATGTCGGAACGGCATCGAGTGTCTGAACCATTTTGTGAAGGCCGTCATGAGAGGGAAGACCGCGATGAATGGGATTCTGAAAAATCCGAGTATGATGGACGGCGTTTTCATGAGCTGTGATGAGTAGGATCGACGTAGTTCAGTTTGACGTTGTTCATGATGGGCAGCTGACCTCTGATCGTGGAAATAGACTGGGCCAGGGTGGCCTAATGGAGATGGTGAAGGCCAAGAATGATGAACGACGCGAGTGAGACGGCCTCGATTTCTAGCCTTGCACTCGTCCTTTGTTCCTCGTTCTTGGTGTGGCGCGGGCGTTGTGGCGTTTGCGATTGCGAGATCTGCGGCATGTCGCGCGTGCAGAGGGCAAAACGTAGAGGAGAGACACTGCCTGGACCGTGCGGGGGACTGATTGCCGGTGGCTTGGCGGGGACTGATCGTTCGAGGCCGGGAGATAACCGAGAAGATCTCGAACTTCTTCGTCATGAAAAGACGTGCGCGGACTCTTGTTGGCCCCTCTCATTGGCCCCTCGTTATATACCCTCCCATCCCTCCCTCAATTCCTCATCCCATCCCCATCCCCGTCTCTCCAGCTCCCGTTCCCTGCTGCCTTTTCTTCTCTTTTCCTCTTGTACCACCATCCCCATGCCGTCCTTCAAAAGCCTCAAGGCCGCGCCCGTTCCAAAGGCAGCCCGCGTCGCCACCCAAGACGCTTCAACATCACCGACACGTCCAGCTTCGTCGTCTCGCAGTAGCTCTTTCTCGTGGGGCTTCGGCTCGTCGGGCAAGGGCAAGTCGAAGGACAAAGCACTGACGCGCTCAAAGAGCGAGGAAGACATGTGCCACTTTTCCCTCGTCGCTCCAGGTCCATACAATCCCAATCCCGCTGCGCTCCCTCCGCGAGGTATCCTCCGCAACCCACGCAGATCCTCCCTTCCAGATATCCCCGTCCCTGCCTCCCGTCCACGCATCCGTTTCCTCTCCCTTTCTCTCCATGGTAATGACGAAGACGAGGAAGCTGCGAGGGTCGCCGCCAACGAGCTGCCCGAGTTCCCGATGTTCCCAAAAATACACTACCGTTGGTTGCTTCGCCGGATAGATCGTCTGCTCCAGATCCCCTTCGACGATCTCCGCCTCGACGAATATCTCAACATGAAGAAGGTACAGGACATCTACATGCGCGACATCAACGACTGTGGCTTCCGCGAGTACGTGCGGGACCACGTCGCGCCCGTTGGCGGCCTCGGTGATGAAGACACGCGTACGTTTTTGCCATCCCTTGATCATCTCCCTTTTTCATATGTCTATCTGTGTTTCATCCCTTTGTTGTCCCGGAATCGCCATGCTTACCGCTCGTTATCTTTCCCGCATACAGACGTCCTTGGCGTCTCGCTTCGTCATGTCTCCCTCTACGCGTCCAATATCGCCCTCCTTGGCGGCTACAGACACGAACTCCCGATCGTCGTCCGCGCCTGCGTCCAGGAGCTCTCCCTCTCTCGTAAGTCCCGTTCATTTTGCACCTTAACGCCCAACCTTAAACGCCTTCCGAAACTCCGAATCACCACCACCACTACACTCTAATCCACCTTTAACTCACGGCTATCCCCATATACCACGTCTCCGTTTCACACACTGATGCACGTCTATCTCGTCCATAGACCGCATCCGGCAAGCCTCCCTCCTTCTCCGTGAACCCTCCCCCGAAACGCTCTCCGCCACTCAACCCCTCATCTCCATCTTCAACAACGGCCCCACCTTCGGTCTCAACACCCCCCTCTCCTCCACCCCAACTCCCCTCCTCACCACCCTCCTCCGTAAATTCATCGTCTCGCTCCCACAACCCCTCATGCCCTCTTCTCTCCGCGACGCCTTCTGGTCCTTATGCGTCGAGCCGTCATTGTGGTTGGAAGCGGAGGTAGACCCAAGAGAGGGAAAGAGGCTGCAGATCGCGGTCGCGCAGGGTTTGTTGAGGTTGATGCCGACGTTCGAGTTTAGCTTGATGAGTTATCTGTGTGCGTTCTTCGCGAGGCTGTGTGCGCAGCCGGAGTCGGGGGTGTCGATCCATGAGGTCGGGAGGGTCTTTGGGGATGCGTTCTTCGCCAAGGCGGGGAGTGGGAGTGGGATTGTTGGTGGGAAGAGCGGGAGGGAGAAGGCGGGGAGGATTATGGTGTGGATATTGCAGAGGTGGGAGATGATTGCCGATGGGCTGTTTGGGGACGAGAAGGAGCTTTGCAGTGGGGATGAGGATATTTGGGGACGCAACCCGCCGAGGGTGAATAGCTGGGATGTGGATGACGAGGATGAGGAGGAGGATGAGGTGGATGAGGTGGCGATGGTGAGGAGGAAGGCGTATAGGAGATTGGATTTGAAGGCGGCGATCGCGAAGGGCTGAGTGCGGAGCGAGGGAGGAAGTGGAGGGTGTGTCGTCCATGGTGATATTGATGATCGATGATGATCGGTGGTGACGAGTTAGGGTTTTGATTCAAGGTTCGTGCTCATTCCTTTCCTATTGTCTACCCAACGCTGACCTTCTTCCGTCGTCCGCAGTGTATATGTTTATCTTCCGAACCGTCAGTTGGACTCCACTAAACGTGGATGGAAAAGTCATCTTTGTACGTCCTTTCCCTTTCGAGCTACCTACTCTTTATCTCATCAGCCTCTGCTTCTCGCAGCCGCCCTATAATCGACGAACAAAGCTCGCTGTCTATTACAATGACACGACGCTCTTCTCTTGGGAGCCGGTGCTGGGCATCATCCGCTCCTCCCTCCCTTCCTCTCTACACCCTCGCAGCTCAACTCTGCCTTCCTCCCTTCCTCCCTCTCTCTCCTCCTCCTCGCTCAAAACAAAACGCCCCTTTTAATACTCGCCACGGGCTGGAAATTATGGACATATATATAGATTATATGCGATTCTCCCTGGATTTCTTTTCTTCCCTTTCCTTCTGCCCTCGTCATGCTTCTCTTGGTCGTGGTCTTATGGTCATGCGTTCCTTTGGGTCGGTTGTTCGTAGAAGTTACGGTTACAGTCCATGCTGCACATTCCATTCCTTTGTTACATTCCTTTTCTTTTCTCTCCTCATCTCTCTCTCGACGACTCGAATCGTGAATCGTTCTGGACCTCGGATAGACTTTTTCCCCTTTTCTTGTTTGAGTGCTGTATTATCGTTTAGATTCTGGTTTTTTTTTCTTTTGGGGGTTATACGTATACTTAGATAGATAGATAGATAGATCTCACGTTTCCTCGTCTCTCGTCTCTCGAACCTCATCTCCTCGCACAGTACTGTCGCATTAGTCCGTTCTCGTCCTCCATCACGATATTTCAGATACTCTAGATTCCGCATACATCTCTCCGCCTCTCTGTTCTCCACACTCGCCTCTTCGCTCTCTCGCTCTCCCAGTCCGGATTCCTCTCCGCCCACTCACCCTTACCTCTGTATATATATTCTCTCGATCTCGATCTCTCCTGACGCGCTTTGTAGCCGACTCATACTCACACTCGTTCCAGGTTTCCTTACCTCTTTTCCTTGCCTCGCTTCGGGCTCGTTTATGTTGTTTTTATCTCTCTCCCTTTTGTTCTCCGACTTTTGCTACCTACCTTTGCGAGTCCTATGTTTATCCTTTTCGCCTTTTTATCCTCTCTCTCTCTCGCTACTGGGTATTGCGATTGTTATTTGATGTTATTAGTGCCCCTTTTGTTCTTTGTTCTTCGAGGTCGTACATACATAGATGGTACTAGTCTGTCTGTCTGTCTGTTCATTTGTTTGCTCGTCGTTGTCGTCGTTGCCAATACTTTTTATACGATACAATATTCGGGATTTTATCCTGTCCTGTCCTGTCCTGCCTGCCCTCCCACCCTCGTCTCGGTTGAGTCCGATTCGCACATTCACCCTCACCCTCACCTGTTTGTTGTTACCCCTGCTGTTGTGCATATATCGTACATATCATGGTACATATATGCATATGCGCTACCTTTCCCCTTTACCCCTCCCCCTCCCACCTGCACCCTCCCCGTTCCGCCACATCGCTTTCGAGTACTTACCCGCTCTCCGCTCTCCGCTCTCCGCTCTTAGCTCTTAGCTCTTAGTTATCCGTAGAACGTTCAGGACCTCCTTCTCGTACTTAGATAGATCTCCTAGACAGATGTGGAATGATACGTATGCTATGATGTGACCGTAGAACGGTAGATTTGGATATCGAGTGTCCTTCGAGGATTGAGAAACAGTGTGTAACGTACGTTATAACTCGAAAGTGCAAGGTGAACCGTCAGGTGTTATAGAGAGGACATACCAGAGGCTTTGTTATACGAATGCGGCGCAGTCAGTGCTGTATATGTGCATAGACGACTCGACAGATCGCAGATGTAGGTTACTGTAGTATTCATAGGTGAAGACAGCGACGAACACGAAGCGCGTTGTGGCTTCTTTCTGTGAGGACCTGACCCGCTTCCTACAGCTGCAGGGCGGGGTCGTCTGGATGCAGATGTCAATGTTTTGTCCGTCCATCCATCCATGGCCCATGGCCAGATGAGTCGACAAAAGAAATGTTTGGCTCTGTTCTGTTCAGATCACAAGAGACATTTCGAGTGCTCGAGACTCGAAGGTTGCCTCGAGATGAAGATCAGCAGTAGGTATGGAAGTACGGAAGACTGGCCATTGCAACCGTACATGCTCTCGAACACGCCCCGTCTGCCTTTGTTCGCGTCCAGATGAGTCGACAAAAGGCTTTGTCTTCTCTAGCCTCCCTCTCAAGGATCTGAGTCGCGGAATGATTCATAGTTCATGAAAAGGGTCCATGTTCAACGTGGTTACGATTATGATCACTGTGATCATGATGGCATGGATGGACCTTTCGTCGGCACCGGTGGACCATTGATACGACACGACACGACATGAACGTGGTGCAGATTAATATTGAGATTGAGTATAACATATAGCATATCTCGGGTCCTTCCTTGCAATTGGAGGTTGGATATGATCGTACTTATGACACACCGAAACACCGACACACAACGACACACGAGCGTGGTGTTCGCCGTTCGGCACCGATTGTTAACTTTTAAGCACTTACATATGTAGGACATGCACGCACGCACGCACGCAGCTGATTCAGAGCCTCGTGCGTTGCGTGTGTGTGGATGGGTTTTAGAATGGGCGGGGGCGGACCGTGAGTGCGACGGTGTGTAGATGGTGTCAATGGCTCTGGAAGGCCCGCGAGAGGGTGTCGGGAATTTGGAGGGGTTAAAACGGACCGGTCAAAGTCAAAGCGTTTCAGATCAGGTCAATCCACCTCAGACGTGGGCCTGAATCATGACGGACAGAGCACCTGGACATAAGGCTCATGCGTGCATGCGTAAAGCTGGACGAGAGAGGGGCCTGAACGAGATCCGAGGGTTGAGACTATTCAGCACAGAGCATCACGGTTACAGTATGGATACACCCAAAGGAATAGACTTTGGAGGCACTGGATCCTGGGAGTGGAGGGACGCGAATCCACGCTCAGAGCCTCGTGGAAGGCGAATGATTGCCATCGTGTGTAACAGGGCCGTGCATAAAACACGTTCTTATTGGATTACCTGCATGATTATCCAGAATCCCAAGTTTCGAAAGGTGAACATACATTGGAATGGGTATGTATCATCGAGCCCCACAGAGGGCGACCACCAGTAAAGCAGGACCAGTCCTTTTGCACAGACATGGCTGGGAAATAGGGCAAGGAACGCGCGTTACGAGGCGTTGGTATTGTCTTTTAGTCCAGAGCTCGATTCTTCCACGCTCGGGGGAGGAATTGACCAAGACGAATCTAGATGTGGCGGTTCCTAGCTATAGTAGAGCACAGCAGCCTGAGGTAAGGAAACATTCGAGGCCTTACGGTCAACGTTCCGATTTCTGGTGACTTGGAGACCCTGGAGCGCTGAGCCTCGAAGTTCGTAGACCTGGAATGGACTTAGACTCGGAGGCCTCGCTTTCGCTGAGTCGGAGAACACTGCGGTGCACGGGCCTATGGGTAGAGATGTCCTCGAACGTAACGTCGATAGAGTCTCCAATACCTTCGAATGAGGCGCTCTGAAAGTCTAGAGTTTTGAGGACTAAGCGGAACCTGAGGTGTGGAGATAGCAAGGAGATGGGGAATTTCTTTCCAGTTTTTTGCCAAAAAGGCACAGATGGAAGCAGATGATATGTCGAGCAGATCGTTTGTGGGTCCATTTGTGGGGTCCAGGAGAATCATTGAGCAAAGAGGATCCGCGGCAGCGAGCTGCGACGATTTTTTTTGTTGTTTGTACCATTTGCATTCGGAGGGTGGCGGCCAATCAGGTGATGGCACTGCGGAGCCGAAGGACACGAGCCACACGAGCCTACTTCCTTCCAACCACGACCCTCCCATGAGCCTCACGACCTCGACATCGATAATAACGGTATGTGTGCGCATCGTGAGTGTAGAACATATCGCCGTATTCAAAGTGGTGGTCTTGGCTTTGGAGCTCAGTCTTGAATTACTTGTCTACTGCTCTCGGTGTCGACTTATAGTATCATCTTTCTGGCAACGACGAGTCCATGTCAGTCTATCCTAGAGAATGTTACCATTGGTAGCAAACCGAAGTTGATATCACCCACTGTCAGAGTGATCTTCGTCCTACTGCGCTGCCGAGCTCTCGGACAGTCTCCGAGTCAACTTTTCTGTCGTCCACTTCGTACCTACTGCTGCATAATGCTGTCTCCGACGTGCTAGCATATGCATTCCCTAGTGATTCTACTTCATAGTATGCAGATGTCCGATCTCCCTCCTTTACTTGCACTTCTAGAACCAGGGCCTTCAGTTCGTTGGCCTCCGACTACGTGCAATTTTTGCATCAGACTACGAGACAATTCACTTTGGTCTTTCAGATACCGTTAGTAATATTAGGCTTGCTACATCCGTTCGATAGTCCGTGAGTCCATCGCATTATTGAGTACTTCACTTCATTTTGTTCTCTTCCGTGCATTCAGCTGGTGACGGGATAAACACCTCATGCACACCCTCAGATAATAGATTCGGGAGGCCTTCATCTGGCCTTCAGCTTCGTCTAGACGTTCACAAATAATGCCCCCCCCTCCCTTTCGCGAACATCAGCTCAAAAAATCGGATCGCTTTATTCAAGCACTAAGCATTTCCGAACACGATCGCGCCTGGACTCACTGCACCATTTTACATTTTGCTTCTCTCTTATAAGTTACGAGCTTTCTGAAAGGAAAAGATAATAACGCCCCCCCCCCTCGAGTCCGTCTCCAGTTCTTGGTCTTACGATGATCGCGTCGGCAGCTGGCACACCCATTGCTAATGAGTTGTCAATGCTCTTAGATGGTGAGCACCCTCGATCATTCTACGTATCACCTTTAACCCAAACCGTGCGCTTCGTGGCCTTTCTTGAGGCAGACACATTATTTTGATCGCTGGAAAGTAAGTGAACCGTGATACTTTAGCCCTGGATCTGACACTGACTGACACTGACACGCAAATTATGACTTGTTTTACTCATATCCGCAGGAGGTCGACCCACCGGCTTTTCAACTATTCAACCTCAGCTTCATTCAAGTTCCCGCTCCCATTTGATCATCCCACTTACGCAGCTTCGTGCAAGTCTGACTTATCGAGGCGCTCGGAGCATAACGAGGTGGTACTGCGGCCTACATATGCCTGCAGTACATGATATCGATAGTCAAGCAGCAGGTGAATGATGAGTGATGGTTGCGCGTAGTAAGAACGAAGTCAGGATAAGTGACTACATTTAGAAGAAGGATGATGGTCTGAGGGAGCTCAGTCTGGGTGGCTTATGAAGATAAGAAAGCTAATTATATGTATACTAGTCCTGGGCGAATAAACGAAAGGGGACGACAAGGACTTAGTACGACTAGTACTGGTGGTATCGGGGAGTTGGGAGTCGGTTGGGGTCTCCATTCAGTATTCCAAGTCTATTGTTACCCCTACACACTTACAGAGCATTGATCAACGTGGAGGGTTTCTCCAAGCAGCCAAAAAGACCATAGTTTCGGAACATGGTGTTCAGCATGCGGCCATGTAACTGTAACCAAGTGGCATTTTGCTTCCGCTTGAACAACCATCGCGGCGAACTCGTCGGTGCCTGACATCGTCGTCATTCGCGATATCACGCTGCAGACGGCAAAGCCCGTGGCAATCGAAAGAACAATTTAGGACGGTTTACGTCAAGCCGGCGGGAGGGTGAGATGATTGCACGGAGGTGGACCGGAGCGCGGAAGACGAAGGGTGGAGGAATTTATGTACAGCACCTGCTACAGCACGGTGAACGATCTCAACAAGACGTCTCGCTTAGCGTGCGTGTGCGTGCTATCGACCATGGACAACGTCTCGCATTTTTTTTTCTATCTATCCGAGATGGACTGGAAGCTGTCAAGTATAGAGTTGGCCCGTGCGCACTGCGGCCGGGCGGCGTAGTGATTGAGATGTCATGGAGGGTGACTAATTGGATATCTTGTGGGCTTTTTTCATTTCGTGCGCACTATCGCATCGCAAAGCTCGAGGCCCGGGGCATCGACGATTTCCTTGCGGCTGGGATGACATCGTCTTGGACGACGTGCGAGGCGAGATAACGAGACGGATTCTGCTTCCTTCCCTCTGCCCATCACCATCAGTGTCGACGGCGACGCCCACCCCGGATTGAGAGAGTCGATTACCTAGTGTGGAGCTATCTGGAACGACCCCCTATCGCGTCGACGGGCAAGCTATCATACCTCCGTCGGTCGAGCGCAGTCCCCTCCTCGCTCTTCGCGACGACTAGCACGAGGCTGGCCGTCCCCCTACACCGTCACCGTCGCTCACATCCACAACCAGCACGTCCCGACATGATCTCTTTCGAGCCCACACCGTCTATTCCCAGCCTTGCTGCCACTTCCGATACCACCTCCACACTTCCCTCGACTTCTTCTACTTCTTCAACCGCCAGACCGACCTTCCGCGCTCGCGTCTCTTTCTCTCCACTGCCCGAGCCGTACCACTCGCCTCTCGAGCAATACGTCGAGCGCGTAGATGATCCAGAATATGAAGAGGAATTGCTCTTTCCCGACGAGGACGAGCCCAGCACGCCTCGTCCGTCACATAACCGCGCGACTTCCCACGATTCGTACTTCAACCTCTCCTACGGCACTGCCGTCCCTCCTGGTCCCCATGACCCAAACCCATCAGCCCCTGTCCCAAAAGGCATCCTCCGTCGTCCTTCTCCATCCTCATCCCCCTCCTCCTCCCCGTCCTCCTCCTCATCCTCCCACGCCCCCTCCGCCCCGCCTTCCCCCGTACCCTCATTCACATCCGAGTCCACCGCCTCATCCTCGAAACTATCCCTGCGCGACCGCTCAGACTCGTCACGGTCGCTCACCTCCGTCGGCTCGAGCTGCAAAGATGGTTCCCCGCTATCTCCCTCCATGAATGATAAGCCGAAACCGAAGCCGGTCCCGAGGATGCACTTCCGCCTCATCCTCCGCAGAATAGGCCTCCTCGCAAAATCAATGGGCATCCGCGTCGACTTTGGGACGTCCTCCGCCGGGAGCGCTGCCGCAGCCGCTGCAGCCGCCGCTGTCAGTGTTGGAGGTGGTGTTGCGGCGGCGGGTGTGGATAGCGTGGCCGGCCAGAGTCACGGTAAGAGGCTGGGGCCGAGGGTGGGATTGGGGCAGGGATTGTCGGGCGCGAGGAAGGCGGTGTTGGATTTTAGGACGGTGCAGGCGTTGTATATTCAGGATTTGAATGATGCGGAGATGAGGGAGATGTATATGGAGGAGGTGGGGATGATGAGGGCCGGGATGAGGCCGAGTGAGTTTAGGGAGGATACTCGTGCGTCGCTTTCTTTCTTTTTTGTGTGGATCGTGAGGGTTGTTGACAGGGTGTACTTAGATGTGTTTGGCGTCCCACTTCGCGACTCGTTCATGTACTCGTCGTCGACGGTCGTCGTGAATGGACGGATATTGCATGTGCCTACCGTCGTTGTGGCGTGCTTGGACGAGCTTCATATACGTGAGTTGTCCACACTTTTTTCTGTCGACTCTCGTTAATGACGCCTATGTTACTGCTGGGCACACTCGTAGGTATCCGAGATCCTAGAATATTCCAAGACCCTCCCAACCCGCACCGTCTCAACCAACTCATCCACATCTTCGACATTGCACCCCATTTCGGCATCGACACCCTCAGCACCCTCAGCACCCCCACCTCCCCCTCCGATCCCACTTCTCCTTCCGACCCAAACCCCCCAAACCCCCGCTACTTCACAATCCTCGACGCCCACCCTCCCCTATCCCTATCCTCCGAATCCACCCCCGACATCTGCGCCCTCCTAACAACATTCCTACACTCCCTCCCTCCTCTCTTCGCCTCCACACTCTCCGCACATCCCGCCTCCGCCTCTTCGTCCTCCGTTTCCCTCTCTACTCCTTCCCCTTCTCCGTCCGCATCCCAAACCTCCCTCCACGCCCATTCCCGCGCTATGGGTGGAAATGGGAGTGCGAGTGCGAGTACAAGGACACCTACGGTGGGCTGCATAGTCCCGCCCCATGTCACGCATTCGATCATGCAATATTGCATCGGTAACGCGCTCAATGCGAACCCGAATCCGAGGTTCAGGAGCGCGAGCAGTTCGGGAGGACGAAGGGGCGTGGAGAGGAGGGTTGCGGTGGGGACGATGTTGTGTAGGCTTGTGCCGGGGGCTTGGTCTGGTGGTTTGCCTTACACGCCCCATGACCATCGGCAGCGGCAGCGGCAAGAGCGCCATCAGCACTTATCGCCCGAGGCTCCAGGGAAGGAGAAGGAGGCGAAGGAGAAGGAGGGACTAGGACACGTTGAGGGCGCAGGATCCGAGTTTGGGACTTTCGTCGCGGTGTTTAGTTTCCTCGACCGACTCGCACGACATCAACAGGGGCAAGGACACGCGCAAGGACCACCACCCTCGATTACCAATACCAATACGAGGACGAGGACGATGAGTTCGGCGAGCTCGAAATCTGTCGTTGATGCCTTGGGAACTTTAGGGGGTACGAATTCGAGGCCTACTACGCCGACGTCAAGTTTGGGAGCGGGGATGCGGTCCATGAGTGCCGGGGCGGTTAGTGCGTTGGCTTCTAATAACGGGGGTGGGCCTGGGTCACTCAGGACGAGGACGAATAGTTTTGGGGGTGGGGGGTCGGGTCCGAGTGTACCGAGGTTTGGATTCGGGCTCGGGTTCGGGAATGGGTATGGGTTTAATTCGATTCCTTCGCGGGGTGGTGCAGGAAGTGGGACGATTAACGGCGGAGGGGGAGGAGGGTCGAAATTGAATCCCGCTGCCCGATCCAGCATCTTTGGATCTCTCGCCCCTTCCTCACATGGTCACGGTCCGTACGGCACCCACGGCCACGGGCACCAAGCCCAACGTTCGGACGTATCGCTCGCCCTCGTGCAGCCGACCGTCGTCGATTTCTTGATCGGCCATTTAGCGCAGAAGATGATGGGTGGGACGAGGGAGGAGGCTGGGTGTGTGATGAGGTGGGTGGTGGAGCGGTGGGAGAGGATTGGGGAGGGGGTTGTTGAGGGGGAGGAGGAATGGGGGAGGAGGGATAGGGGGTTCGGGATTGGGATTGGGATTGGGAAGAGAGTTGATGGACGGGAAGAAGGGGGGGAGGAGGAGGGGATCGTCATGGGAGGGAAGAGTGCGGTGGTGGGATTAGTGGAGACGGAGGTGGCGGATAGTGTGGGGCGGAGGAGGGGGAAGGAGGAGAGGGTGAGGATTCCGTTTGGGAGGGGGATCGTGGAGGAGGGGGATGCGTTGGAGTTGGAGGGGGATGGGAGTGGGAGTACGGAGAGTAGCGAGGAGGATCAGGGTGATGAGGATGATGGGGGTGATGAGGATACGATTCATGGACATGATGCGGCGGCGAGGGAGGGGTCGTCGACTCCGACGCCGAGCACTACCACGGCGGGTTCGACGGGTTCGATGTTGATGATGGAGAGGAAGAGGAAGTCTGAGCTGCCGACGTTGAAAGTGACCGGGTCGACATCTGCGTCTTCCACCCCTTCCCCATCCCCGTCGCCAATATCGAAAGAAGCAGCGGTGAAAGAAGCGCTACTCAAGTTGACAGCGAAGAAGAAGGCTCACGCGATATCGACGCCAGAGATGGAGGTCGGGCTGGAGGAATTAGATAAGAGTGTGGGGAGGAGTTCGTTTGAGAGGATGGTAGAGAGTGCATTGGGAGGACCTGACCAGGTGACATTGTCGTTGGCGGACCTTACAGAGGGGACAGCCGCTTATGATCACTCGCCGAATTCGAGTTCGAATTTCGACCACAATCACAATCCGAATCCGAGGATGACCCTCACACTTCCTGACCAGAGGATCAACATGTCCACGATACAGGATCAAAAGAAGATGTCGGCGCTGTCGCTGCCCGTATCGTCGCCTGGGGAGGAGGATATTGATAAGGTGTTCATCGGGGACGACAAGGTGAGGTTGCCGGGGAAGTATAAGCTGCCGTCCGCGTCTGCTTCGTCGTTGTCTGTGTTTTCGATCTTTCCGGGGGCGAAGGAGAGGGGGAGGGATGGGGAGACGGGCAGGGATGAGAGGGAAGGGGGAAGGGAGAAGGAGAAGGAGACGGTGGGGATTGGGAAGAGATTAATGAGGAGGATGAGTTCGATGTCGTTGAGGAGGTCGAAGATTGGGTAGGGTGGTGGACTTGGATTTTTTTTCCCGCTGTGTTTCGCACTCTGCTTCTTGTCATCACTGCTTCGTTTTCTTTTCTTCAACTCTCCAGTTCTCTTTTTCTTTCTCTCTTCCTTCATTGTTTCCTACCTAATTTTCATCTTCATTCTCATTCTCGTTCTCATCACATATCTACCCCTAGACGATCTTCCTCGATCTTTCTCGCTTCTTCATCCGTGGACTGTTTTTAGCTCTGCAGACACGCACACAACACATATACGCACATATACGCATGCAATATCCCCACGTCTCCACATCCCCACATGTTTCCAACTACAGTTACAGTTTACAGTTACCAAGACCGGCCCTGCACTTATCCACATTTATCATTATATTTCGCAGCACTTTCAGCACTTTCCGCACGACAAACAGACAGCCATATAGACTCTATAGACTTGGACTCTATAGCGTATTCGACACTTTTCCCCTTCGTTCGTTCGTTCGTTCGTTCGTCCTATTTCTCGTACACGTTCTTTGCCTCTGCCTCTGCCTCTCCTCTCTGTCTATGTACTCATGCGCTTTACACCATCTTGCATTCTCTTCCATCGATATCCTCTGCACCGTGGACTTTGTACCTCACCGCACAATACGATACGACACATCACAACACACGCTCTCTTGCACACACGCTCACTCGTCTCTCGTCTCTTCATCTCGTCTCATCTCCCATCTCTCATCTCAACGACAATTTACATCTTGACGTCACTCCATATACTTTACCTTCGCCTGCCTCTGCCTCTGCCTCTTGTCCCACATGTATATTGTACCTACGTACTCGAGTCTCGCGCGAGGCCTCCTCGTCGCCAGTCCTGACTGATCTCTTCCTTTCCTACTCGTCTCTGTTTCTGTTTCTCCCCCTGATCCAGAGTTTGTTTCTTGTTTCGCCTCCTGCTCGCCTTTTTCTCGTTTACACTCACTCTCACTCTCACTCTAGATCGTTGATTAGTCTACAATAACGCATACATTAGATACCTTTCTGAACTAAATCGCATGCATCTCGTTCATTTCATACCATCAGTGTTGATTGGAGGAGCCGGGCTGTTGGGACGGGAATATGACACGTGTCGGGGTATGAACAAGCAGGAGTCCAATCTTGCTTTTGTCGCTACCACCGCTTACACCTCTGCACTTTTTCTCGAGGTTGACATTTCGTGATTTTGCAGACCCGGCACGCATACTTATACCTTCCAACGCATCTGGCATCTCTCGACAGACTCCCCGCACCGGTCTCGTTCGTTTCAATGCATCAGACGATTCAGACCGTGTGTTTGTACATAGACCCAGGATCCTCTGTATTCGGACGACGCTATGCAGCCTATAATAGAAAGTACACGGTATTAACGGCTGTCTCTCCGCAGCTACAGGTACGTGCACTGTTTTCATGACGGACGAGGGTGCGTTCTGATCGCCATTCGCTGCAGTCCAAAGTAAGTACACTGGTCTTCAAGGCATAACACCACACGAGGTCTGTTTTCCAGTATCGATGTCGCTTTCACCTCGTTTTAGGGCTATGATACAGCCTTGCGGTGCATTCGCACTCAAATATAGCGGGAACGCCCCAGGAAGATGATACTCGTGTACATCATCCACGTATACCGTTCCTTGTGTACAGAAACCTATATAGCAAGTAGTACATCCCGCTGCGAGGCTATGTCTCTACGCGAATACCCCTCCAGAACTCCCTCAGAATCCTGCTTCGACCTGCTGAGAGTGATTTCGCGCCGGACGGGAGGTTTATGGTCTCGTCCTCGTTGATGGACAGCCGGGGGAGAGATATTATCTCGTCTTCGGTTGTGATCAAGGGGGGGGAGGACATGACTTCGACTTCGGTTAAGCGTACCTAAGCAGTGGAAGGAGAGACACCGCCGTCTTGCCAAAAGGTCCTCGAACTCACCGCAAACTGTACTCTAGGCAACCCGCTATGCTTCAACCATGTGATGTAACTCCCGTAATAATCACTAGCGGCGAGAGATTCCACCTCGCGTCTTCGCTACCCAAGCTGCATCGAAAGTTCAGATGTTAGAGATTGTCCTCTAACATGGGAATTTTGATAGGCGCGCACTTTGACTGTCTTAACGAACAATGATGGTAGGGTTCGACATTGTACAGACGCCAGTCTGGACGTTTGTACGCTTTGGAGGGTCGAAATTACAGTTGACCAGAATACAAGTCGTTCTACACGCATCTGATGGACGACAGCACATAGTTCTGGCACACAACGGCGGCGAGAGGTCTCATCTCCCATCATCTTGTCAAATTTTCTCCAAAAGATTCAATGGTGACACTCTCAACGGCTGCCCGGAATCACTCCTGTTGAACAGAGATTTCTCTTCGTGCTGCCAATTGGCCATATAGTATTTCGCGTGTGGGGTTCAAGCCTACGGGCGAAGACTTTGTTCTCATGCGCGCACTCAGGTGAAAAGCACCTGGACACCAAAGACCAGCCTGTACGAGGATGCTACCGTCCGTCGCAAGTGGAAGAAGTTCAATATAGGAGTTCCAATACCTTTTTATCTTTTTCTTTGTTCCACGGCTGCACAGACTATCAGTGTACTGTGGGCGAGACACTCCGAGCACAGGAGACATATTGACGCTCTTTTGGCTATCGGAAAGCACAAAAAAGAGAACTTTCATAGAAGACTCATCAGAATGCAGGGATAAGATTGCTCCATAATGTCGTTTACGCTCGAGTGGAGGCTTGGGGCGTGTCGTCCTCTCCATATACATTCGAAGCATTGCTAATGCATCGCGATGATGGTGTCGGACAAGTAGCTCTAGGGTGGTCTACATGGGCCCTGTGTCTGTCAAACACGAGGCTCAGAACCCGCTCAATTTCGGTCGAGGAGGGTTCACCGTCCTTTGCTTCTTCATCACCGCATTTCGTGTCTCAGACCCACTATCACCATGCCCTATGGGACTACCGATGGGAGCTCGTTGTCTGTCCGATATGCATACCCTGCATAAGCTCTCACTTTGGCGTAAGGTTTCGATGATCCTTTGGAAGGCTCTCATTGACTTACACAATCAGAGGACACAGATCCTTGCGTTTCCTCATTCCGGTGCGTGATTCTCTCACTGTGACGCCTCTCGCGTCGTTGTGGTATTTATCTCGAGAAAGCAGGGCTCTTTATGTTGCCCTCATTCATTCCTGCGACGAATATGGTGTTGTTTCGCAGCGCCCACATGTTCTTGCATCTCGCACAGCAACGGGTTCCTTCTGCGTGACTTTGACGAACTTCTCGGCCAGGAGCTTATGAGATCGTTCCAAATCTACTTATACAGGCATTGCTGTACTGATGGGTATAATATGTGGAATGGGGCGGCAATTATGAAGCGTGGTCCCGATACAAGTACAGCAACTCCATGGGCCCTTTGCTTGTACTGACCATGGATTAACCACTCAGAACAGAAAAGGTCACAGAGGAAATAACAGCCGTCTCGTTCCACAATTCTTACATAAGTCAGCTCACTCCCCCTCTTTCAGCACTCAGCTTTCTCCCAACTCAGCTCTCTCACCATTGGCCATTCAGCCTTCGGATACTCGACCCTTCATTATTCTCTCAGTCACATCTGAATGGATAGACCTTCTTTCCAATCATTTTCGGGTTCGTATCTGCGTACCTCGATCGCTTCGATGTTGTGCCCTTATTTGAGACCTCAGCAGGAAATCATAGCATCCAGTATCCGTTCTCAGACGGTAGCCAAGGGGCTTCATGCTCCGAAGGGGAGACCAACTCCGTCGAAATGCATGGTAGCCAGACTTGGGAAACCGTTGAGCATGGACCTGGAAACACTTTGTACTATACTAATGTGAGCCTCAGCATATTGCAATCTCATTCATAACAGGCATGCTGATCCTTCTAATACAGTCACCCCTGACAAGATCAGTTGAATATGTCAGTGTGTTCCCAATTTGCACTGTCGTTGAGTCGCAGTCCACTCAGCAAACCTAACCATGATTGTCCCCAACCAGGCTCTACCTCTGCGTTTCATTCCTGACGGAGCTGTGTTGGGATGTCATGTCCGTCATCCTGGTGATATGATTGTGAGTGATCCAGTCTTTCAATCCCCGACCCGCAGTGTCGGCGCATATGATTGATACCTTCCTACTATCACAGTCATCCCATCCGTCTCAAGGCCTCGAGAGAGCACAGGCTACTGTGGTTTGTACACAGAGCTCGGATCTCGGATTTTCGCTCAACAGCTTGGTGATGGACCAAGACTGGAATTATAATAATGGGACCTTGCGCGCACCGGAAGAAGCAACAGAGAACTTTCCTAAGGGCTCGAACCCGCCACCCTTCAAGTTATCCCGCCAGCTTCCCGTCATTGATGCTGCAACATCCATGTCACCGGAGACGGCGGAGATCACTGTACCACAAGGACGCTATTCACACCGCACAAAGAGCTCTCGAACGCGCTACGGATCTCCCAAAACCGCGCAGTTTGTTGCCTTCGTTAACGCAAACACAGGGAAAGAAGGCATCAATTTTCAAGATATTTTGGGTGGTATGCTAGCGCCACTCTTGAATCCAAACGATATCGTCCTTGAGGATTGCGGTATCAATATAACTTTCCATGTTCTGGTAAGCACATCCACTCAGCTATGCTACATTCCCAGAATTCGCCGTATCTGAACCTTTCACAAACCCTTCATACGTCATTCATTAGTGGGCCGGTTGTATGCCTTGGAAAGCAACACTAAACACGAAGAGGAAGGCCGCTAAGCCAATTACCCGCGCTGATCTCGCCAAAAGGATCGGACACGCTCTGAGGAAATTCATGAAGGCAAGCTTCATTCGAGTGCTGTCAGCTCTCGATTGATATATCTTATATGGCTGACTGGATCTATAGACTGTGCTCCCTTCACAGTCGTCGACCTCCATCTTACATAGTCTTGCATTACCCCATCCGACTGCCCTGAAGCCTGAGCAAATCGTTCTGCGACGCTTCACGCAAGTGACCCATGGCGGATGGCAAGCGGATCTCGCCGCTTTAGTACCTGGAGATGCCACCGACGTACAGCATGGCTACAATACGCTGTTGGGCTAATATGTAAGTGGCCTCTTGCTTAGTTCAATTTTACTAGGCAACACGATCGCTGTGTCACCCGTATTGTCTGGATTATCTTTCTCAGCGGCGATGGGCAGAGCTCACAGGAACGGGATACACCTCTGCGTTCACTCACTGGGCTGTTGAATCTTGGTGTTAGCGAAGTGGCATTGTTTTGAGCTACTAACACTGAACAGAACTTTATTACCTCACTCGAGGAACCTCTTCGTGTCTTTCCGGTTGTTCTGACACCCCGCTGATCTTATTTTGCTTTGTGATCATGGCAGGCCACGCATCTTCGCGATCATGATCGCCCTCACTGAGGCATCGCGTTAGCATTATGTCATTTTTTCGTTCTGCTATCTCCGAATTTATTCTTGTAAACAATATAGCTCCTCGTAGTTTTTTTTTGCATAAGTTTGTTTCATTTTGGGTTTTCTCTGCACTGTTGTTTGCTCTGCTGACTCTGACTTTCTCTCTATCTCTCCTTCGAGTCGTTTCGAGACTCCTCTGTGCTTACAGTGGAACCCTCTACTTTCTTTCTCTTTTACTGTGATCGTTTGTATTGCTTAAAGGACATGTAACCCATATGTACTTACACCCATATCTCACGTAGATGTAAAGGGTGTAGTTTAAGTACTACTTGATTACTATCCGGTCTTTTGGATATTGCTTTTGTATTGCTTCATTTCGTACGCACCGAGTTAATTTGGATAGTGTATGACGCGGGTGTGATTATTTTATACGATGTAACTGAGTATTATGAGTATGGGAAAGATGTTTGCATAGAAGTGATCAAGTACAGTGATCTAAGCAATTGGGCACTCGGGCCACAACTTGGCCACAACCTTTCCAACTCACGCCACACGAGCCGGTCTGATGGCGCGCCTCGATAAGGAAAGGGGCAGTCACGATGATGGAGAGGCCAACGCGTGCCCGCTCAAAGATTTGAAGATCGCTTTTCCATTACAACCACCACCAGCATCGTCTATCCCTCTGAGTTCTCTGTCTTCGCTTTGTGATATTACTAAGACGAATCCAAACCTTGACGACCTAAGGCTTTAACGATGGAGAAAGACGCTGACGGGTTCTACACTGGTCCTGGTTCCCCTCCTGCTGCTGCTACCGCTGCGCCTAAAGGTGTGTCACATTCGCTCCCCTCTGCTAATTTAAGGCTCTAACGGAGATCTGTTTCAATGGACGGGCTTCAAACGATAATTTTCCCATGCTACGCTTATGTCGGACTGATATTCGGTGGCGTAATGGAATGGCTGAATAGCTGTTGCTGAGGCGCCTACACCTGCACCTGGAAAGGATGACGAGAAGAAGGATGAGGAGGAGCCAAAGGGTGCGTTTCATTACTTAATCTGTATTTGTTATCGAGGTGCTGATTGGCGACATGGTGGTTTGGTTCCCTCTATATAGCTCCTGGAGCCCATAAAGAAACTGCATCTGAGCTGCTGAAGTCATCTTTCGATGTGGAGGTGTGTCATTTCTCGATTGGTCTTGTACGCACCGCACTATGGTAACGGTACTGATGTACTGGTGATCCATGGACGGCTTCTCTCTCTATTCTCGGCCGTGGGGAGTAGGTAACACTAGCGGATCAACAACAAGATCCAAATTCGCCTCTGTATAGTGTGAAAACATTCGAGGAGCTTAATCTGTGCGTGCTCTCCACCATTTTTCTCGGTTTTCTCCATAGCCAATGCGGCTTTGTTCATCAATCGCCTCTGGCAATATGTTTTTCTATGGCGACATCTCTTCCTTACCGTGTATGAAACGGCGAGTGAACGGGTCACTGATCTTTCCCTTCTGTTCTGGTCATGTTCTCTTGTGGTGTGCGGCTGTATACATACAGACATGCGGACTTGTTATCTGGTATCTATGCGATGGGCTTCACACGACCGTCGAAGATCCAGGAGCGTGCATTACCTCTGCTTCTTGCATCACCGTATGTTTCATCTCTTCGTCTTCCACGTTAAAAAATTTCTCATTATTCTGTCCGTCCCCTTCACTCTTCCCTTCTCGTCTATTTGTCCACCTTCAAGACCATCACATATGATTGGCCAGTCCCAGTCCGGGACAGGCAAAACCGCCGCCTTCGTCCTCGCCATGCTCTCCCGTGTCGACTTCAATATCAACAAGCCACAAGCACTATGTATGGCCCCTTCGCGTGAACTGGCCCGCCAAATCATGTCCGTCGTCGTTGCCATGGGCAAGTTTACGCCCGTGCAGACCGAGTTTGCCATCAAGGATGGTTTGCCGAAGGGGGCGTCGAAGGTGACGGCGCATATCATTGTGGGGACACCGGGGACGATGACGGATTTGATTCGGAGGAGGGTGATAGATGTGGAGGAGGTGAAAATTCTTGTGCTCGATGAGGCAGATACGATGGTGGGACAGGACGGGATGGGTGATCAGACGTTGAGGGTGAAGAAGTACGTGCTCTCCCCTTTCGTATTATCTTCTACATCCTAACTTAGCTTTTCGACATTCTATCACTTATACACATTCCTCCCCTTCTTTTTTTGTCGCACAGCTCACTACCGAAAAACAAAAATGTCCAGATTGTCCTGTTTTCGGCCACATTCCCAAAGCACGTTCATCAGTTCGCTCAGAAGTTCGCACCAAACGCGAATAAGATCGAGCTAAGAAGAAACGAGATCACTGTGGAGAATATCAAGCAATTCTATATGGACTGTAAGGACGAGGTCAAGAAGTATGACGTGCTAGTCCAGCTGTATCACATCCTCACCATCGGGCAGAGTATCATCTTCTGCGAGGTATATTTCTCCTCTCAGCGTACCCACCTCCACTTTTGTTACTTTCGTCGCACGGATCACTTACTTCCTGCCCGCACCCTCTAGCGCCGCGAGACCGCAGATAAAATTTCCAAACGCATGACCGATGAGGGCCACAAAGTCGCCTCCCTACATGGTGCTAAAGACTCGGCAGAACGAGACGCTATCATTGACAGGTTTAGGGACGGGAAAGAGAAGGTGCTCATCACGACGAACGTCATCGCGCGGGGGATCGATATCATGCAAGTCAACATGGTGGTGAACTATGATCTGCCGCTCATGAGCGATAGCCGAGGGGGCTTAAAGCCGGATGTAGAGACCTATATTCATCGGATTGGTGCGTTTCATTTCATCCCTTCTGATCTCTTCTCCATGGCGTCCTTTTTCTGCTTTTGTTGGCTGTACCGGTCCTGACAGTGCATTTAACTTGGTTTCGACTGTAATGCTCAGGCCGAACGGGCCGTTTTGGGCGCAAGGGTCTCTCGATCAACTTCGTCCATAATGACAAGACGTGGAAGCAGATGCAGGACATTGAGGCTGTCACGGGCAAGGTTATCACGAAGGTGGAGACGGATGATCTCGATGTAATGGAGGAGGTAAGTGTCTTGTTCTTTGCCTCTGTGGCCGCGATTGTCTGACTTCTGGTGGCTGTTGCCCGGCCGCGTGGTGATGTAGACGCTGAAGAAGTACTTGAAGTAATGATGGACCTGCGTGTAGAGTATATGTCTCCGAGTACTATTGGGCACAATGTTGTACTAGTGTGTGGCGGCATATTTGTAGGATCAGTTTGGGATAGGTGCTTGTATTGCGTTTGTTTCGGTTGCTAAGATTGAGGGTTGAGGGGCATCGAGCTTGATGCATGACTTTATAGCGCTAGACACAGTTATTGTGTGGCGAGTGTCTGCTCGGTCGGAAGTCCGAGTATCTCAGGATCTTACCTCCTTCCACAGCCTAGAGGTTTTTCTTTCCCCTCCTAATACTTCCGAGTGTTTGTCGCAGTCGAAAGGATGACAGAACGAAGGCAAGGTGATTGTGAGAAAAGCACTGCTTTAAGCTTGCCACATCTGCACCAGCCACTTGGCGCTTTATGTACCGCCACTGACGTAACGCACATTGCTGCCACTGGTTCTTTCCTGCTTTTTCGACTCTTGAATCCGTTGTTCTTCTCATGACCGGCGCCGTCGGCCTCACTACCTGGATAGCAAAGCGAGCTAATGAACTGATACATGGTAAGTACAGTCCAGCATACTCATCTTGGATTGGCTTTCTATAGATATTGTCCCGGTAGCTCCCGAATCACTCGACTTTCTGTGGTGATACCGGCAGCATCCTGTCTCATTCGCAACTCATTCGGTACGTACCCCTCTTCCTCTGCTTCTACTTCTTGAGTGCTATGACTCGGACGTGAGCGCAAAGCTCTAGTTGGTTTGAACAGGTTACATGAAACCTTTACTCGTGCAACTTTACCACGTCGTCTAGCATCGCTACGGCCATAGGACGAAGATTATCCAGAGTGGGCGGGCTAGCTTGATGCCTAGCTTATTAATTGAATACCTTGACTTTATCCGACTCTGTTAGAGATGAGATGAAGTCAAGCTGGTTTAAATTAGCGCTAATAGTGTTGCGACCCGCACCTATATCTCAATGGCTTCAAGGACTCGGTCAATCGGATTAGGGCATCGATGATTTTGCTGAGGCATTGAGGGCCGGCAAGTCCTTCTTCACAGCCGTTTTCAGGAAAATGGTAGAGCCTTAATTAATGTGGGTATCACGCATTTGTTGGATCCCGCGATACCCTATTCGCCCCAAATATACCTCTGCTCGTGTGCAAGACACCCTTCCAATACGAGCAGTAAGTAATAAGCAGAATAGGCTAGTATCCCCAGATATATTGGGAACTATGAATCATCATAGTACAGTCATTCGATGTCCTGACGGATAAATTTGGTAGAGCTCACTTGCATGAGGGCCAGGAGCGACTGCCATTATTCGCAGAGTAATAGTTCAATATTAATTGGCCTACCTGTCCCTCGTTCAATCAAGTCCTCGACACCAGAATAACAGGAGTAATCTGCTGCTGCACCAGCCTCCACTCTTAGCTGCTCGCAGATTTTTGTTCTGAATGAAGATTGGGTCCAAATCGTCCTGATTTTGATACACGGGCGTCAACGGAGAGGATGCTTATCTGATCCGCTAGAATAAGTGAGCTACTCCTCCTACATGAAATCCGAACGGATCACTGCCTGTCGGAAATGACCCCTTTGAGAGTGTAATATGGTTACCTGGCTGTGAGGTGCCCTATCCCACTTGAGCGCTGTGGAGTTTGTCAGTGACACTTCATTGTGAAGTTTTCAGAGTGCTGCATAAACAGACATGACCTTCTTCGAATAACTGAAACAGTCTGACTGCATACGTATGCCGGCGGATTGTCATATGCACAATATATGAGTGTGCCACGTTCCCGCGGGAGATATGCCTTCGAGCGCATACAACGACTACATTAAAAGAGGTCTGTATTTGGAGACTACCTTTGAGGTACTTCTTCTGCCGACGTAGTATGGCCCGCGAAACATGGCCAACGTACCTCGATATCCTCTTTGCACGTCATACAAGACGATCTATCACTACTCAAATAGATTTCAAGTTATTTCTCGAAGAATGCATAGGCCATGTTATGGTCGTAGACTCGACATGTCTCCGGGTCCACTTTAAGGAAGGCTGATAGCCAAGGATACGTATTCTTGTTTTAGGATACTCTGAGTAGATCTTTTCCATTCGGCGAGCACTATTGTCCGATTGAAGTGGAAGCTTGGGCCTCTCGAACGTCTAGAAGAGCAATGAAGGCTCCAATGTCTCAGAAACTATGTTTCAGTTTTCTTGGTGCCCATTCGGCGGCACTTCCGCTGATCGTTCCTAAATAAGACTTCCGAACATGAATACCCTAGGTGTCCAATCATGTCATGAGCTATCCGGCGTATCTGGAAACTTACTGGCAGGAAGTTGGAGTATGCCCTTGCTTGGGATCTGAACACATCTAAATGTAGCTTCAAGACTACACGAGAGTCAGGAAAGTACACGGCCATAATTTCGCTATCACAGCACGACTCTGACGCGAACATGCTAGTGCACTATCGCAGACGCTGACGTCGTAATCCAGCAGGTCATGGTGTTCTGTTTTGTTCCGTCCCTGGCCAAACCAGAGGCAATACCGACGAACTGTCTCCAACATCGCCCAACTATCATTGTTGCTTCTTCCTATCCTCGTGATATTTTGAGGCCATTGGTATCCACCTCTCAATTTATATCCCGTCATCACAAATCTTCACTAGCCTCGCCTTGGCGCAATGGTATTACCTGAAATATGTTCAAGGAAACGAAGATCGTCCCGATCCCGCGTATGCGGCTGACTCTCGCCGTGCTTTGGGCAAATGTCGAAGTCCACAACTTGACTCCTTTGAGCCCCCTCTGCTTTTGCTACTACCCCCTTCCTATAAATGCGAGACCGGGTCGTCCTTTCACATCCATGACCCAAGGACATCACGGTACTCTCAGACAGAGTCTACCATACTCGCATTGCATTCTACTTCAACCGTATTTTATCGTATCCTGGGCTTTATTAGTGTCGTGGTTGAAGGTACCTACGAGTTGTGCCCCACATATTCACACATAACAGCTAACTTTTCTCTCTTGCTCAGACTTTAGGCACCTTGTCTCAACGCTACCAGTATTTATTCCGGACGAACCTGACTACGGTTCTGTATCTGCTTCACCAAACAAAATTGTCGTTGTCACGTTGCCAGACAAAATGGAGCACCATGACGGCAGACAGGACCGGTATGTTCTTGCTCAAGCACTGTGGAAGTTCGTCCTTCTCTCGGCCCTTATTTTTACATTTTTCGAACCGTCAAGGAAGATGGATGATTCAAGACGAACCGAAGAGCCCCGTAATGACCTGTACCCAACATTCGAGCGAAGCGATCACAACCTGGAGTCAGTCCTTGGGGGAATGTACCACTTCCGTTCGCTCGTATGCTCCCAGCAGAACACGGTGAGCAGTATCGATTATGGTCTGAGGAATTGAAGGAAGTTATACAGGGCGTGAGTCGATATTGATGTCTGCAATTTCGCAGGAGACTCGTATATCGGCCAATCGCCTACCTACCGTCGTGAGTACTGTTCTTTACAATACACTGGTTTAACAGGCATATTATGACGCAAGTCACCTTCTATGTTTTTACCAGCCTGCTATCCCACGCTATTACAACGCTAGGGCAGTGGGAGTAGATTATATGCATCCTTCGAGCGCTTCTGCCCTCGTATGTGTAGACTCCATCTTCCGTCATCCCCGCGCGACTCACAAGATGCTTCCTTTGATACTAGACATGGTCTCCTCCGGCTGGCCAGCCAATGAGTGATGTGTATTCTGATGAGCTCTTGGTTCAAGAACGTCCTCAAGCAGTCGCCGATCCCTTGATACTACCAGCCCCACTGGTCGGAGACGTTCGACAATATCGACACAAAATAGCTTGTCGACTCACTGCCACCGGTAGAGGCCTGGGAGGTCGTAGTACGATTGACCTAGCCGGTATGAGCCATATGCAGTCCAATGCGAATCATACATATGGCCTGGTCAGTGTCAAGTTTGGAAGAACGATGGGCCCAGTTAGCATCGTTCCTCAATCAGAATATCGTCATTCTTCCAAAGCAGGGCAGACTCGATACGGTCGTCCACTCGACTTGACGTCGATAGCATTCGTCAGCGTCGATGGCAACGGTGCCCGAGAGGATGGAGTCATTGTAGAGGATGCTTTGAAGGGGTTCAAAGGCTGCCCTGTGGAGCTTGAGGGTGCGGACGATATCGTTCTGGAAGGTTCTGTCGTCAATATAACTGTGCACATAATGGTGAGTCCTGATTTTACAATATATAATTAGTGATTGCAAGGCGCCGGACATGATTTTGACAAGTATGCTCGTACATAGTGGTTTGGCCGGGAACCCTGGAAGAATTTGATCAGCACAAGATGCTTGCAGGAGAAGCGCATTATCCCAATGACTCGAGGAATCCTCGCCCAAAGATTAGCCAAAGCTCTGGTCAAGTTCATGCAGGTGAGGATTGCGACCAGTTCTCACGTCTCATGAAACAAACTGAATTATTATCTTAACACGTACAGCATGTCAGATGGCTGGATACCAAGTCGGAAATGTCTGCTACACCTAACGCCAGCGGTCTTCTCTCCATCCCAGCTGCGGGTCAAATGGTCATACGCAGTCTCAATCCTGTGACTCACGGCGGGTGGCAAGTAGACCTCGCTGTTGCTGGCGTTCGCCCTATTATTTAACTTCGAGCTCGTTGTGCGAGGCTACATCTCTAGAAGACGAATGGACGTTAATTTACCGAAGTTTCACGATAGTACCTATATTTCACCAAACTATAGCTGACTCTCTGCTCCCTGTTTTCGCTCACTCTCGTGTTCTCTGTACCTACGTGCTTGGCCGCTAGATGAACACATTTGTAACATATGAGGCTCACACATTGACAAGAACTTGCGCCATCGATACCAGCAAAATACAGGGTGATAAATAATGCACGCAATAACATATCTTTTCATTAATTCATTCTGCTCAATTCCACTCACTCCTTGTGACGGTTCGATGCCAGCATCTTGGAGTCACAGCAACACGACTTTTCCGATTGCCTTGAAAGAGACCATGTGAGGGTTAAGTATAATAAGGACATTGGGACAGCAGACCCTCTTTTGACGCCCTTTGTCCATTTTCCATCAGATTCATTTCTGCGATCATCCTAGAAAAATTCATGTATGACTGAATCGATTCGCACGGAAGAGGAAGGAAATGACGCTTTAAGAAGACATCCTAGCCACGATAATGTCGAAGGCCGGCTTCATGATGAGGTTCTGTGAAATGTGATAGATCAGAACGACTTCATTCGAGTATGAGCAAGGGTGGTGATACTCACAGAATCCCACGGACAAGCAGCACCTTGGCCAGAGAAAGTAGATGGCACCCAAGAGTACTTATCCTATGTACATGAATATATGTCAGGTTCATTTTTCGTTCGTCATGGCACTTGCACAGACAGAGAACTCACGGTGTAATCCCAGATCGTCACACCAACACATCCATCCACGGCCTGACACGCCGCAATCACATTCTGATAATCTGTCTTCTGTTGCTCATACAACGCCTCCGTCGCCGGTAACGTCATCCTAATATCCAACTCCGTAATGGCCACCTCAATCCCCAACGCCATGAACGCTTCCATCTGACTTTGGATCGATGTCGGAACCTGGCCTACGATCGAGTGGCCTTGGAAGCCGATCCCATCGAGAGGGACATCATCTGCAAGGAGAGACTCCACGAGAGAAAGCATGGAGGCTGATTTACCAGAGGCGTATTCGAGGTTAGATTCGTTGATGTACAGTTTGGTGGAGGGATCAGCGGCGCGGGCGGCGGTGAGAACCGTGGGAACATATGTGGTGTTGAGCTCGTTGTAGAATACGTCCGTGCGCCAGGTGCCGTCATCGTTGAAAGGTTCATTGACGATGTCGAAGGAGTCTAGAGTGTTGACGAATTGGCATGAGTAAACCATGAAAATGATAGCCTAACAGTCACCACGTACAAGTGTCACCCTTATAGTGTGTCAGGAGTGTCGTGCAATGGTTAACCATGGCACTCTCCAGTTCAGAGGCGGAGAGCGCCCCGCTCGAAACCCAGCTGGGAAGCTGATTTTACCACACACAGTTGTGCCCACGAAGGAGTTGTCCGTTAGTCTGTGCCAGATCCAAAATCGCATCACCAGCTGTGAACGTAAAGGTGCCCTGAGTAGGCTCTGTCGCGTCCTGAAGAACACCGATCCGAGGGGTGTCAGCCAGTAAGCTTGGCCGCTGCGAGGTGCAAGAATATAATAACTGCATCTACGGGACTACTCACCCACTTCCACCTGTTTCCAGGCGTGATCTGTCCAAATATCGTGTTGTCACTTAGGATCGCCACATAGGCCGTGTCCGTCAGCTCGGGTTATCGGTCGCAGACCCAAAGTAGACTTTTCCAGTGCCAGAAGCGAGAGTGTTCAATTTGGCAGTCGAAGTTCCAGTGGGGAGGCTGGCGGATCCAGTCGATGTAGACGTAGCACTACCGCTGCTGGCTGCGTCCTGATAAAACACGCATAGAAGAAGAGGAATGTTTGATTCGAACGATAGTCACGAACTAGGTATGGAGGAGACATACGAGGATGTATTCTAGATTTTTGCCATGCAATAGTCGTGAGAATAAGAGCTCAAAGGCATGGGGACTATACACAGCTCACGAGAATAGTACTAGTAGGACGAGGAGGCAAGTCAGCTTGGCGATTCAATATGACAGAAGGCACTGCAATGACAAGGGCGGCAAAAAATTTTGAAAGCCTCAGCATGATGTCTTGAGCCGAACAAGTGAGACATCGAAGGAGATGATGCTGGGAGAACGTAGACGCCGAGAAATACAAGTAAATGGGCTACAGTGATAGCTCTACTCTCCGAGCTTGTTTTATACTGATGATTTTCTTTCGCTACGGTACAGAAGCATCATGGCCACACCAGTACCGTCCTTGCTGGCCGAAGTTCGGATGTTCGTCGCTGATTCGGGACGCAGGAGGCACAATGCTGGTAGTGTTCACATGAGCAGTAGCACCTATTCCCTATGAATGTCAGTCGATAGAAATCCTGTCCGCATGATGCGATGTGTATAAGGCTCAGATGCCTAGTCGTGCCTTGGTAACGATATGAGACTGTCCAACATGTAATTGACGGAGGGTACGTGGTGTACTACTCGTTCAGATACTTCTGCAAACAAGCTAGGCGCGGAGTTACAGTCCACATTAGGATAGTCGACCTCCAGTTGTGAAGTACTTTCGAGTGGAAAACTCGGATAAGCAACTGGCCACGGCCCGTGAGTGTCACAGAACTGTCTGAATATGGAATGACCATCAAGTCACGTCGAAAGCCATTGGAATTTCTTGCATGCGCTCAGGGATTCTGAGAACGTTACAAGCACTCCATCTAAAAATGCTCCGAAACTCGAGTGACGCATATACGTCAGAACCACGTCCACAGGAACAATTCATGTAGGCTCAGAGCTAATCCCATTTACAGATGGACCAGCCGTAGGCAGTGCAGACGACGGTGGTGCACAGCAGAACACATCCGATGTTTTCACGGTCGTTCAGGTCTGGTGACGAGCCTGCAAACCCGTAAAAAGGTTCGAGCTTTCTCGTGCAATGGATAATCGGACGGTGGATAATGAAGCGATTGCATGCACCTACAGTGGCAGCAGCAAGATGACCTCTCATAGCAGACAAGAATGATGAGGGGGCATGAGACCCTGAGAAATTAGAAGGCAGTTGCACGGATGGTGTGGCAACCGGCTACTGGATGGGACGAAGGGCAGAATGACGAAAAGATGACGCCAGTACGAGGACATGCCGATGATGGTGCTCCAAGAAAGAATATTATTAGAAAAGAAAGAAAGACAACGGACCACTTGGCTACGACGACAGGGATATAACCCCGTACATACAGCTCTCCATTCGAATTTACCGTGGATATCTGCACACTCGCATACTTCAAGCTCTCCTTCAATGGTTTCCCAAACACAGGGTGTTCCAATTTGATTTCTGTGCCGAGGTAAAGTTCTGCCACCAGGCTCTGAGCGACGCCCTGGTGGGTGGATGTTGTTCTGCGGTCATGGATCTGGAGGCGGAAGAAGACGCAGAGGGAGGTAGGATCGAGACGTCCTCTGTCGGGCGTCGCTGGAGCGAATGCGGTGCCTGTTCTTGTTCTTGTGCGAGCGGCGACGGTGATGTCTTTGACTTCGTGGGGGTGCGTTTGGGTGGGTATGAGACGGAATGACGAGAAGGTGGATGAGTTTGTGAGTATGATTGTGATTGTGGAGGAGGAGGAGGACTGGGAGTGGAGCGGTGGTCGGAGGCGGTGGAGGGACGGAAGAGGCGGAGGGGGAGCCTGTGCGGGTGCGGGGGCGGGTCGGGGGCCGGATGTTGCGCTGGGCGAGTCGGGGAGCGAGGTCAGTGGTTGCGCCCCCCAAGGAAGCCGAACGTTCGTCGGGGTCGGCTCGAGGCCAGTGCGGCTGAATTTAAGCACAAAAATGCGAAGAGAGAAAGGCAGACGCCGACGCGAGCAACGAGGCATCACCGCCGTTCGCCCGCCGCTTGGGGCCTCTGACGCACCTTTCTCTCACGCTCCGGCGCTGGGCCACTTCGCTCCCTGTCGCTCGATTTCTTGTACTTCTGAGCCCCATCCAGCCGTCACATACAGGACCATAGGTTACTCATCTAGCTCCATCTGGGTCCTTCCTGGATCTGACGCTGCGCATTGGGTTCAGCTAATCGAAATCTCTCACGCTCTTTTTCAGCGTCTCCAAACCTTTTCTGTTCTCAACGACCACGACACTCCGGAGCTGCACCGGGATACATTATATATCTAGTCCAGCTCAGATCAAGTTACAAGACCACAGAAAATCATACATCGATCACGCTCTCGACTCTCGACCCTTCGGCATTGCATGTTTACCGAGTCACGACGACGGCTTCCCCCGGTTGCTTCCGTCTTACCTCGTTCAACCTTCTCGGCTCTTTTCAGCCACCCGTTTTCTTTAGATATTGCATGTTCTCTGCAGAAAGACAAGACGGTGCTGGGTGGTACTGTATAGACGGTACTCACATTCTCAGCATTGCAGAAGCCGGTGAAAAAATACCTTCGGTGTCGAAGAACCTTCAGCCGTCGCATCCAAACAAGCTCTGCCATTCATTGTTGTGCCTGCCGAAGGTTCATCGAGATCGGCTCACGGCCAGCACGGTGGAAGTCGCCTGCGCGAAAGGGAGCCAGAGGGTCTCAAGACATCGACAAATCGCCCATAAACAACTCGCCACATCCAAGTGTGGCGTGCGCTCTGATCCGACACCAAGATCTCCACGCGACATCTGCTCGGCGTTCGTACACTCCCTGCATTCATTGTGGGAGGTCTGCTACAGGAAAAATCATATGTATGAGTACGTCCCCTCTTCATTTAATTTTATCCAACATCGCGGGCTCGCATCCAGCGCGCCCTGCCACGTCACGAAGGTCAAATTACCAACCCTATAACCCGTATAGATGACGACGCGCAACTCTATCACAGGTCGATTGCCGTTGTGGTGAGCTCCCTTTCCCTTCCTCTGTCTGCTCTCCATTTCTTTCGTCGTGTTTGGCTGTGCTGCCATCGTGGCGCCGATGATCCAAGCGAGCTTGTGAGAGATGTTTAGTCTGGCCAATCATGATGGCATCTGATGGGACTTCCGACTTGGGAATATACAACGAAAAGGTGTGATAACTCGGAATAAATCCTACTGGGCCTCTACTCCTATAGAATCATGTATAAGGGGCCTCGACATGCTATGAGTAGTCCTCACATAACCCTCCACATATCCTGATCTATCCCGGACATGACACTCGCGTCCTGACCTAGTCTTCTCTTTTGACCGAACCCGTGCACGCTATTGCAGACAAATGAACTCTCAGTCGATATCGAGAGACGATTCAGCTAGGTTAAGTAAGCTGAGGCCATGTCCGGGCTAGGATAGGGAAAGTTGAGGTTTAGCCCAGACCGAGCGCGACCCTCCCACACCCTCGGGGTTGGTATCATACTTTCGGCCGTGCCCCCCAACCCCCGCTTTCGCATCATATGTACATCGGGCCAAAAGCCGCCCCAGAAACCTCCGTTTTCGCTCCAGACCTCCGCGCTGATGCGCCGTCCAAACTCCCGCCCCGAGATCAGATCCGTAGGGGATTGTCAGGCGTCTTCATTTGATGCACCCTTTTTGTGCTCGTACATGACGAAATGTAGTGCTGCAATATGGACAGGACTGTCGGCGTCTGGAGATCCTCGACGATTTGATTCCCGGCATTGTGGCAACATTGTGGCGCAAGATGGTAATTTCCAGGGGATGTCGAGGCGTGTTGCGGAAACGTAACTCGTGTGAACAGAATAGACCGTTTAAGTGCTTGGATCGCTGAAAGAGCGACAATCGTCTACAGTTATACTCCTGCCTCTGGTCTTGGCCCGACGCTGTGATCCGGCCAATACACATATACACGACCAGGCACCCTTTTTGTGCGTCGTTCCTCGTTTCACTCTTGCAGTTGTTTTCAGAATCATAGTCGCGCCCGCGTTTTCGTTCGATGGAGCGGTCGGAGCTTTCTGACGCAACCAGCTACCATTTCAGGACGCAAGCGCCAATTCCTACGAAGGGCCACACCTGCCCTCATAACATCGACATAGGCATTACTATTCCACCTCAGAATATCAGGTAGGCAGTTTTTATGAGACATATATCTTGCATGAGGTTCTGGAGTTTTTTTTTGGAGACATCTTCATCGGGACTAACGCTCTGAGGGCTTGCTGAGGCATACGAGAGTGCTGTGGCCCAGCCTGTGGCGAGCCCATCGGAAGCCCCGGTGAGGCTCCGAGTGGGGCCAAGCTCCATCGACGAAAATCCTGGATGCGACTACAATTCTGAAAACAGCTGTAATGCGACATTTGTTGCTCTAATTACGAACGCGGATCACTCATTCGGTTCGGTACACGTTCAAATCATTTCCGAGGCTGATAGCCGATGCTTTCCGGTCAACATCATTCGACAGAACAACTCAGACCACCAGATGATGCCTTGCACTCATCGTGGCCCGCAAACGGAGGGAACCCCCGGTGTGCCTGTCCATCATTCCCATGATTTGGACCCAGGCGAATGGCGTGCCACACTGGACAAGCCACAATATTCACACTACATATGAGGAGTATTGTGTGGTCGCCTGCCGCATTTCGAACCTCAGGGTGTTATTTCATATTGCCTGACTCCTCTGGTCCCGGCTGCTTCCGTCTACCTCGTTCAACTTTCTCGTTCAATGTCTCCGCTGAACCTCTGTGTGCGGGAGCGACGAAACACATAGCGGTTCTACTCCTTCAAATGCGCTACGTATTGCATAACAAAGCTCATTTTGCGTTGTTTATTTTAGTGGATTATTTTTACTGTGCCTGCGGCGCTGGGCCAATATTCGCCACACCCATACCATATTTAAGGTTTTGTACACAAAATCTCGGTATACGGCGATGACGGTCTAGCCTGTAGCATGCCAACATTCTGTCTCTCGAGCTTCGTCCAAACATGGAAAGTTCAAACACTCACAAGAATCTAGGGCTCCCAACGGAGATCTACTCAGCGCGATCCGTATGAGCTAGTACAGATGCAGTATCCGAGGACAGCTCAGGAGCTATTCCTGGCGTCCCACACTGTTTTCCCACGTAGCCATCAATATGAAGGTTGCAGCTTTTTTGATAGGTGTATGCACACCTCGATCGTGCTCAGAGTTACGGGGACGTTTCAACACAGCTTCTTTAGATAATAAGAAACATGACCACCCACAGTCAGAGAATACCCAATTCAAGATATATGTATTTTTCCCGATTTTGTTTGAGGTAGACACGCTGCCATAATCGGAGCGAGAACGTTGCTGATGGCGGTCGGTCCCCTAGCATTTTGCATGATGCGATTGTTGGAGTGCCATCCAATCAGAGAGCAGCCTACACGGCTATTGTTTTCTTTTTACAGCTATAGTCGCGAAGTATAAAGGAAACTGGTTCAGAGCGATTTGGGATTCCTCACCCCCCACCACATTCTTCATCGATGTACTCTCACACCTACCCATATAATGGAGACGGATTCCATCCCGCCGTTGAGGACATGTCTGACCATGTGAGTACGCCAATCCTTACATATTGTACTTCATTTCATGCTTTTTGGTATGTATTCAGGACGTTAGTACGCTCGACCCGGACATGAACCAGCACATAGTTCGTAGCTCCTTTCCCGTCATTCTTATAGCTCGACTTAACGACATTTACAGATATACGATCCAAGCTACAGTGGTACTACTGAAGACATGTACCAGCGTGGTCCTGTCTTGTACATGCCTGTGCGTATATTTCTAGAACGTGTCGATGCTTTCAACGAACCCGAATCTGGCAGCGCCCTTCCATCATTGAGCACTAAAGTGTAACCTGTCTGCTCAGGCCGCACATATGGTAAGGGATGGGCAGCCATACCCATACCTGACAGGTCAGGTAGACGAGATGCATGGGTCAAGACAGCTACCGGTCAGGACCGTTTGCCTATTCGTGCTTACTACCAACCTATTCACACAACCGAACAGGCTCAGCCCGACGCTAGAGAAAATAACTTTGCCCAGGACACTGGCGTCATGGTCGATCAGCTCACATCTCAGTTTGCCTCTGTGAGTATCCCTCTGAGCTATTTTAAGGCGCCGCTTCTCGTTGTGCAACAGGACGCTGACTCGCACATATACACCCATATCTTTCATAAGTCGACTGTGATTGGCGACAGCGACCTTTCTGCACAGACCTCTTCGTCTTCGTCTCTCTCCAGATCCATCACATTCATCGCACAAGATAGATATCAGCAACAGAAGGGGAAAGACCGTTATCGTCTTCCACACACCGCATCGTCTATTTCCTTTCGTGGCCATGGTGAAGGCGAGGATGGAGTTCACGCTGCAGTATGCATTAATCACCCCGGACTCGAGAACGCAGAGGAATGTGTTCTCGTGGGCCACGAGAGTGAAACTATCACGGTACACGTATTACCATCGGTGAGAACTTGAATTCCTCCTATGCGTTCTACACCACTGTGAGCATAATATGTTATTAACGCATGTCTTGTCTTCTGGATTCCTAGGCCGAATACAAATCACAAAATTAGTCCGACTGGAGTGGCACCATCAACATCAAGGCAGGAAAGTCCGAAGGTGGTGGATATAACCCAATAACACGTCGACAACTTTTCGAGCGACTTTCTCGCCGTTTTAAGGGATGTGTGGAGGGCCGCCGGGTACGTGGGCATTCATGTAAATCGGATGAACGTCTCGATCTTTAACTGAAGAGCTGTATCATTTAGAGCTCCTCCAGGTCCACCACCGGCACTGTCCTGAACCCCTTCCCACCGAAGATGACTTTAGGAGATATAGTGATCCGTAGGCTATACCAAGTGTCGCAAGGATCATGGCAAGTCGAGCTTGGCTACAAGGAGTCAGACTCGCTGTGATTTTACGACATTTAGTAAGGGAGTGGTGCGTGCACTGGCAAGCAGTGCAGCGCGGGTCTCTACTATTTTCTACAAATCCAAAAACGAGAGCCTCGGATTCTACCGGTTCAGATGCGACCCGCATTTTGCACTGGTTATTTCTGGGAAAATAAAACAACATAGGCTTCGAGTATGCCTTCATAATTATCTCGTTTATCTTTTATTACCCCGCCCACCCTTACTTATTTCTTCCATACACACCCTCCTGTATCAAAATTAACCTACTTCTTCCTTCCCCTTCTATTTCGTGTCGTATTGCGTGTCATTTACTATTCCTCCTGTCCTCACATGTACGACTAATAACTATAATGTGTTTGTAAACTCAACTCCCTTTCCGCATCGCTCCTCTCCCGTTCCCCCATCCACCTTACACGGGCTAACATAAAGTAAACTACTCTCTCTTTAACCTCCCCATCATAATTCCCCCTCACTTTCCCCTTAAAGCCAGTTTCCCCGATTGCGTCACACTCGTGCCGGATAGACGATGATCTATATCGTAACGGCTCTCCTCATCTGTTAGTGTGTACTGTACTTGATCTTGAAGGTGTATCGACACCAAATATTATAGCGCATGTGCTATCGTATGGCTTTGCTTACGGGTTCGATCGTACCAGTATAAGCAAGAAGAGCCCATCGCTTGACATGATGAGTCAGATTGATGAATTTCGAGACTCGTAGCCTGATAGTCTCACGTACGCTACATACAACGTTCGACGGCCCCCTCTCGGCAAGACGCGCCATAATCATACAACTGGCCTCCCCCGCCCCTCCAGATAGTCGCATCCTGCTCTGATTTGCAATGCCATCTGAGCGAGCTATGTTCGCATGTATCAATAATGTCATGAGCAATGTATCACATGAAGATAGAAAAAGACAATTACATTCTCTTCCTTGAATGCTGCAAAATGATCGCCTGGGATCTCAAGCACTTCGATCCCGCCACGCCCGACCAAGCTCTCCCATTCCGCCACACCAGCTCCAGGCTTAGATCTATGCTTAAGCCACTCGGGAACATCTTCCGGGGGCACACCTCGGGGATGGAAACCTTCCTTTGAGCGCAGGAGAACGAGTGGCGGGTAGGATGAACCGTCTACATAACCACCTCTTTTGTCGTCGGAAGCTTGAAAGGTTGATCCGTACCGCTCCAAGAGCTTCGCATTTTCGGTAAACTGGCTCTTTACACACATTTGGATACCTTTTCGCCGGCCAGATATGGGTGAAGAGCAGGAGTGTGGCTCCGATGTTTGTGATGTGAGCACGGCGTCGATTACCGTCAAGGACATGGGGACGTGCTGGACGGGACACGGCGAATCAACGAGTATGACACCCCGGACTGGCGACCTCATCTCTGAATTATTGTATCGAAGGAGCTGCCGCGCAATTTCGAATGCGACCACGCCACCGAAGGACCAGCCTATAAGATGAAGTCGTATATAAGAATTGGACGTCTGGCAGTGTCAGAGAATTCACAGTTTGATGTATTACGCACCAGCTAAAATGACACCTTCGTCGACCGCACATCTTCCGTTCTGGCTCTGACTCCTCTGACTTGCCTCCAGGACGTACTGTGTGTACTCCTTCGCCATCTCTTCCACGCTATCCCAGTTCTCCTCTTCAACTCCGTCTGACGCCCGTTCGTTATGGCAATTGCTACCGCAGTCTACGCGGAGGAACTTGGGGTTTTGGATTCCCCATAGGTCCCTACCGATCGATGGTAGGCGTCGGAGATAAGACAAGAGCCCGGAGCCATCATGGATGAAGACGATAGGGATAGGTATGTGACCGCAACGAGATGCGACTGAAGTTGAAAAGTCAGATGGTGGGGAAGAAGCCGTGCCTGAGTGTAACGGAAGGGGGCAGGAAGACTGTATAAGCAAAGGATTCTCGTCGAGCTGGAGTAGTCGACCCAGGGCGACTTGTGTGTCCTCGGTTCCCGCCGCCGCACTTTCGTTACCTTCCTCCTGGAGGGGGTAGAAGTTTGGCTTTCTCTCCTTGTCTTGGGCGCGCACTCGTACCCCCTTCTGAATTTGGCTGTCCACAAGCATCACCAACTCTCGTACCGTCTCGCAGCGCTCGAACAACGCGCAGCCTGTCGTCTCCATCCCTGTCCTATTCTCCTTATGAACCCCCAATGCATCCCACAATACACTCTGCACCTCTATACTCGTCAAAGAATCCAGGCCCAGCGCATCCAGAACAACGTCGTCGCCGATCTCGTAAACCGGAACTTCGAGAACTGAACTTAGTATGGACTTGACCTGAGCGGATATGTCGTCCTTGGTTTCGAGAGCAAGAATAGAAGGATCCAGGCTCGATCTGGGGTAATAGGTGTGGGTGGCCATGGCGGAGGAGTCATCGTCGTTGACGAGCGTCGGGATAGTCGAGAAAGAATCGTCGCCAGGAAGATGAGGGAGGAAAGACGTTGTGGATACGTCGGGATATTGAAATTTCTCCACTGCCGCTATAATCTCTTCGATAGTCCTGCATTCCGCCATGATAGATGTTGACCTCGATGATGGGAGTCGCTGAACGGAGGGGAAACGTTCTCGGAGAGCACCCAATATCTCGATAGACATGAGAGAGTCGATACCGTAGTTGCTAATCTCAACGTCGAGATCAAGGTCTAGGTCGGCCAGGGAGATATCACAAGTTTGAGAGATAACTTGAATGATTTCTGCGCGAGTATCTAGAGCGGGCTCGGGATTGGAGAGGGTGAAGGCGGTGGAAGCCGTAGACAAGTGAGAGGAAGAACGAGAAATATATGGAGGTTGAACCAATGATCGTCGGTAGTCGGAATGTGTTGGTGATTGGAGTGTCAAGATACGAGAATGGGCTGTTGTCGATATCGCAGATGCGACCGTAGGAAGACGAGCGGGGCCGGCATGGTCAGGACCGCTGCGACCGGCGAAAGCAACAAGGCTCCGCCTCAAACTAGTGATTCTGATCTTTCTGAACTCTATTCCTTCCATTCTCGCTACCACCTTGTTACACCCACCCTCTTTCCCTTTCTCATTGGTGACTTCGATCACTACTACGTGCGCCGTAATACTAGTGGTGCCGCGAAGTAAGGTCATATAAATGCCGTAGGCGTCGTTTCCGCTTGTGAAATTTGGAGGAGCATCCATGAAGCCGAGTTTGGAGCAGATGAAGGCTTCGGATGGTTCTGCAAGGAGGTTAGCGAGGAAGCCTGCGGCATGAAGCATTCTGTCCAGCACAACTTTCAACTTTGAGTCTCCCTCCCCGAAAAGTCACAGTGACAGAGGTATAAACGACTCACGTGTCTAAGAAGATAGGATGCAGTACGAATCCTATCTTTCCTTCCCCAAAGTTCTGCTCGGGCCCTGAACCTCGCAATGTCGGTACCTGAACGATGGCATAACCTTCCATACCACCCTCCCCGACAATCAATCTCTTGATAGCTCTGAACTCCTCAGAGTACATCACAACTCGCGGAAAGACTACCTCGTATATTGTCCGCGTCGAAAAGATCTCCACCGAGTATGCCTCATCTAACGACGTGAGACTTGAGATACGATCGGAAATATCGAATTTTATGTCGGAGGAATTAGTTGTGGTGGTAGATGACTCGATGGAAGGCGAGAAATTGAAGACGCCTGTGCAATGGGTGGTTTTTTCCGAGTGCTGCGGCCTCTGTGAAGACAATGAAGATTCGATGAGATGGGACGTGACACTGAAGGATCCCATTCCATCCGGACCAGGTATCGTGACTTCAGACCGAATGACCCTCTCCACACCTTCCATATATACCAACGGGTTGGTATACTCGACATCCGTTAGCAACGTTACGTTACCACCCGCGTCTTCGTCATCTTGACCACCAACTTCGATGGCAGCCCGGGTGCATGCGACGGCCTCCAACACTAACTCCAAGTACACCGACGCAGGACACAATGCGGCCTCGCCGACTTTATGTCCCTCAATGTACCTCCTCACCATCTCTATCGGCGTCTCGAATATAGAGATATTTTCATTTGATGGAGATGGGTGTTGAGTCCAGGATCCAAGCATCGCAAATCTTGACAGGTCTGTTGGTGTGGCGGTGGCGGTGGCGACGCGCTTAGTGTGGCGATATCGAGAGGTGGTGGTATCTTCTTTGTACGAGACCCAGAACTTCGTCTTCGCAAACGGATACGTTGGCATCGATATGCATCTCGGTGCTTCTTGGTATCGGCACTCGAAAACCTCTCTCCACTTCACATCCACCCTCGCCATATACATCTGTGCCAAAGTTGAGCCCAATGTAGTCCAAGGCTCGATGCCCTTGCGCATCGAACCCAGGAACACGGTCCTGCTTTTATGAATGTCGAAGTCGTCACAGGCCACGGTGGAACTCGTCCCGGAATTGGCATTCAGCATTGGTAATGTTGTCGTGCTCGGGCCTATCTCCACCCACATCCCCAAACCATCTCCTGCGACACCGTTCCCCATGAAAGTGCCGAGCGAACGCAGTCCACGCTCAAAGTGAACGGGTTCGGCGCAGTGCATCGCATAGTATTCAGCATTGAAAACGTCCGTGTCGCCAGGCATAACGATTTCGCCATAAACATTCGACACGATAGGAATCGTCGGGGCTCGGATTGATATACGTCTAGCGAGGGAAGTGAGGTCGTCTAGCACTGGAAGCATCGTCGGGCTATGATATCCGTACGGCACGGACAGGATGAGGTTCTTGACGTTCAGTTCATTGAGGTGTAAGCGCAGGACGATGAGTTGGGAGATCGGGCCTGAGATGACGCAGTCCGTCGGACTATTGAAGCATGAGATGTGGCACTCGCTGAAATCGTGGCGGAGATCGTGGCTGGTAATGATATCGGAGACAGAATCAGAGCTTATATTGACAGCAAGCATTCCGGTAGCGTTGAGTGTGCATCTCTGGACCATCCATAACGCTCGATTTGCTATGAGCAGCAAAGCGCCCTTCAGCGTCAGAACGCCAGCGATGACTTGAGCTGCATATTCTCCTAGACTGATAGAGGTGTTAGTCACATCCTAAGTTCGAGTTGTGTAGAGTCGCGAGTTACCTATGACCCACAACGACTACCGGCCTAACACCCCAGGTCATCCAAACCTGGGCTAAAGCCCATTCGACGGCAAACACAGCAGTTTGGTGCGCCTGCACTTCCTCTTCCCGGTCCAACCCACTCTTCTCCCCTTCCCCCAGAATAATGGCCAAAACTCCGGGGAATCCCATTTTTCTCAGAATCGAATGACATTCGTCGACGCACTTGCGGAATAGCGGAACAGAATGGTAAAGACTCGCACCCATACCGAGGTACTGTGATCCTTGTCCTGAGAAAACGAAAGCGATTTTGGGAGGGGCGGGGGTAATTTTGGCCGTGATCGAGGGTCGGGTCCGACGCGAATCGATGAGCTTGCGCCAAAGGTCTTCCTTGTCAGTAACAGAGAACGATATCCGATGATCGTAGAGCTGTCGTCGTGCCGTAGCCGTATACGTGATATCGGCCAACCGCGCCTCTTCTCCGTCCGCCGTCTGCAACCACTCAATGTAACGCTCGCGGAGTCTTTCAAGAGCTTCTTCCGTCTTCGCAGATAGCCCAAAGACATATGTCATATTCCGGGTGTCGGGGGAAGGAAGAGGATATATATGTTCCTCCACGACCATGGCCGCATTGGAGCCTGCTGCTCCAAAGTTGTTTACCACGCCAGCCCTTGGTAGCCCGCCTCCCGGCTGTTTCCACTCCATATTTCTCGTCGGAATGACCGAACCGTCGATCCCAAGGGGCAGGATCCTAGGGTTGAGTTCTCGGAAAAAGGCCTGACGAGGGATGGTCCTATGTTTGAACATGAGCAACAGCTTCGCGAGACTGGCGGCTCCAGATGCGGCTTCCAGATGCCCTATGTTCGCCTTGATGGAGGTTATGTGGAGCGGATTATTCGTAGATCGATGCGGTGAGGCGAAGACGTTTCGTATACTCTCGAGCTCAGTCGGATCGCCGGCCTGCGTGCCCGTCCCGTGAGCCTCCACGACGTTGACCCTCTCAGGCTCGATTTCGGAACGGTGCAATAGGCGTTTGAGTAGCGTGGTTTGAGTGGCTGCGTGAGGGTGAGTGATCGAATCTGCGAGTCCGCTTTGATTGATGTCGACGCCGCGAATGACGCCTAGTACGTTGTCGTTCTCCGAAAGCGCGTCGGAGAGGCGTTTGAGAACAAACATTCCGCAGCCTTCAGAGCGGGCATACCCATCTGCAGAGGCGTCGAAGGGTTTACATTGGCCGGTAGGGGAGAGAAAGTGCGCGCGGTCGAGGCCGAGGAACATCTGTTGGGTTGTACACGGGACGGCGTGGATGAAGAAGATATTGATGATATTGGGGCGAAACGGACCACGGACGTCAAGAAATACTCGAATGAATAGAGGGATAGCACGTACGTCTGGGCCTGTGATAATGTTGATGCCGCCTGCTACAGCGGCGTTACAGTCTCCACTTGCAAGGGCGCGGCATGCCTGGTACATGGAAATAAGTGACGACGAGCAAGCTGTTCAGAAAGAATGCCCATTGTGTCAGTGATCGCTCAGGGTACCGAAGAAGAATAGGAAAATTATAATTACCTGTATCCACGACGATTGACGGCCCTCCGAAGCCCATAGCATACGATATCCGTCCGCTTAAGAACGCTCTCAACGTCCCTGGACAGATCATGGACCAAATTAGCCAAAATCCCACAGAGAATGATTGCGCTCGGACAGAACTCACCCGTAGCATAATATACATCCACATCATTCTTCAAATTCTGGGTATAATCTCCGGTAGCGGCACCAACATAACACCCAAAGGTCTCTCTTTTCCACGTATCCGTCGCATCGGGCACGTAACCCGCGTCCTCGAGCGCCTCATACGTCGTGTGCAGAAGAATACGCTGTTGAGGGTCGAGAGAACGGGCCTCACGAGGTGAGATCCTGAAGAACTTGTTGTCGAATACATCGGGACCATCGATGAAGTTACCCATACGGGCCTTCATTGTACGAGGCGTCGAGCTCGAGGTCGCGCCCGAGGAGGCTGTCGGGTCTTGATAGTCGGAGATCTGGAAGCGATGCTGTGGAATCTACGTAGAAGGTGACACTGGGAATGAGGCTCTTGGCGGGACGGAAAAAGACGAGTACTGACCTCCGAGATCGTATTCAAACCTTCCTCCAGAAGCCGCCAAAGCGAAGATACATCCGGCGCACCAGGCATATTGATGGCCATTCCAACGATCGCGATATGTTCCTTTTGCAACTTGGATGTACCCGTGATATTTGAAGTCGTACCAGGAACGATGCGGGTCATAGTCAGATCCAGAGATTCGAAAGCGATCGAAGAAGCTGCCAGATATCGTTCGAAAGTTCGTAGAAGACCAGAGCCTGGACCGATATTGACCACTCGAACGGGTTGGCTTGAAGCATAGGCAGCAGCGGAGAGTAGAACGTAGTCCCAGTTGACCGGATGAAGCATTATAGCGTCTACCATGGCCTCTAATAGTGTCTCGCCATCGATGCTTCGTAGAGCTTCACCCGTAAGGCTGGAATGTACCGGACACACCAAGTCAGAGAAGGCGGGGAAGGAGATATTCCTACGAGAGATATCGGCAAGAATGTCGTCACGAGCAGCTCCGAGATGTTCTGCGCAATGAAAGAGCGTGGAAACGGTAGATTTGTAGGCAGGATAGTTGGCGGATACAGAGAGCGCAAATGATTCCAAAACGTCAGGTCGGCCTGAAATGGTGACGCTGTGATGATCCATCACGGCAGTGAGATACAGAGGAGCAGGCTGGGTCTGTTCCTGTTAACCGAAAATATGAACTTTTGACTCTTCGGGGAAAAGGATTGATTTACCTCTTCGAACCGCTTCAACACACCCAGGGCAATTTCGCGATTCATGCCGAGAAAGACGTAGCTCCACGAGTCATTTTCTGGGTCTTCATCCAACGGGTCGATGTCCTGGGTTGATGCACGTCGATATAGCTCCGTATGCACGCCTATCCAGAAGGCGACCCGAAAGGCTTCCACAGATTTAGAAATGTAATCCAGTGTGGAGATTGAAGACGCGGACACGCAAGCTGGAAGTATTCCAGAGGAGAAGCCGCAGAAGTTGAAAGAAGGCAAGCTATGTCGTGCAGGTGCGTAGGGATTGTTTGAGAGTGTTTGAGTTTCCATGAAAGCGAGATAGCGAAGAGATTGCACTAGAAAGATGCGTATTCCGGACATGATGGTCCTGTGTTTCGGTGGCGAAAGATTCCAGAGAAGTGATTCCGACGTGGGGAAGTCGGAACACGTAATATCGAGGCCGTCTAGTTGAGCAGGAGAGAGGGCAGCGAGCTCTGAAAACAATGCGCGGTGGCATTCCGACATAAGCATGGAACCAGATGGAGAAGACGCATCGTGCAAAGCGAGTGTCTGAGTGTGTACAGAGTCCAAGGACGGAGTACCCTGTCCAGCGAATACCACGACAGAAGCTATTTCGTTTTGATGCATGATCCGTTTGGAGCGATTCTGACGTCGAGTGATAGGGAGGTCGTTGCTTTTAGAGTGATATCTAGCTGAGATATCAGGGGCCAACAGCGGAGAGAGCTACAAGAAAAGTAGGTGATAAGTCGAGAGCAGATTGCGAGTGAGATAAAGAGTTCAAAGAGGACATGAGGGCTTGATTTGCAAGTGGAAAGACGGGATGCATGCGTCATGAACTCCACAGCTACCAAAAAGACGGGCGGGCGATAGAGAATGGGATGAAGACCATCATGCAGATCGTCTGAGATAGAGACCAAAGTCCGCCACACCACGCATGCAGCAACATAGAAGAGACATCTGAAGCGGTAAAAGTGGACTATGCACACGAACGACTCACCGCGTATGAGCTTTCCTACAAGCTGCGATATTGGTACGAGATAAAGGCTGAAAGTTTTTCTTAATTGCCGTCGCGGACGGACTGAGCGAATAGGGAGAGATGCCTCGGCGGTCGCGTCGGTGATCAGCGCTGTCAGCGTTTGCAGTGGCGTTCGAAGGAGTGTGAAATTTTGGTGAAAGTGATAGACTAGACACCGGACCGACACCTCCGGTGAAAAGGATCTAAGTCTTTCTCGACCATTCCTAGATCGTCGATGAAGGAGAGAAGCAGTTCTTGAGCAATTCTATGCAGGATATGGACGCCGATTTTGGAGACCATAGAAGTTCAGTTGATTCTGTGGCGTGGTCAGCGAGCTCGGAGCAACTCGGGAACAAGCGTGGGAATTTGCTGCTGTCGGCGGTTCACGATGTTCACAATTTGCAATGCGAATGTTCACTAGACTCTAGTACCCTCACGATCCACGATTCATACCGCGATAGACCGCGACCCGGTTCGATTCTTCTCTCCTTCAGTCGACGCTTGCACTACTTTGTAGAATGATCGTCCTATCATCGTGCGTGGAGCTACAGCATCTCAATGAAAGGAGAGACTGTCAGTGATGTCTCTATGACGATGAGTCCTTACATGCTACTCGGGGCGGGGCTCTCAAAAGGCTTGAACCCGTGGGGTGGTCCTCTTTGTCCTTAGTTAATTGCAAGAAGTGTGTAATTGCTCAGATCTCAGGTTGCTGTGATGCCGCCGCTTGACTTGTTACAGACTAGCTCACAGCAGCTACAACTACTCAGACACCCACATAAGTTTTTCTTGGAACTCGGCGATGAGGCGTTCAAAAGCGATGCGTCTCTACTTTTGGAGCATCTGGGCCAGCCACGTCAGCAGAAGCGACCTTGTATGAGCAGGTACGCCCCCATGACTGCCCCTCATCTTCCACCAACGGCTCAAGTCTTCATCAGTCCTTTGTTTAGTCTCTTTACTTGCGGCTCCGTCGCGTACGTCGCATGTCCAGCCTCGTTCGCGCTGTCGATGCCTAGCAGAATTTCAGAAAGTGATCCAGCAACATGCCCGACTATTTTCCTAAGCTGTCGTATATGGCACGAGCCGACTTTGAACCGAGCCTCGTGGCATGGGCAGTATACAATCACCCAAACATCCTCTCTATACCGCCCACGTTTATTCTTGAAGCAATCAATCGCCGCATATCCTCACTGACTGACTGCATAATGTGCCCGAAGAAATGCCATCAGAGGTCATGTACAACTTCTCTTCATCGCATCCGCACACCTGCATTGAACCACCTTTCATCGAAGAATATCCGTCGCGGGCCGCGCACATCGTAGGCCGCTCCTTGCTCCCTGCTGGATGCCCATGAAAATGACGAGCATTCGTATAAAGACACATTCATCGCGACTCCTTGCATTTATAGACTCCCAAGCTCTCATTCTAGTCCCTCGGTCCACTCATACCACGGTAGGATGTTGAAGCTCGCCGCTGCATTTTCTACCCTTGCCGCCTTCGCGCCATTCGTGGCCTCTCAGTCTGCTGTCTGGGGTCAGGTATGTCAATGATGTGCTCCTTTCTTTTGGATGGCCCGATCTTTGACGACGTCCTTTTCTAGTGCGGTGGCATCGGTTGGTGTAAGTCAATCGCGCTACACAGGAATCAGCATTCTTTGGGTACTTACACGACGCCTTTTTTCTAGCCGGCGCTAGCACTTGTGCATCTGGCTCCGTTTGCACGTATTCCAATGCCGTCCGTATTATTTTTTTCCTGGGAGCGTCACCGACTAATTAATTTTGATTTCAATAGTACTACTCCCGTAGGTGCACTCTAACTGTCGTGCATCTGTTCCCCTTCCTGATGCATGTTAATTTTTCCTATCATTCCCAGAATGCATCCCGGTATGTCTTCCTCGCCAATCACGCCCCGTGCCACTCCTTGTAGAGCTGACTGGCATTCGTCGTTAACGCTGTGTAGGGCACGGGAAGCGGTGGTGGAGGAACTGCTCCCAGTTCAACTGTCAGCTCCCCCTCCCCCACGGGCTCTGGAGGTCTTCCTGTTGGAACCTCCACCTCGAAGCTTAACACCGTGGCCAAAGCTGCGGGGAAGACCTACTTCGGTACCGCCACCGATAACTCAGAGTTGACCGACGCAGCATACACGGCAATTTTAGACGACAACACCGAATTTGGTCAGATCTCGCCGGCGAACAGTTGGAAATGGGTGTGTAATTATTAGCCTTGCTATTCCTCCAACCCGATGGAAGAACCGAGTTTAATGACAGTTACTTTTGCGCTTAGGATGCGACTGAGCCTTCACAGGGAGACTTTACGTTCACACAGGGTGATGCTATCTTGAGTCTGGCGAAGGGAAATGGACAGCTTCTTCGTGGTATGTTACTTGTTTCACTGCGCTGAATGGAAAACGGACGTTGATGATTGTTTGCTTATCAACAGGTCACAACTGTGTCTGGTACAACCAACTTCCCAGCTGGGTGAACAGCCTTTCTGGTTCTGCCCTCTCTAGCGCCATGGTCAACCACTGTACCACCCTCCTCACGCACTACAAGGGTGACACCTGTACGTTTTTCTCGAAACTTCCCCTCTTCTCTCTGTTGACCGTTCTCTATGCCCTCACCAGACTCCTTCGACATCGTCAACGAGCCCTTCAACGATGACGGCACCTGGCGCACAGACGTCTTCTACAACTCCCTCGGCACCTCCTACGTCAACACCGTCCTCACCGCCGCCCGCACTGCCGACCCTTCCACTAAACTCTACATCAACGAGTACAACCTCGAATATCCCTCTGGAAAATCCGATTCGATGCTATCCCTCGTACAGTCCCTCCAAGCCGCAGACGTCCCCCTTGACGGCATTGGTTTCCAGGGCCATTTGATTGTGGGGCAGGTTCCTACAACGTTCCAGAGTCAGATGGAGGAGTTCACGGCTTTGGGCTTGGAGGTGGCGATCACGGAGTTGGATATTAGGATGACGTTGCCGGCGACGGCGGCACTCTATGAGCAGCAGAAGACGGATTATCAGAATGTGGTTGCTGCTTGCAACGCGATTGAGAAGTGTGTTGGGATCACAATTTGGGACTTCACAGTACGTTTGCTTTTGCTCTTCCGTCTTTTTCTTTGTTGTTCCTTTGGTAAATCGATCTGATGTTTATATCATCGTGATGTAGGACAAGTACTCGTGGGTGCCCTCAACGTTCCCCGGCTCTGGTGCGGCCCTGCCATGGGACTCTGTACGACCATCCTTTGTCTCTCCAGCCCATCATGCTAATATACCGTTGAACAGAACCTCGTCAAGAAGCCCGCTTTCGATGGTATCGTCGCCGGATTCGCCTAAATCGTTTCTTCGTATCTTTCGGGTCATGTCTCGCTCATAATGTGGTATCGTCTCTTTCTCCCTTTTCGTCTGGGTAAATGGTGCGATGGCTACAGCGCCATATTGCCGAGCTGTCTTCAGGTCACTCCCTAGCCCTGTTCGTTTGTTTGTATTTACGAACCAAAATGAAGCATACAACAACGTATACTGTGCTGCTTCCATTATTACTGGGCACCTTCCTTCATTGACCTGACACTGGCTCCGATGTTGAGATGTCAAGCTTTTAGACGCCTGGTCATCTGCGGCGGGCAGTGGCGTAGCCTTTGTCCGCGTGGTGACGACGCTGCTGTAACCTGTCTCTCTCGTGGGCATTGACCTATGTAAACGACCGGTGAAGCGTACCGAATGATAATGCACAACGCACTTTTAGCACCGCACATACACCGAATGTCAATGCCGTTATATCTCGCTTATCATTGTGCGTAGGTAGACCTTGTGTTATTATCAGGTGCATGACGGCATTTATGGCACGGTGCAATGTGCGGGGGCAATGAGATCAGGCATATAAGGCATGGCTCCTACTCATAATCCTCACTCGTCGTATCTGAAGAGCTTCGGCGACGGCGAATATTGTCTAACAGTCTAACGCAAGTTCGCAAGGGAGCACTAACTCCTGACTTTAGGTTATTCTCTTTGATTCATTTAACGAGCATGACATCCAAGTCTTGAGCTGCGTTGGAAATATCAAGATAATGCGCTGACACCAATATGCTACGTAAGTCTACTGGCTACGTAGTCTCGAGAAGCATAAAACGGAAAGTATATAGCATATAGCTTATAGCTTATTGCGAGAAGAAGTATGGGCATCAAAAGCCAAACCCTTCATCTCCGTAAAGCGCGTCTTTTGCGCACTTTCATCATGCGTCGGCCTGGGCTCATAATTGGGTGGAAGCTGTCACATAAAAACAGCCAGCCCACGCTCACTACTGCAGAAAGCCTCTCCCTCGATTCCTCAGCGCTCCTGCTCCATCTACTGTGCATATCCTGTACGCTCTATATTATACGTCCTCCTCTTGTCTTTATGGTCGATGATAGTCCACAAGGTTGGTGCTTCATGAGATCCTCGTCGAATTCCCACTATTCGGTGTCTTACTTACCTCGTTCTTTGGCGTAGATCGAACAACGGACGACGAGGTTCCGGAACGAAGTGTATACCCCGCAGCAACTACACCTCGGAAGTTCGAGAACTTTCGACTGAGTGATCAGGGACTAGCATCACAGGATTGGCCTTTCACCAATTATTGGCATGATCCTGTAGGCCAGGTATGTTACTCAGGCTGTTCAACTCGTTGTCCAGAGGCTGACTCGGGATCAGGATCCATACAACTCAAATGAACTTGCCCTCATACCGGATAGCTATCTTTCCGCGACTATCTCGACGTCTTCCGCAGATCCGAGTCAGTATCTTGAGGGCCATGGTGCGAGTAGCGGCGCAATTCCATATGCAGCATCAACGGTATGATGTCGCACGGCTTCTTTCCCCCTCGTGCGGTAACCTTTTGCCTCTTAGTTCCAGCCAGACGGCTCTGTAATGGACACGCAAGCCTTCCACTGGGGTATGGCCAGCATGGGCCAGTCAAGTCATGTATCTGTCCATGGTGCGCAGGCAGACATTCACCTCACATCTTCATGTTCCCTGGTCGAGGCACCGCACGACCAACCTGGACCACCAGCCAGCCGTATTATCCAAATTCCTCAAGTCCGCTATGTCCACCCTTCCAAAAGGGGGAGGACGCGTTACGGCCGCCCTATCGACCTCGAACCAATCATTTTTTGCCTCAGTGGTTCTGGTGAAGAAGGTGTCCTAGCTTCAGACGCGTTTGACGGCCCGTTTAGACACTCGACTTTACACCTCGAAGGTGCAGATGACGTGGTCTTTAGGGCGGATCATGCGAGGAACATCACGATGCATATCTTAGTAAGAATTTTGTTTTTCCCCGCACTGTCTATACCTGTCCTGTCTATCCCTTAGAGAACTCTGACGCCCGCTGTATTCTGTTCTCGATGATTATTAGTGGCCCGAATGCACACCATGGAAGGCTTTGATTAGCACGAAATGCTTTGTAGCGAAGCAATCTGTGCCAATCACTCGAGGCATACTAGCCAAGCGAATCGCCGCCCAGTTGGTCTCTTTCACGAAGGCATTTACTCACTCACTCACGATACGCTCTCTGGGGCACATTGCTGATGAGTGTATACCAGCAGATACCGCATCCCAGTATACCCGGCTCAACGGTCCCCTCTCCAGCAGGCTTGAGATTGGACCAGATCTCCATCCGAAGATTCTATCCCGTCTCTCAGGGAGCGTGGCAGGTTGATCTTACGGTTACAGTACCTATTGTATAATATTACTGCACATTGACAGTGTCTCTCATTTCCACCATTGTAACGATGCTTCCCCGTCTTTTCACATACACCTTCTCTTTACTGTGGACTATTACCCCTTTGAACCGCCGATATTTTACTCTCTGTATACTTACGTTCCAACACTTGATCCCAAATTGTCAGTAGCATGCGAGGGAGTGTTCACAACGTGGAGTGACATAGTAGAATGCCGATCTGCATTATCCTCCCAGACCCACATAATCGTAATAGAAAGCTATGGATAACATGAACGGAATCTAACCAAAAAAGTGACTCCAAAGACGATAAAAACAAGGATAATAAATAAATTTACACCAGGCCCTTCCCACCCATTCTGACCGTATCTTCCACAGCCTTCACACACTCCTCCCAGACCCTCCTCCAAACGCCAACCACACTAGCGCCCCCGCCCTGCACATTAGATCCATTGCCCAACCTCCTCCTCACATCCCTCGCGGTAATCCCACCCCCACCTGGACTCACTAACCTCGCCCCTTTCTTAACCCGTAGAACGAGCGAAACCAAAGGAAGGACGACGAATACGGCAACAAATACCATCCACTTCGGTGTGTTCGTGAGACCTTGGAGGTGAAGCCTCGATAACCATGGATGTATAATTTCTCGCAGAAGTGAGAGTGGGCTGGGTGAAGAGATGCGTGATCTTGAGGGTGCGGTAGAATGTAAAGGCGACGCCATAGACTGTGTTTTCACAAGCGTTGAAGGAGGTGTGAGGCTCGACGGTGAATGCCTACCATTAGCACGCGCCTCCCCGTTTGAATGTACCGGGCCATTCACGACTCCGTGGCCATTTGCATGGCCGTTCGTTATTGATTGGGGATCATGACCTCTATATTTTGAGATAGGTCTTTGGGTACCAGGTGCAGGTGTGACTGTTCTCGAGGTCGCCGTGGAGCTGGAACCAGGCGTAGGCGGGCGAGATGAAGATGCCGATGACAATGGTGCCAGAGAAGAGAGGCTCGAGGAAGAGGACGAGATGTTGCAGGGTCGACTGGATAGAGGAACGGCGGTCTTTGTTGATGTTGTTGAATGAGAAGAGATAGATGGTGTTGGTGATGGTGAGCGAAGATTTTGTACTGGTGCCGATGACGAAGAAGAGAGCGTGGAGGAGTGAAGGCTTGGTGACGATGGCGGTGGCGTTTGTGACGTGATGAGATATTGTGCATGGAGAGCTTTCAGCGTTTTGAGAATATGCTGTGTGTTGAATGGTCAATAACCGTAGATAACATTCAGAGAAATACCGATTGGAGTGATGTCGTATGGAAGACAAAGACTGAGTGGCGATACATCCATAACGTGGTGACTCACCTGCTTTCGTTCCGGCGCTAATTCTCCTTCATACTCCAGAAATTCAACAGCGTAGTCCCATTCCTCCAGCACTGGGAGCACGTTCAAGCAATACACCTCCAACACCTTTTCGTATCCGTCCTTCTCCACCGGACCTGTCGGAACTAGATCCACACTCCCTCGCCTGGCCAACCACTCCTCGATCATCCACCTCCCGACAAGAGCACAGTCCGTCTTTAAGCTTGCCAGCACGAGTGTGACAAGAATCTGGCTAGGTAACCACGCACTTTCTGGTCTACCAACCCCATCCGGTGTAAAGAGTTGTAGTGACCTCGTATGGAGTGCAGTGATGAGTGACGAAGATGAAAGCATAGCATTGCTTCGTAATGGCGCTGGGATGGTCGCAGAATCATCTGGTGGTGAGTTATAGACGGTAGCCTCAAGCGTTATACGAAGGATATCCCATTTTCGACGCTGGTCCGCATAGAGTCCTTGAGTGCCACCCTGACTGAAGGATTGAATGTGCGGCGAAGGTGGTGCTGGAAGGAGGGTGAAGGCATTGGCAATAAGGGAGTAAGTGAGAGAGATGTCGCGGTGAAGAAATGCGCGCGCTGCACGAGAGTATATAGAGCGAAGGGTATTAAGGATTGACGGCGGTGGTTGTATCGACGGTTGTGGGGGTTGTGGCGAGGCTGAGGTGGCTTTCAGCGGAAGAGCATTTGTAGAGGTCATCGTGATGGATGTCGTCGAGGTCACTGAAGGCATGATAGACAAGTAGGGATACTATTCTCAAAGCTGAGTTAGCCTAGCCGTCGTCGTCGTTGCTGTTCAGGACGACTCGTCAACAGAAGCCGCATCCCCTTGTGTTTGTCAAGAAACCGAGTCGATTTCACATGGCCAAACATGGTGCCACCCAACTCGTGCCGCCGCCGCCGCCGCATTGGCAATTGTTCCCACGAGCCCCTTTCCTTCTTCCAACCAGCTTGTTCGAATTGAGTATCCCGGCCGTTCTCGAGGGTCATGTCTGCTCTAAGGTCAGTTGCCTAGTAAAGTATAGCTACAAAATCTGTTGAATTTTCTCCATTCATAGAACACGTCTCCTCCAAGCCGCCATACCTCTCGTACGAGAACACGGCTTCACCCGTCAAGCTCTTGCCAACTCCGTTCTGCATCTTCAAGCAGAGTCACGCTCAGAACCGTTACCGGACACAGCTGTAACAACTCTCTTTGGTGAGGGAGATAATGCTCGCCGGACCCTCATCGATGCATGGCTCGAAAAGGGCAGGATTCAGATGAAGTCGAGCGCTACTTCCTTGACGCCCGACTTGAAAGAAGTATTGCGTTCCAGGCTGGGATACAACGAGCCCGTTTTATCTCTTTTGCCGGAGGTGATTAACGTCGTCAAAATCCTTCCTGAAAGTGCTACTAAACTTATTGTATCAGGCTTTCGCCCTTCTCGCTTCTCCCCAAAATGGTCTTCCGCCACTCGACGTGAGGCCTGCCCTCCGTCATGCCACGAGCGTAGCCAATGACGCGTGCATCGCAATTCGCGACGAATCCCTTGGTGTAAGCATATTCACATCCTTTTGCTTTGTATCTTGATTAGGAACGTTTGTCTTCAGCCTTCATGGTACACGCAGCGTGCCACACTAGCCACAATATACACAGCCGCTGGTAACGTATTCTTTTCCTTCCGATCGAGGATTTGGTCTACTCCCGAGTCTCACTACCCTCTGTCGGTTCCAGAGCTTCACCAACTCACCTCGCCAGGAACTGCCCATGCATTCCTCGACTCCATCTTCGACACGGCTGCCTCTCTTCGGACTGCGGCTAGCGAGGCTGAGCTCTACTCTCAATATGTCGTGAAAAGCTGGGCGGCTCTCGTCAGGAGTTCCGGTGTACTCTGACATCTCTTTCTCTGATCACGCCATCGCCATTCTATACGGTCCAATATCACCGTGGCCCTCGAGCCATCTATCGCATGTTATGCACTTTGTGAGGTCCAATCACGCGCTCCGTTTCTGCCTACGTTGGAATGACCGTCTTCTTCTCGACCACGTCTGCATTAATCTGCGCAAGGATCAGTACATGGCCCTCCCAAGTCCTACAGTACTTCCTTTTGATTGAGTTTACTCCCTCGACGAGCCTGCTTCGTGCGGAAAGCGCCATTTGCAGTGACTGGCCGTTCAGCACAAGCGATACACAAGCTGGTCAGGACGCTTCCCCGATACGTTCATGGTTACTGTATGTGGAACGCCGAGTGCACCGAGTTTCGATGTTTGGAGCATACACTCGATAGTTTCAATATGGAGTTATTCGCTTTCGTTGACTGTGCGGTGTATCGGTTCAAGCCTGCGCATCCATCTGCGAGCCTCTGTTCAACTTGCATATTTTTCAGCGGTTGGCTACCGGAAAATGCTCCTTGTGGGACAACTCTTTTGAACAGATGAAGACGGTATTTGTCCTGTTTTTCGACACTACTTGGGTGGTTGGAAAGGATCTCCAAGGTGCAGTGTATCAGGACGATCCTTCACGGTATGTTTTATCCGAGGTGATTATACTCTATATTTGGAGTTCACGCATTGTTCCATTCATAGACATACGGCTCCAATGTGGGTCAGAGTCAACACAGCGCCTGCACTAATGGCAGTATGCGCGGACGACTCTGATTCCTCATTGACCACCAGGCGTCTTAGGGCGTTTCCTGAGTCTTTCGGGCGTCACTTCCTGTCTTAGAATGGTTTAGGTTTTCATTGGTATCACCGTGAATGGCGTCTTCACTAGGCAAAGCGTCATAGTTAGCGATGTGGATGTTCCCGTCCGTATCAAAGCTATGCATGTCCTGCATTCACTCTTGCTGGTCAGCAAAATTACATCACAAGGAGGCGACACCCATCGACCTTGCGAGTCGTTTCAGCGCTGTATCTCTACGGCTGTCATATGAAGTTCCCTGAGATTATAAGCTGCGCTGTGCGTGAAGGACGAGTTGTCCTCAACACTTCCTCCACCCTCTTTGCATCGCTCCACAACCCCAAGAAGTGACCACTGCAGCTCTTTACGCATCGCACCCGTACCCGACTCGCACAATCTGGGATGGCAACTCATAGCACTGATGGTCCGACCCGATTTCTCGGTGTGTTGTCGTTTTACTCAAATATATTTGCGGATGCAGTTAATAACGATACTTCTGAGCCTGCGTACCATGATCATACGGAGGCAAATGATTCTTTTCTCCCTGACATGGAGAGGCTTGCCGCTGATGCTATGCAATGTGGTGACGTCTTTCCACGACGCGGGCACCCTCATGCGGATTATGCGGCAGACGACCCCGACCATGTAATGATGCCACCCCACTCTGTCCAGTTCAACTTTTACTGACCTTGATCGCGATGACAGTATACCTTGATAAGACCGTCCGAAGTCGGTATACTCTCGGTTTAACCTATCTCTCACTTAGCTTGAAGCTCTTCACATATTTCAGGTCGTTCTCGGAGCATATTCCAATTCTATGTGGCCCAATACTCCCTTTGTACGTTTTCCCGAATGGATGAACCTCGCCGTGTCACACTTGGCAAAATTCGCTCACACATACTACTCTCCTTGTACACAACATGTCGTCCCAGGTCGGCACCTTCGGTACCTGCCTTGACGCTTCCGTAGATTCGTCAGCCACAAGCTACGTACGTGTTGACCGTAGCATTGCTTTGCAAAATTTATCGGTGAATCTATACAATATTTCCCCCGGAGACGATTGCTTACCACTTCCACTCATCTTCCCTAGTCTACGTCACCGTCTATGGTTCATATTCCTCAAGGACTCTATTCCCACCGCTCTAAGAAAAGCCGCACTCGTTACAGCCATCCTCTCGACAACGGTTATATATCGTTCTGTCCCTCTGGTACGAGCAAAGAGGGGATCCCACTCCAAGATGCCCTGGATAGCAAGTTGCACCGTAGCATTGGAGGGCACAAAGGACGTCGTTCTACAAAATCATCCTGTCAACGTCACTCTGCACATCATGGTATGTCAGCACTTCTTCGCTTCCTGGTGTTAATGACCATAACTTGCGCGTTGCCCGCTTCGCAAACAAAGTGGCCGGGTCGCAATCCATGGAAAACTTTGATCTGCACAAAGCGCTCTAACAGAGAGAAACGCCTCCCGATCACTCGACTAGAACTTGCAAGGCGCCTTGCGAGAGCTATAAACCGATTTACCCAGGCAAGCGCCACAATAGCCTTAACATAATCACGAGTTATAATAATCATGAGGATTGACAGAATCCACCCAGTGCCGAGCTGGAAAGCTCGGATTCCACTAATAGTTCTTCCTTTGCGGTGCCCTCACCGAATGACCTCGTGTCTGATCAAATTTTTCTGAAACGGATGTATCCTGTGACGCACGGAGGATGGCAAGTCGACCTCGCAGTATTGTCTCAACAATCTAATACAACGACAGCCATTACTCCCTGATGCAACTACTCTTCGTTGAAGCTATGCCTTTTCTCTCCTTCCTACGTTCTGGTTAATGACTTCGTTGTATAGATGGTCGTTGACTATGTTATCAAATATATTCGCTTGGACTCTTCTTCCTCTCCTTCTTGTACTCTCCTATTTCATTATCGAACTTGCTTTGCGATATTGCTTTGGACTGCTTTGAGCCATTTTTTCTATGAATTCTATCCCTATTTTTGCTCTGACGTCCATGGACATCGCGCATTGCCTTGGTCTCGCTGCTATGCTTATGCTTTGAACCGTGACGAAAGATACGTGGTCGCATGATCAAACTGCTACTACGATACACTATCGCGAAGTCAGTACAGATAATCACACGAGCAGAGCAGAGTCAAACCACTCACCGCTCAACCTCAATAAGATTGTTCAGGGATCGTGTCTTGAAGCCATCCCTTCTTGTTCCTGCACCACACCTCATTCGTCGGTTTCCACTCCTTTGGTGCATCATCCAACCCTCCATACGGCACAATGATAACACCGTTATACTTCGACGAAGTGACAAACAATGTCGAGCCGCACTTGCTACAGAATCGTCGGAAGAGGGTGTTGCCACTTTCGAGTTTCTTGTCTTCGTAAGTGGTGATAATGCCGGAGGGGTTCTCCGAATAAGTTACTTGCTACGAGTGATAGAGAGATTCAATCAGGTCCGATAGCACAACTACCACTCTTGTAGGTCCAAGAGAAGTCTTACCTCCTCTCTAAAGAAGACGAAATTACCAGCAGCGGCTCCAACGATCTTCGCACAGTTGGCACAGTGGCAGACATTGAATCTGAAAGGGTCGCCCTCGATCTCATATTTCACGCTTTCGCAGAGGCAGGAGCCGTGGACAGTCATGGCAACCTCAAGAAGGAGTACTCTGAAGAGAGTGGAGATGGGAGTCGCTGCTGAGTAACCGACTACTTATACTTTCATATCAAACGGTTCGAGGAACGAGCTGAGGTAAACGGCAGACCGCTGTGAAAGTACTTTCCGACCAATTATGCACAGCGGGTAACCGTCTGTGACCGTACGGGTGAGCATCCGGAACCAAGTGGATCTTATCAGATCTTATCTCATCATCATCATCTCCACCCGCACCGTAGCTCGGCCCTCGGGTGTTCTCAGTCTCTTTGAGCAGCAATATCATTGAGATCGTGGGGTCTACCTCGAGCGGATGCAGTCAGTAGAGAGTTCTCACAGTCTAGGGATATTGCGGTTCCAGGACTGTACAAACAATAACACGACACACATTAGGCGTATTCGTGGGAATATCGACCAACGCATAGACGGATAACCATCGTTGAAAGTCAGTGGATTCATAGGTACCAAAAACCCGCATAGACCGATACCTACTCGTCCTAGCTCCAGTTAATATTTGCAGCAGATTCACTCCAGTTCCAAGCTACATGCGGCATCACTCATCCTCCATCTGGTCTAAGTTCTTCACGAAATCTGTGAAAATGCCATCATAGTTCATGAGCACAAAGCCAACCAACCACCAAGACATCCGGATCAAAAGTGAGCGGAGAGTAGGAACTCACAAGTATAGAACCTTATACCCTCGATATGCGTATCGAGCATGACACGTTCGTCTCTCGTATGTGCGTTGAGACGCGTCCCCAATTTCGCTCTATGATCGAAAAGTTATCAACACACCACGGTCAGGTCAGTGGCAGAGATCAGTGGTAAATGGAAAACGGTGGATGTTGATTAAAAAAGATACCAGGTATGAAGATGCATGATAGTCGGAGTGGACGGAAGAGAGCAGAGGAGTTCAAAAGCAAAGGAGTGTATTGAAGAAGCAACGATCAAGGCTGTCACTCACGGAGACCACCGCAATATCGACCCACTCAAATCCAGATAGTTCCTCGTATCCGTATTTCCGGTCCTATATCCGTCCATAATCATCCAAGTTCGTTCCGTTAGTTAGCCCACACACCCACCCGCGCGAGAAAAGAGGAGCGCAACAAAAGAATACAAACTTACATCAACGACGGTGCGGCGATCACATCAGCCCCAAACGCCCCCTTCACCGCACTCCCGAATGCCTCCCAGACCTTATCCAGCCCTCCAGACTTTGCTTTAGTGGCGGTGATAGGGCTCGCGTCGGACGGAGTGCTAAACATCCTGATCGTAATATTACCCTTGGCCACATCGTCCGGCGCGATGAGCACCTGCGTCCCAAATGCATCGAGCGACAGGTCGAGCGAAGACGCGAGGGGGATGAAGAAGTTGGTCAAGGCTGTTTCATGTTCGGATATGGACTGGGTGATCTGCGGTGAGTCCAAGGGTTCAGATAGTCAATTACAGAACGAGCAACAAGCGACCGTCAAGAAGGCACCCGAGTGGAAAGCAAAGGGAAGTTGGATATTCACCTCGACGCGCGAATTGATATTCAATGTCGCCCTCTCCGGCAACGCGTTCGTTTTAACGCCACCCTGCACAATCGTCCCCGCCACACTGGTCTCTAACAGAAATCGCTCGGCTGGTCCTTGCGCTGCGAACCACTGTGCAAGGAGGTCTACTCGTCCAAGGCGAAGGAGACGTTTCAGTAGGTTTGGGACCCGGTCGGATAGGCCGTGAGTTGTCAGGCTGAATGTATGTGTACAGAGATCAGAGGCACGCGTATACAGAGAGTGGAGGGAAGGAGACAATGGTAGGGGTAAACAAGCGTATATGGCAGAGAAACATGGGGAGTTGTGAAGGAGGTAGGAGTGTTATTTTGTATGGGTCATTTTAAGGACTTTGGTTTACGGAGAAAGGCTGAGAAAGGTTGACGTTGCGGACGGACGTACCATTCTAAATATTCATATATCGGATGCTCCAGCGTCAGCACCGGATGATAAATCGCAGATTCCTCGTCTTCGAGCGCTGTGATAAACCTGTATTCCAGGGGGGAAAGTGAAATGGAATCAGCTTATGCTGTGTCAGGTGGATGTCTGCTAGTTGAAGACAATGAAGGGAGATACACGTCTCAGCGCGTAGGAGAGGGAATGCATGCATCGAAGAGGAGAGGGTAGCGATGGGGGATATAAAGCCGACAACGAAAGGGTTCGTACTTCGCCATATATCCGATCGAAGTGTGTTCCGGTGGAACGCTCGAATGACCGCCTGGGCTCCGAACCTAAGAACCATATAATTCAGGTAAGTGAGTCTATTTACACCCGGTGGAAGTAACACTGCAGATACTTAGAAAGTCAAAACTCACCTCTATTTCGACGTCGGCCGCCCCCTTTTCTGCCACGGCCGGCAGTGCGAACGCCCGACCGTACAGTTCTTGCAGGCCACTGCCACCCTCGTCCAATATCGCTGCTATTCCATCCTTGCCGTACCTTTAAGTGGCCGAGCAGCCATTTCGTAGTCAGTACATATATTGTGTAAGTAAGAGTGAGACGAGATAATGTGTGATAACATGGAATTTAGTAGGAAGGGGGGGTGAAATAAGCGTACCTCCCCAGCAAAAACTTGTTGATTTGCCCAGCTCCGTAACTTCCGTTACTTTCCTCGTCCGATCCGAATGCAAGGATGATGGTGCGACGAGGTGTGAAGACCTCCGGATTGGACAGATCGAGGAGATGTTCGAAGGTAGTGAGGAGGCCGATGACGTTATTCTTACCTGTGATGAGGGTAGGTGGACGGTTACAATCGAGACGCATAGAAATCGAACGACGGGAAAAATACTCACAATCTGACGCGCCGCGTCCCCAGACCCATGTTCCGTCCTTTGCCAGCAACGTCATCGCCGTCAGGAATATTACCGAGGGCCAACGAGAATATATAAGAATTGATACCCACAAAATGAGCATCAAATGGGTTGTGTGTCCACTCCTCCCATGATCCCTCGGGAACGGGAACTACATCCATGTGAGCGGTTAACATTGTAGGCTTGAGGGAAGGGTCGGAGCCGGGAAGAATATAAACAAGGGCATAGTTGTTGATCTTAATGAGTTCAAAGCGAGAATACCTATGTTTTCGTGTAAATAGTCAATTGAGAGGACGAAGGAAGAGGTTGCTTACACGAGAGGGAAAGTGTCATTTAGATATTGGTGAAAGTCCAGGAAGGGGAGCCAGCGTTCGTCCTGTGACTCTGTATAGCAAGATGGGAGCGCATAAGACCCAAATTGAACTTTATCTATATCTTGAAATAAACTCACCGTCTTGCGGATCACCCATATCGTCGAACACCTGGGCTACCCGTACACAAATCGTGCCACCAAGGACTCAATACGGCTAGTCTATCCTTAAAAGAACACGAAAGAGACGGACTTTGAATCCTGACAGCGCCTTGCAACCTTTCCAGTGCCACCTTCCTGAACCTATCTGTATCGTAAACCTCCGTCGTAGGATCGTGCGGCGGAACTGGAGCCTGAGGACATGTCCCGCTGGTCAAGTCGACAGTCTGCACACTTCCGAACCAAGGCAGTGCGTAGCCAGTGTACGCAGAGAAATGAAGGCAGATAAAAATTATGAACAGCAGCAGGAGGGGACGAAGGATGACATTGGGGCTAAATCGATTGGAATCCCGAGACTGAGGCGTTTCCGACGATTCTGCAGCACTCATGACGGGCAGCGGTAGAGCAAATGCGGCTTTGTCGTTGTCGCGGGCGCGCTCTCTGGCCTTGTCGTCGACAGACATGGCGAAAAAAAGATAGAAGCAAATGGAGTAGTCAAGACATGATAAGTATTTCGTCTCGCCATCGCCCAAGATTCGTTGAAGAAGAACGGAAGAGCGAATGGAGGATGGCCATGATTGTCGGGCGCATCACTTCCGATTCCGAGGCCCTTGAGATTCAACAAGCACAAATAAACACTATTTCCTTGGCGTCACCAACGAGCCCTTCTACGCCACATAAATAAACAAGCCCAAACAAGAGCTCTTACTTACCAACTGCGAGACGCTTCTCCTCTTCACCTTCGACCAAATCCATAATCTGAAAATCACTTGTCTGACACTAAACAACTCCCAAAGCCGCTCAACGTCGTTTGCATACAGTATGTCGAAAGGTAAGCCGCAACATGCTCGATGGGCCGGCCCTTGGTTTTCGTCGTTTCCCTTCTCTATCAAATCTAATCGTACTCTCCTTGTCAGTGATTGCGGTGTCCGGATCCTTGTGTGTTATAGGTGTAACAGCCATCGCATACGGCCCCTGGCTTCGCTATAAGCTGAGGCAGATACAGCCAAGGCCCCCCACTCCTATTTTTCGTCTCCCGCCAGAGATACTCGGCTGTATCTTTCAATATGTCCCTACCCATTGGGACCTCCCCGATGAGTATATAAACCGACTGCGCGCACGCCGCAGACGTCTTCGAGGCAGTAAACTTGCCACCCGTTTCTTCGTCCTAAGTCAGGTCTGTACAAAGTGGCGCGATACTGCAATCGCAACCCCAGAGCTTTGGAAGGACATCCTTAAGATCCCAGTGTCCGCCGAAAGAAGGCTCTATGGTTCTGTAACCTTCATGCTAGTACTATACGGCACCATAGAACCGGATGTATACCTCAACTTTCATCCCTCGTACGACCAGTACACGCCAGCCACCATCGCCCTGGTCGAGCGCTGCATTTCCATGATACCCACTCTGAAGAGTTTCGAACTGCATGGTTACGGATCATTCTTTCTGCTCGATCGCCCGCAGTCTCCCGCTCCTGAGCTACAAAGGCTCAATCTTGCGGGCTCACAGCACGCTCCCATCCGCACGATATCGAACAAGTTATTCAATGGACATGCCCCAGAATTACGAGAACTCCGGCTCAGCTTCATGACCATCGATCTCTCCTCGCCTCTCCTTTCCCGACTCGAGGTGTTCGAGATATCCTCTTCGGACAGCTCTACTCCGCCTACACAACCTCTAGACCGTTGGCTCTTCGCCTTCAGCAATATGCCTCGACTGAGAAAAGTGTATCTTCACCATGTCATCAAACCAACACCTCGAGATGCCGATGACCACCTGTTCATCAATGCCCACCTTCCTGATCTGTCCAGGATGACCGTCGTATTTCCCTCCAGTCGAGAGGCGCACGATGGTAAACGAATAAGAGAACACATTATCGCCCCTCCGAGTGCAGACATCGATATATTCGCACCGATGTATCATGAACGCGTATAATCTGGTTAACCAGATCAGGGAATGAACAGGACCAGGCGACCAAATACACAGACCCGCAAGGGTCCCATTATATTCCGACGCCTCCTGTGACCTACGGTGCGAGGACACAGCGGTTGTCTACCCCAATAGAGTTTTCAGAAACGGGACAAAGACGGGATGAAGTGTTCGTACATACCAATGTCCACGATGTATAGTCTCATGCTTACCTATTCACTCGTCTATGCTACATATGTGAGTTTCTGCACCTTTCCGGCAAGGTTGACTCCCCAGAGCACGATTTTGAGCCGTAAGATTCGTCGTGTCGAGTCCAATAGTACTGGCGTGACGGCCGCTGAGAAAACAAACATAGCCCGAGAGTAGTAGAGGTAGATGTAGTTACATGGATTGCTTGTTACGGCTACTGTCTCTTCCTAGCAATCACACTTTGGTAGGTTGACAGACGATCAGTATGGTGGCGGTGTGGAACAAGTTCGGGACCGGAAGAACGTGGGGTAGAGTGAAAATCTGGAGTAAAGTGGATGACGTCGCCAACGAATCATAAGCGAGTCGGCACCGCGATGATCGACGACATCGACGACCGAACGCCTACCGACTTCACCCAACAGAAACTCTCGAGAATGTCGACGATAAATTTTGCAGTCGCAGAGAAGATGGGTGTCGAACATGCCTGTTTGGGTGAGCTCTGCTCTGAAGGACTGGAACGCGTCGAGGCAACGGCCGAGGGGGACACCGCCACCAAGTTCCACATGCAGAGCCCTCCAACTCCACCACGAATCCATCCATTATCCACGACCTCTGACGACTTTTTATACCCACGCTATCACTGTTCTTTCTCTCTTTCATTACAAACTACTATCTGCAGCCATATCTCGACGACTTCGACGACTTCGAACGACTGAGTCGGCTGCAACAACACTAAAAGCTCGAGCAGGCAATGGTGCGAAGTCGAAGTCCTGGACGTCATCTTGGCACCCTTCTCTTGCTATCCTCATATCTCTGGGAGCGCGGTCGGACGAGTTATACGGCAGTATCTAGGTGCGCGTCAATACTTGTCAAAATGACAATGAGGCTCACTAGTTTTACTTTTGGTCGGAAGATGGGGTCAAGCTGTTGCAGGTGTGTCACTGTTCCTTCGTTCGCTTTGAATTCGTATTTGCTTGCGCGCTCCAAAGCATGGGCGTGAAATGCAGGTGGCATGTTGATACATGCCATTATATTCCTCGGCCCCCGAGAGTACCCCTTCCTTATGGTGGTAGAATCCTCTCCGGAACCTTTCCCCTATCTGTACGAGAGAGGTTTGACCAACTGGCATGGCGTTCGTTCGCCGCTCCGAACCTCTGTACCTCATGGAATGGGTCCTAACTGACATCGAGGCTTTCACTTGCCCATGCCTCTTTGCGTGCCATGACCTTGTCGGCAGCTCTCATGGCTTTCAACTTGTATGGACCAAAGTGTGGCCCACATATCTATCTCAGTGCCACATGATCCTCGGAATGCGAATCTCCGTGTTTAGGATCAGATTGTGTCGTTCAAAGAAGCTCACTTTCTTCCCTTTAGTCGTAAATGATGCATTCTTTGTTTATGGCGGACACACCGATCCCTACGATCAATACTCCTACACTTCCGCTCCCTGGTCTAACGACATCCTATACCTCTCCCTCTCCTCGACTTCTTTCGACCCAAACTCACCACCATGGGAATACGTTGGTGGCTCATCCAATACCTCCTTACCACAAGGTCCCGCCCTCTCCTGGCACACCCTCTCCGCCTTCACCATCTCCTCCAGCCTCGTCTTCGGCGGCAACACCGGCCCCAACTCCGACCAAGTCCTCCTTTCCCAATCCGATTCCGCTCTTCTCCTCAACACATACGACCGTCTCACGCCGAGCTGGACGGACGAATCGAACGGATGGGCAAACGAGCCTCAACGCCGGATGCGACATTCTGCGAGCTCGACGGGGGGTAAGATCTATATCGTGGGTGGCGAGAAGGCGGATGGGTCGATGACTGGGTTCGGGGACCATTATGTGTTCGATCCGAATGGACCTCAGTTCACGCAACTTCCGACGACGAATGGTCCCCCGGATATCTATGGACATGCGTCGATCGTGCTCCAGGACGGCCGACTGCTCGTTTTTGGAGGATACAGCCAGAGTGAGGGGAGGCTTGTGCCATTCAGTACCGTTTGGGCTCTGGACACGACGCAGTCAAGCTATGAGTGGGAACTTGTTGAGATCGATACGTCTAGCTTGCCGGGTGCGAGGATGTCGTTTGCGGCGACTTTGCTCCCGGACGGTAGGATCGTGATTCAGGGCGGATGCGATTCGGCCTTTCAGAATAACTATAGTGACGGTTGGATACTCGATACGTCCTCAAGTCCGATGGTTTGGAGCTCGGTGGGCGCGTTATCTGAGCTGGGAGGCAGACGAGACCATTTTGCGATCACGGCGGGGGACCAGGTCATTTTCGGCTTTGGTGCGTCTTCACGCCTCCTTCGCTCCTTCTCTCTCTCTCTCGTCCCCTTTCTCGTGGTTCTGACCTTCTATTGACACTTCCTATTTTTAAACTTTAAACTATAGGTTACGCAGCGAACGGACCCGCAGACTCGGATCTCCATATCTGGAACCCCGATTCTGGGGCCTGGCAGCCGACTTATACTCCCGTGACGTCCGTCCCAACACAGACGCTTCCTTCGCCCACGCAGACAGGTGGATCTGGTGCGACGACGACCGGTGGATCGGGATCGCAGACGACGGGTACGGGCGGGAGTGGTGGTGGGGGAAATACCTCTGGTGCCGCGGGGTCGACTGGAGCTGGGGCTGGGACTGGGACTGGGACGTCGGGTGCTGCTGGGTCGACTGGGACTGGAACTGGAACGGCAGGCGGGGGAGGAGGAGGTGGCTCAGCGACGGGATCGAATGGAGTCGTGCCTACTAGCACGAGCACGGGTGGCGGTGGCGGTGGCGGTGGGAACGGGAACGGAAATGGTGGAGATCCAGCAAGTTCATCTTCCCGCACACGACACACAACAGCCATAGTCATCGGCACCGTCTTTGGAATCATCGGTCTCGTGCTCGGCGCTTTACTCATCTACTGGTTTCTCCGACGCCATCGTCAACGGAAGGGCCCACTTCATCTTTTCAGTCCCTTGGACAATCCCGATCGCGATGAGGAGGAAGGCGAGTCACCGCAATCGCCGCATGTTCCTTATGGGATCCCGATGGCCGGCGCGGCGGATGCGAATCGTGGGGCTGAGGCGGAGGGAGAGAAGAGGAGGTTTTCGGCGGAGAGGTTGCTTCCTGGCCCGTTGCGCGTTTTGGCGGCGGTGGGGATCGGGAGGAGGCAGGCATCGACTGGTGTGAGAAGGGAGAGGAGGGACATGTTGGCGGATGAGGACAGGAGTTTTGTGTGGAGCGAGGGGAGTCGTAGTGGGCGGAGTGGAAGGAGCGGGAGGAGTGGCAGGAGGTCGAGGATCGAGAGGGAGGGAAGTGGGGGCAGTTCGAGTTATAGAGGAAGTACGAGGAGCGCGAGCGCGAGGCTGAAGGGGACGTTCGCGGGGATGGTCAGTGGGTCTTGGGCTTCATTTAAGGCGCTTGGGCTTGGACGAGGAGGGGGCAGTGGGAAGTCGAGGGATGCGAGTGGGGCGAGTGAGTGGGATGAGAAGTATGGAGGGGAGATGTTTTCGGACGAGGTGGCGCTGATCACGGAACCGCTTCGCAATTTAGGGGAGGAAGGGGACACAGTGGAGAGGCCGAGGGGTGGATGGAGGACGTCGACTCATGAGAAGATGCCATCAGGGTCTTTTGGGCCGTATACGGATCCGTTCGCGGACCAGGACGCAGAGTTCGAGCTTTTACATGATGCTGGGTCAGAGATGGACAGTGAGGATGGAGCCAGCAGTAGCGTTGTCGTTCCTAGCGCCCTGGGGAACAGACCGCCACACCCTTCTATCCGGACTGCACTACCTCCCACAGGCGACTTCGTGCCGATGTCACCTCTCATCGAGCAAGCGTCACAAAAGAGTGGCGAGCTTGGTTCGTCCTCTGAAAACCGGCATTCGTCGTCGGTGCACCTCGATACTTCTCGTTCGTCACACGAAGCATCAAGATCTCCGAGACCTTCATCCATTTTCGACGCTAATCCTTCCTCCGCTGGCAGTCCCGTTCGTCGCTCAGATTCGTGGTGGTCCAAGCTCTCTGCGAACTCCCTTCTCAATCGGAACAGCAGCGCCAATAAAGGCGGATTCTTCGAGTTCCGTGATCCTAATCCTCCGCCACGTCTTAACCCAATCGAAGAGTCACTCTATTCCAAATCACCAGAATCGCCGACGTCGAAGTCGAACAGCAGGCAGGCATCGGGAGATACTGGTATCCCTGTTCGTCGTCAACAATCGATCTACGCAGCCTATGGCCACGGAAAATCAGTATCGTCCCTTCAGACGGCCAATTCTGAGACTATCGAACGTGCGGTGGGGTCGATGGCGATCGTCCAGCGCGACGCTACGATGGACTCGCAGTCTACACAGAGCCCGTTCGGGGATGATTTCGGAGAAGTGGCGGGACTTAGCCGGGCTGGCACTGGTACTGGTGGCTCTAGAGACAGGCTGAAGCTCGTGAGGAACGATCCGTCGCAGATCTCTGAAATCTCGAGGACGGATAGCGAACAGACTTCTGGGACGCAAGGGACGGATGAACCTCCACCACCACCCCCACTTGTTACCTCTCCACTCGACATCAACGTTCAGAACCACTCCGCGTTCGCTCGTCAGCCCTCGGCTTTCGATCATCCCTTGGCTCCGTCCGGACCAAGGCAACTATCGACCTATCAACCTAGTTCTGTAGCTGGACCGTCCTCGTCTCTCATCAACGCAGGCCCTACTTCTCCTGGAGTGAGAGATAGGGCGAGAGCGTATGAGAGACGGTTGTCACATGAGGTCCCGAAGAGCCCGCCTCCCTTGACCAATACGAAGAGGTATGAGGAGAGGGTGGGGCCGAGGCCGGTTGTGAGGTATGGGTTGGTGCCGAAGCCTGCGTTGTTTGTTGCTAATCCGGATGGGAGGAATGTGTCGACGGATACGTTGGCGGGAGGTGGGAAGTGATCTTTTCTGTCTTTCTTGTTTCTAGGCATCTGCCTCGCATACACGCGTGTATCCGTCGTCTCCTTCATCCTGCTTCACATCCACATCTAGACCTCATCTGTCTGCCCTTTTTAGCTTTGCGATCTTGTTCTGTTGACTGACCTTTACGCTGTTTGCTTGTTTCTTCTTCTTTTTTATGGTTTTATTGTTGCGGGCTATGCTTATTCGTTCTTTTCGACCGTTGACGAACTCTTCATGACACGTTCACGACTCTTGCTGTCTTTGCTTCCGCTTTATATCCCTACTATTATCCTCTTGACCCCCGAGTCCGTGACTGTGACTGTTTGACCACCTACTAGCATGATACCTTACGATCATTGTACGATCTATTCTTCCTATATTTTTTTTTTCAAATCTTGTGTGGGCTTTGGCTGTGCTGATATTGTGTATGTAGGACTCGTTACTGTACAATGCTGGACTGTTACTTGCTTACTGTGTTTACCCCTCTCTCACCCCCTACCTTCCGGTTGGCGCATTCGTTGTACACATGTAGAACTTACCGTCGACACACTCTAGATCATACTCGCAGTCTAGCTATAGCATGTATATGATCCAACAAACAATGTTTGTATAGCCAGTATGCATGCAGTAGCTTGTAGTATAGTGTCTGCCGATTGTTGTTTGCGGAAATGCTCGAGGACCGCGGCGTAGGGTCTGAGGGTTTTTGCTGAGCATCGCCTTCAGGCGCTAAAGGTGCGTCTCGTACGCTTTTCCATATCCTCTTGTCTCACTGCTTTGACTGCCTTTTCTCCTGGGTGGTTGATACGCTCTCCGGTATAACTCCTGGTCGCTTTTCACAGGCAAGTCTATTTTTGGAGAGACTTTGTCCGATGTTTAGGGTATGTTCAAATAGGTCCGCGTATGCCATGTTGTTCAACGTTCCTTTCCTTCCTCTTCCGATCTGGACCTCGTCATGCATAGGCTTTCTTTTTGAAACTCTGTGTCGATCCTTGGCAGTTTTAGGTTGGCAAAAGGTTCGACCGGTCTGGGGTACTCGCGCAGATCGTGGAATTGTACTGCGCACAACCTCGCAGATCACAGGAAGGAGACACGGCTCTGCGCCAAAATGCGTAGCAATCCGTATGAGCCCATCTTTCGTTCTATTAGTTTTATCTGATAGGCAGAGCTAACATGTCTAGGAGCTCGGAAAATCAGTGATCAATGCTATGAAGCAACACGGACCATCATGTTCGAGAGGAGGCAACCAGGTCATCTTCCTCCAAGAACTTCCGCGTATCACGCATTTCGTCGGCAGTTTATGGAAGGAAGGACGGGTCTGCACCAGCGGACCCCTAACTTCGCCAGCTTCTCTCGGCCGACTTCATCGTGCATTAACTGCAACATCATCATACCCCTCAACCTCCCAAGTCATGCGCAGCTGCGTCGAAGCTGCGCGTAGTACCAGCTTTTCGGAACAATTCCTCTCGAGCTATGCAGCGAGTTTGCTTAAATACTTAAGGGTAGGGCGTCCATGCTGCTACTTTCCGTACTCTTGTTCATCGTCGCTTGGGTTCATCTCACTATGGCACCCTCCTCGCACTCTCCGTCTTACTTTGCTCTATTGGCTACTGTGCTTCCTCTCATTGTCCGTTCCGACGCATTTCACACTCGAGATGATACTTCGACGTGCTCAGGCCTCGCTTCTGCTCTAAGCAGCAACACAACATTTACCGTCACAAATGCGACGTACTACGCTGCTAATGCGAGCATCGACACCAGTACCACCGGGGGTAGCGATACTGGAGCTGGTGGTGCTGCTACGTTCTCTGGCCTACCTGCTTTCTGTCGTTAGTATTCTTTTCCGCTTGTAGCGATTACTCTTAACCTGTCTTGACATTCATGTTGACGGAGACATAACTTCTCTTTGAATAGGTGTACAGCTCGACCTGAATACGTATAACGGTTCCAACGCAACAGCAGAGGTCTGGTTGCCAGATTCCAGCAGCTGGAGTGGTCGCTTCCTTGCTGTTGGTGGTGGCGGTCTGGAAGGCTCTAGTGAGACTCAATTTTGCACCTCCAGGGTCTAGCGTCCGGGAACAAACGAATGCTCATGACGGTCATCCTTCTAGTAAACTACCAGGCTCTCGCCTACAGTGGTCTCAACCAAAGCTTTGCGGCTGTCAGCACAAACGCCGGACACGATTCATCAGAGGACATGATTTGGTGGACTTCTAATCCCGTACGTCATGCATTCGTGACCGGTTCCACATTCTGAGAACAGCTTGACTGACGTAGTCATTTCACAACGCTAGGATGCAGTCATTGATTTCGGTTGGCGTGCTATGCATACGGCCGTCGACTCTGGCAAGACGGTTGTTTCCAACTATTATGGCTCTTCGGCGAACAAATCATACTACACTGGTTGCTCTGACGGTGGAAGACAAGGGTACGCACGTCACTTCCACTGGACGATCTCGCTGTAACTGACCCGCCTCGTTCGGCAATCCAGCTTGCAGTCTTTCCAGATGTTCCCAGAGGACTTTGATGGCGTCGTTGTCGGTTCTCCAGCCGCCTGGCTGTAAGGCGTTCAACTCTGCAGCTTTCCTTCGTATTTGATGGCTAATGTCTCAACGTATACCCCTTCCCCAGGTCCCACCAGCAAGCTTGGTCCATCTGGATGACGAAGCATGTATTCCCTGTAAATGGTTCATCTTGGATTCCGAGCGACATGTGGAGCGTTATCGGCGACGAGGTCATCAAGCAATGTGACACCATTGATGGGGTATGTAGCTTCTCAACATAGTCCGTCGTATTTTTCAGTTGATTCAAGTCATCTTGCTATCCAGGTCGCCGATGGTATCATCAACGACCCTTGGCGCTGCTAGTATGTGATTTATTTCGATAGAGGTCTTTTCGGAGTACTGACAGCTGCAATGTGTCTATGTAGCTTCCGTCCTGAGACTTTGGCCTGCCGCTCCAACTCGACTGACTCATGCTTGACAAGCGATCAAATCGATGCCTTGAACAAGATCTACCACCCTTGGATCGACGTCAACCAAACCTGTACGTCGTCAGAGCTTCTCTCTCCACTGCATACACATGCAAATTATAACAACTCGTCGGATTGTAGACGTCTTCGATGGCTACTTACCTGGTGGCGAGGCCCAATATGACAGCGTCCACCTGGCCTCCACCGCCCCGGACAGCATCGGCCTCGACTTCTTTGAATACTTGGTCTACAACGATACCAACTGGGACTGGCAGACACTCACTTATGCCGATGCTGTGTTCTTTGAAGAGCTCAACCCGGGACAGATGATCGCGAACAGCCATGACCTGACGGAGTTCGCTGGCGAGTCGCATAACGGAAAGGTTCGCTTTTAAGTTTTAACGATCGACAACGCCCGGTATTTCTCTGCTGACCTTTGATATGCTTCAATCGACGTAGGTTATCCATTTCGTGGGACTCGGCGATCCCAACATTTCCCCTGGCCAATCGGTAAGTGTTAATTCTATGAGCGTGGATGGAAATGCCATTGTGGCTCTCCTAATTCATGGTCTCGGTGCGCGTGGCTGATGAATAATATTGTAGTTACACTACTACCGTCAAGTCGAGCAATACATGAACTTAAACTCCGACCTCGATATCGATGACTATTATCGCTTCTTCCCTGTTCCCGGAATGGCTCACTGCAGGTGATTTTCTCCTCTCCATCCTCGGTCGCGCTTCTCCTACTCTATGATGCAGAATCACTAACGAGAGTATCATGTCACTTCCAGCGGTGGTATCGGTGCCAATGCATTCGGGGCTGCAGACACTAGCTCTGCCACTCCCCCCCTCGCTTTCGACGCAGACCACAGCGCCTTGCTCGCCATGGTGCAGTGGGTTGAGGAAGGTATCGCGCCGTCAAAGATAATCGCCACCAAATACGTTGACGATGACTCCTCGAACGGTGTCAACTTCACGAGACCTATATGTATGTACCCGCAAGAGATCACATACACTGGAAACGGGAGCATTTGGAACGCCACCAACTTTGATTGTGAGTGAAGGAGATCGTGTTGTTTAGCAGTCATTGGTGTCGGCGCTCTCTTTGTGTATACCCGTTATAGCAGTCTAATATGTCACAATCATGTCTCTGCCTCTTCGTTCTTTCGTTACTGACCATGGATGGGAAGGATCCCCGGAGTCTATACTGTCACGGAAACCTGTTGTTGGCTATTAGTCTGAATTCTGAAGCTCACTCGCCCTACATATATTACAAAATGAAATCGCCAATGATCGACGGCACTGGTTACCAAGGCCCGCTTCGCACAGATCTGTTAAGAGAAAAATACAAATGATATTCTCACGATAAATCGAGACTATTCTGAGTCAACGCAGGCCACATATGTACATAACATCGAAAATATCTCCGGGTATTCATCTAGGTGGTCGCAATATCGCCGGTTGAGTGTACTGGTTGTGGTGAGTGGTACAACGAAAGTAAAAGTACAAAAGGCGACACGAATCATAACGCGACGAAAACAGCTAGTATTGGAAATCCATGCCTGAGTTACCTGTGGTGGCAATCAGGTGAGTGTCTCTATACTCCCTTCCTTCCGACATATCCTCGTCCCGGGCTTCATCCATCACTTTAAGAGCGGTGCTGGGGAATGGTCCTGGTCTGTCGCCGATGGGTTCGGTCAAGAATTTGACCAGGTCACAGACACAAGTGATGCAATTGCCGCCAATAGCAACCTTCGGCGACCACCGTTTACCCACCTCTGCAAGCGATTCGCGCTCTGCACCGGTCAAAGATGCAAGTACCCTCAGCTTCCATTGCTTTTGCGGTCAAATATCTGATAAGTCATAACACATTTACATCGTCGAAAGGCAGCATAAGCTCACCTTTGCTGTGTGACTATCGCGTGGCTTGAAAGAGAACCTGTATTTGAATTCCCTCGGATTGGTTGATGGATTGCGTACTTCCATAATCTTGAAGCCGATGTGTTCAGTAGAGGCTGATAGCGCGGTCGTTTCAGGCGCATAGGCGTGCCATACGATAGACCAGTGAAGGGCGCCATTGAAACGATAGACAGCGAGGTAGATAGGGAGTTTCTCCTCGATACGGGCATCTTTCGCGGTAACTTGACGCAGAGTGGTATCATCGACGGCGGGGTTCCAGAACATAATGGATTGGGCCATGGTCAACGGCTTCAAGAAGAGTATAGGCTATACATTTTACAAAGTACATATTAGCAATTCTGACCGAGACCCCAATGTCACTTATGGAAAGACACTTACTGATGATAGGTGTAGTACACTTGGAGGTACCTTCAATGCGGAGTGAGGGAGAGAATCAAGTGCGGGTGAGGAAAGCTGACCACAACGAACCCACTACTTATATACCGTGTGTTCCGAGTATTATGCTTCGGTCAGCACAATAGACTTCGCGTATCAAACACTTGTACACGCCACTGACTCGACGAGGCGTTCTGTATTGTACCTATATTCAGCACAACAGGCAATCAGCAGCTTGTTATGCCTCAGTCAGCACAGTAAACTTCGCGTGTCGAACAAGGCTTGTACACGCCACTGACCCCACGAGGCGTTCTGTATCGTACCTACATCGAGTACAACAGGCAATCAGCAGCTTGTTATGCCTCAGTCAGAACAATAAACTTCGCGTGTCAAACACTGTTGTACCCAATAACTTACTTTCCTTCCTTCAAGCCGAGTCGTACACGCCATTGACACTGTACTAAGTATACCTACATTTAGCAAGACGATCAGAAGCCCCGTAGTCTGAACTTCTGTGGGCTACGATACTCGTACGACGAACCGTACACGACCTGAACGACTGGAGTGGCACTGCTAACCTGAACATCATCTAGAGTTATTGAGCTAGTGCTGCATGCAAGTGCTGGGCTCCGGAACCCAAACCGACGGACGGAATCGCTGCCACAGATTTGCAATAATAAGGAAGTACTAGTGGGCCCAGTAGAAAGATGTCAGTCGCTAGGTTCAAGAGTATGTATCCCCATTTGAAAAGATGCCTTTGTGACCAACAAGTCCGAAGCCGTCTATTGTACACTTTTCGGGACGCCCCGAAACAATAGAATGGCCGCTGGTAATAGGGTAGGTTGTGGGGGCGTGAGAAAAAGTGACTCCCGCGTGGAAGGATATTTAAACGCTTCCTTGTTTGTTGTCGTCACTCGAGATCATCATACAAGTATACCGCGTTCTCCTTCTCATCTATCGTCCATCAGTCTGCAGATCCAAGGCCACTCTAATTTGCTGCCATATTATCTGTCAACCAGTAGGTTTCATGTTGCGCTGTGTCACGTTATCGGAGCTGGCGCCTACATCATCTCAACTTTTCTATCTTTCGTAGTGACTGCATCTCCGCAAACAATTGACATTCATGATCTTACCTCGATCAAGAATGCAATCGCTACCGGCATAAATCTAGTAGCGCCTGACTCACAATCTCCTGCACGAGTCAGAGAGCTTCCAGGAGGGCTTGTCGTTAAATTTGGGTCGACCGTGTGGAGGTCAGAGTTCCTGGCACTCCATCTCGTACGAAAACATACGACTATACCAACTCCCGTCCCTCTTTCATATCTCTCCGAGGAGGAAGACAAACACGTCATACCAAACCGACCCCGGAGGGGCTACATTGTCATGACGAAGTTGCCTGGAGTCAGGATGATCGACGTGCTTGCTGACCTCGACGATGGGTCTTGTGTCCATCTCTCGGAGCAGCTGGGTCAGTATTTGGGTCAGCTGCGCACGCTGGACTCTATGGGACGTTGGGAGATGGTTGGGAAGAAGGGTCGTTATCATCAAGGCTATTTCAAGCTCTTGCCGTGGTCACTTGAGCGGCAGACCCAGCCCAACCCTTGCAGCGCTACTTGCGCCCTTGACTTCCTTGACTACTTCTTCAAGGCCTGTCCGTCACCTATCGTGCCAGACGGGGTGAGAAAGCGCGCCCTCGATGCGTTCGACCTTAATCGCCCTTCTTCCTTCACTCATGGTGATCTCCTACCGGAGAACATCATGGTCGACATGAGCGTAGCTGGACGTCCTCGGATTACGGGGATCTTCGATTGGGAGCTTGCAGGGTGGTATCCATACTTTTGGGATTATTTTAGAGCGGCCAGTCGAAGGTTACCCTATAAAGCAGGGCAGTGGTCGAATTGGGTAAAGATATTTTCGCCTTGCATCGAGTCTCATGTAGAAGAGAACAATGCATTCGGCACACTTTTGTACTGGACTTATGATGGCGTGTTCGAGATGCCTTGGACTACTAAGTGAGTCGCGCTATTTCTCATCACAACTGTTGTGACCCCCTGTCTGACGCGCTCTCCTCTTCGTGCAGATGCGATTGTTGCGACTAGGCGGCTGCAGATTACCTATAATATGGTCCCCTCTTTGTTGCGCTCACCACGTATGTATGTCAACGACGAAGAATTGAATCATCTACGAGGTTTGTGTTCAGCGCTATATTTTCGATTTTCACAGAAGACTTCAATGGGTAATTGGAGACCGCGGACACGATCAGTCAAGTGAACCGGAAGTGTTTGTTATGTATGCCTCTTCCTCGTCTTGTCCACCGACGGTAAGCCTTGCGAGCGCGCCTGAGACGGAGCAGGACGGAGCTCATCTTACCCAAATCTGTCCTGAATGTTACAGAGTCGTCGGAAGCACCTCGCTCTCGGGCCTCAAATTTATCTAGCCTGCTCCAATGTCATCGTCCGTTCCCTACTGAGAACTATCGTTCATGATTATTGGTTATCTCTGTCTCCCGGAGCATAGGCGACTTGTGCTACCGTCTAATCTAAGTGCTGCGCGAACTTCGTATATCCCGACTCGATCAGCACAACAGGCTTTCGCATGTCAGACACTCATCATACCCGCCACTGACACGAGGCTTTGTCAATTGTACCCTCATATGGTAAGTACTTACCAATCAACAGAGAAGAGTCAGAAGACAAGCCCTGGACGTTTGACATCCTGCGACACCGCGGCACCCGATTCGTAGGGTGAATCAGCGAAGCCGTTCTTGTGAGGCATAGTTAGACGCAAAGGCCAATTAGTACTCAAAATATATCGAGATCACTAGGGCTCGCATGAGCTGGATGTCCTTTACTGTAATATTATGTGCTCTGCAGAATCCTCTACGACACAAGGGAGACTCGGAGTGCGAGCAGATCCGACCCTGGCAGATTTCGTGTCCCGTGGGCCACGTTCCTGCCGGGGACATTTCACCCTCACCCTGCGCCGACATACAATAAGCAGAAACCCAGTGCATTCCACTTCACGAAACCATAAGTACAAAAACCCCATAAACTTCGTGTATCAAACACGTTTACACGCCACTGGAACAAGGGGTTCTGTGTTGTAGCTACATTGAGCATAACAATCAACTTATCAGCAGCCTGTATGCCTTAGTCGGATGAACTTCGCGTGTTAAACACTTGTACGCGCCACCGATACTCGGAGGCGCCCTGTATTGTAGCTGCATTCAGCAAAACAGGCGATCAGCAGCCTGTTATGCCTCAGTCAGCACAATAAAGTTCGCGTGCCAAACACTTTTCCACCTTAACAAACCTTTCTTCCTTGTACACGCCACTGGCGACACGAGGCGTTTCGTATTGTACCTACATTTAGCAAAACATCTCCAGAAGCCCCTAGCTCTGCGACACCTGTGCGATCTGAGTCGGACACATAGCATAGACTGAAATGACCTCAACGAGAGCGATACTGGGTGACTTTCCGTAGCAATCTAGGCCTCTAGAATTTGTGAGACCCTCTACAGAAAGTCACCCACTACTAACATGCCAGAGTCATTAAGCTACTAGTGAGTACTAGTGCTCAGAAACCCAGAGTAAGTAGTAGGGAACGGCGGATGAAATCGCTGCCACGTACTTGCAATAATACAAAAGTGGTGAGACGCAAGGCCCTGTAAGTATGCTAATTGCCAAGAGTACGCCCATTTGAAGCGACAACAGCCTGCAATTGACCATGCGGCATCATCTACTTTTGTGACCAACAAGTTCGAAGCCGTCTATTGTGTACTTTCCGGGACTGGCCCCGAAACAATAGAATGGCGTAAGCAGTGGGGGCGTGAGAAAAATTGACTCCGGCCTGGAACTTGAAGGATATTTAAGCGCTTCCTTGTTTGCTGTCGTCACTCGAAATCAGCAGACAGGTACTATCCCGTGTTCTCCTTCTCTCGTCTGTCGTCCGTCAAATTGCAGATTCAAGAGCACTCTATTCTGCGGCCATATCATCTGTCAATCAGTAGGTTTCATGTTGCAGCGTGTCTCTCCCGTTATTAGAGCTGGCGCCTACATCATCTCAACTTTTGCATTTTTCGCAGTGACCGCGATTCGCCCATCAATCGATATTCATAACCTTACCTCCATCAAAGAGTCAATCGCTGCTGGCATTAATCTAGTAGCGCCTGACTCTCAATCCCCTGCACAAGTTAGAGAGCTTCCAGGAGGGCTTGTCGTCAAATATGGATGGACCGTATGGAGGTCAGAGTTTCTGGCGATGGAACTCGTACGAAAGTATACGACTATACCGACTCCCGTCCCTCTTTCCTACCTCTCCGAGGAGGAAGACAAATACGTCAAACCAAACCGACCCCGGATGGGCTACATTGTCATGACGAAGTTGCCCGGAGTCAGGATGATCGACGTCCTTGCTGACCTCGACGAAGAATCTTGTGTTCACCTGTCAAAACAATTGAGTCAGTATTTGGGTCAGCTGCGCACGCTGGACTCGATGGGAGGTTGGGAGATGGTCGGGAAGAAGGGTCGTTATCATCAAGGCTTCTTTACGCGCTTACCATGGTCACTTCAGCAGGAAATGAGGGCCAACCCATGCAGCGCTACCTGCGCTTATGACTTCCTCGATTACTTCATCAAAGCCAGTCCACCAGCTATCGTATCAGACGAGAAGATAAAGCGCGTCCTCGACGCGTTCGACCTTAAACACCCTTCTTCCTTCACTCATGGTGATCTCCTCCCGGAAAATATCATGGTCGACATTAGCGTGGCTGGACGTCCGCGGATAACGGGGATATTTGACTGGGAGCTTGCAGGGTGGTATCCATATTTTTGGGATTATTCTAGAGCGTCCAGTCGGTTGTGGCAATACGAAGGAGAACAGTGGCCGAACTGGGTGAAGATATTTTCTCCCTGTATCGAGTCTCATATAAACGAGGCCAAGGCATTTGACATGCTTTTATATTGGAATTATGACGGCAAGTTCGAGTTGTCATTGAACTCAGAGCCTTGAGAGCAAATATTGTAGATAATTCAATTCTCCGCGGTTGAGATACACACATGGCGAACGAAACAAAGAGGGGTGACATTTCTGGGTAGTCACCTTGCTTGCAAGGTCTCTGGACACCCACAAATCGTGGGAAGAACAACGCAGCATCAACCGGCGTTCCCCGGTACTCCCGGCGTATGCCGTCCACTGAGAATAAACCAATCTCGTCGTGCGTTCTCGCTTCGAACCTCAACGACGTTGGTATTCCGGTACTTACTGCTATTGCAATGTCGCCAAACTCCAGCTAGACCTGGGCAACGCACTTCCACAATTTCTGGGCAATACAACGTGCCCAGCCTGCCATCCTCCGCCATCTACTCTGCGCAGTGTCCCTTCAGCAAGAGTTTGTTTTCGAAAGCCCGAAGCAGTCGAACAGTCGATCTCCCTGAACTTCGCGACAATATCCATTAAGATCGAACAGGTTCAACTCTCTTCTCGGAGGCGAGGCAATGTCACTCAGTGCAGCCGGGAGTCCTTGTGCCCGGAAATCTGTGAAGCCGTACACAGCTGTCATGGGGACTCGGAATTGATGTTGCTTGACGGTGCAATCTACTGTGGCCCCTCGCTGTGTTTGGACTCTCATCTTCGGTCTTTGCTTCTATGACATTGCGTGGCAAACCTTCTAGCTGTGTGGCGTGTGTGCGGTCTAGTTCGCCAAGGATGCATGTTGGCATGTAATGAAGCACGATCGTTGACTCGTCTCCATCATGATTTTTTTTGGTTGAACTCAGCGTCGAGCAATCGCCAAAGGCAACCCTCTTCCGCCTCATCGTCGGTGGGCGGGGAATCTCACCCCGCAGTCCAAAATGGCAAAAACCCTGGGGAAATGCATTACGCACGAACGACTAGATGTCGAACAGTGTAGGGCTATCACCCGTCCGGTCTCGGTAAACGAGGCCTCCTTGGTGGTATACCTACTAAAACCCCAGCCTGCCAGAGCCAGTTCTCTGGCAGGTTTTTTTCGTTGAAGAGAGTCCCGTTCCAGGTTTTGAGCACGAGATCTGGTCTTGTAGCTTTTGGTCCGAATTTCCGCTTGTTGCACGCGCTTCGGTCCAAGGAGAGCCTTTGGTTTATAGTGAAAACCCACTTATTGTGTATCTCGTTGTGAGACGGGTATTTATTTGGGTCGTCTTCGTGTTGTATGCGGCGTACACAGCGCAGCTTCCATATGAGGTGAGCTGACTCCGAGATCAGGATGCGCCACAGGCGGTTCGCACCAGACAATCTCTTTCCGCCTTCCGTTTTGAATCCACTCACTCCACATCCCAGAATCGTTCCGTAGCCAAAGTCGTTCGGCCACTGCATGCCTTTACCTTCCCAGAGCCTCCTGGCCAGGCTCCAGATCAGGATTCATCCCCTCGCTGAACATTCGGTAAGTATGTGCTTAATTGTTTCGTCAGTGTCGTTACAGCACGGGCATTTCCCCCGGTGCTCGTAGTTTGTGATGTTTGACCAGTAGGTCCCGCACTTGAAGCCGACGTGCAGTACTCTCCATATGAACGTCCGGTACGTTCTGGAGAAATCTCTGTGGCGTATGGAATTCCATAGCTGTGCATCCGTAAGTGTTCTGCGGCATAGGTTTTTTACCCCTTGGCGTGCTTCGTCTAGTTCCCTGCTGGTTCTAGTGCGGACAGGTGTGTTTTCCTTTTGTTTCAGCCCTTTGTATAAGAGCGACTGAGAGGCTTTTACTAGTTTTGCCCCAGTAAGCCTGAAGCGGTGGGGGACGTAGACGTTCAAATTGCTATGTTCGAGCTCCGTGCCCGCGGCCGCCATGTGGTCGGATCATGATATTGTTGTTTGCCCTCATCCAGAATAATGTTGGAGGTCGTGCCTCGAGCCCCACTCGTGATATCAATGTCTATCTCCAGATTTGTTGTCACCGTAACCCTCATATCCATGGCGAACTCGGCAACGACTTGAAGACCTGTGCGTTTGAGTCGTCTCTGGCGCGGGGTGCTGTCCTGATGCACGGCCAGAGTGTATATCTTGCGTGGAGTGACCCATTTGACTGTTTGGTACTTTCCCAAATACATATTGACAATGGATTTCGTCTGGTTCAATCCGTGTTCAACATAGTACTACCTTATAGCTTAGCTTTTCATTTCCCGAACGTCAATTGCATCCAATACACCGCTTCACTCTTCTGATAAGAGGTTGTATATATTACAAATTTTTTTATCTCAAGCAAGGTGTCCGGCGACGAAGTCGACACTTCCCCCAGTCTATAGTCGCCTAGTCACAACAATCACAGCTGTACGAGAAAAAGTATCAGACAAGTGATCACAATGGTTGTGATGCGAAGTAGCGACACTCACTTGGGAGGTTAGCGACGTGTTCTCAGGCATACCCTCACCCTACACTCACATCAGCAAAACGACAATCGCCCTGAGCGCCCTGAGCGCCCTGGCAGAGGGGTCCTCAGGGTGTTCAGTGCGTTCAGGGTCTCAGTGTCGTTCACGCGTCATCAGAGCCGGTTCGGAATCCTTATCAGGGTGGCCAGGGCCGCCAGGGCCGTCTCGCCGTGAGTCGTCTAACTTACGAGTGAGGTACTGCGGGTAAAGGAGTACAGCGGTAAAATGATGTGGTATAATGCACGGTGGTATAGGTTTCAACATAATGCAGAAAGAGCCGGGCATACTAATAGTCTATGTGAGCACACGGAAGAGGTAAAAAAAAAAAGCAGTATGTATCACTGTTCAGATTGAGGAGAAATCATCTACGAAGAGGGGTCGCGTACGGATTGACCGCATCATTTGCGAAGGATCTGTCCTCCGCGTCGGTAGTACAGTCACTCGGCGAGAATAACTTCAACCCCTCACAGATCGCGTTACATCTGTGATACCCCCAAGCTTTCGTCATCTTTTTGTAACCCCCGTCACTGTACCAGTACCTACCCTCTTCAGTGTGACTGAGTATCATCAACGTGAGCAATCAGGATTCAGCAGGCTGTTCTAAAGACGAAACAAGTATGATTGAGCAACGTACGAGTGCTTGCGAATATAGGCTACGACGGCCTTAACCTCGCCTGTGGCCAAAACCTGAGGAACATCTACATGTGAAGGACTCGAGTTCAGTCGTGTTAATCGGCTCAGAAGAGACAGAGTAAAGACTCACAATAGAATTCATCACATACATCCCTCTTACCACGGTGAACATGTAGATAGTGCGTGAACGCGTCGAGCGTGGCGGTGATCTTCAGCGCGATGGTCGATGGTTTTGGTGTGGGCCTGGCGATGCGGTAACGTTCGACATTATTCCAGTTGATCTCTTCGGAAATGTGAAGCCACATGCGTCGCGGATGGCGGTCTTTGGGCTCCTCGAGAATGCAAGCATCCACAACTGAAACAACTACAAGGTATCGTGCTAGGTTAGTAGCAAGACCAGTACTACAAGGGTAAGTGATAGCTTGAACTCACGGGCTGCCTCGATTTTCCGATTCGCCAGGAGCCTGTTGAACCTCTCAGCGTAGTGATTTGCACTGACGAGATACAAGGCTTCTCCGGTGACGACATTAGAGATGTCCCAGCCGTCGTACGGGCCAATGTTTGGCTGTAGTACTACGGCATTGGCGTGGTTGTTGGCTGTAGGGAGCCTCAGCTCAGCCTAAGTAAACGAGGCAGTTCAGACGCGTAAGGTCATTAGATGAAAGGATGGTGACGCACTGAGAATATACTGTATGGCCCGAGCCCCACTCGCAAAGCCTCGTATCCTACTCGAAGGCCGTGTACTTGCGCATCATCGTCGGTCCAGGTCGAAGCGATGAGCTTCGACGTCAGGTCAGGATCTTTTGGGGCTAGCTTGGGATCTGGCTCCGCATTGTTGATCATGCTGACTGTTGTGACCTTGACACAACAGGTCTCCGGCCTCCAGCCTTCAGTGCGTTGATCAGTGTGAGAAATGCGAGGTTGAGAGCAAGGATCGTACCGTCGTCGTCGACTATCATTCCGACCGGCGAAGACGGTGCCTCCTCAGGCTCAAGTGCTCGACTACTCGTCTTGTCATCATCGCCTGAATCGTCTGCAACCCCGGCCTTGACTGAGTGCTCGCCCGTAATGTCTTCCTCGCCTTCGAACTCGCCCTCGCCATCGCCCTCGACCTCGTCATCGCCTTCACCTTCACCCTTCTCTACACCTGCAGCCTCGCCTTCAATATCGTCCTCGCCTTCAACCTCGTCCTCGCCTTCACCCACTTCGTCATCTTGATCTGAGACTCCATCTGGCTCTGTAGCTGTGCTCGATGGGTCGGGGGCAGGATCGTCAAATATAGCACGTGCATTGCTTTCCACCTGTTTTGGCGATAGACGAGACTCGTCCTTGGCGGGCAGATACTTCAGAGCCGCCACGACGAATCTCTGAACAACTGGGAGATTATTAGTTTGCAAAGACACAGAGAAAGACGACCAACGTACATGAAGGGTCCGAACCACCAAACTGAACCATAACGGACTTGTCGCGCCAATCCTCAACATTCTTCTTCCACTGTTTATCAGAGCCCCACGGTGTTGGTGATTTGAACTCGCCTGTTTTCCAGGCGCCAAAACCACGTTCGACCTATACCAATACGAAGGAAAGCAGATGTGTCAGTAGATATATCCCATTAGAGATGTGATAACGCTGGTACCGCTGCCAATGCAAGGGCAATTGCCCCGTACGGTGGTCCACACCCGCCGATCGAGCCTTGAACAAACTGAAGGTGTGCACAGGCAACGGTCTCGAGAATGTATCTCGAGAACAGAGCACCGGCACGTTCCTGTACAAGAAAAGAGAGTGAGATGTGAATAAATAATCATATGGAGACGTAAGTTTGCACAGACGCACCCCCACTTTCCCAGGTGTGGCCCAAAATGCCTCCCCACCTTCACCGGTAGCGGCAGCAACAAACCGTCTGATCGCTGGTTGCTTGGCCTTGAGTAAAGTCGTGATAGCTTTCTCCGCACCTTTGTCAGTCACGTCAGTGTCGGGGGCAAATTTGTTCCTTATTGCCTGAGTAACGACGAAGACACCCAGGGGGCCGAATCGAAGACGCCACTCAATGGCCGATTGACGAGTCTGATGCTCGACAGCATCACAGTCAGCTGAATGTAGGTCAAATGAGTATGGGGTTGACTTGCCTCTGTGCACAAGAGGTCCCCGGGTTTTATATCGTAATACTCGTCCTCCGAGACCAGCTCCTTGAAAACATGGCGCATGCGAGTAAGAAGTAGGCGTTTCGGGCCGTGATCAAGGTCATAAGGACCAGGCTTTTTCACGCTGCCAGCAAATTCAAGGACCGAGGGTAGGTATGATACTTTGTAGATGGCTTGTTCGAAGCTGGCAAGAGCATCGAATGCACGAGACTTGCCCTCTGCAGGCTCTGTCGGCGATCGGCGAGACTTCTTCTGGTCCTTCTTCAAGCTCTCCGTCGTGTCCGTAGCCTCGGGTAAAACAACCTTCACAAGCTAAGTGAGGATACAGAGAGGTTAGCTCTGTTGAACAATACCAAATCAGGTCGACTGCTGCATGCGCACCTGCGCCCCACGTTGGACCAAATCCACATCCTCACGCTCCGTTCGAACGTCATCATCCTGCAACCCTTCTCCTATGACCTTCTTCTTGCTCTTTGTTTTCTTCTGAAGCGGCTTGGAAATGTTGGCAGCAGCCCACTCGGGGTCAAATGCTTCGACGGTGGCCTTCGCTTTTTTGCTCTGTGGTGCTTCACGCTCGATCGCTCTGCATAAGTAGTTCAAATACATGAATAAGAAAGGTCAGACGTCATTTCAGTGAGACAGGCTTACACGTTATCTGCAGAACGCTTCTGCTGCAGAGAAATAACAGGAGGGTCATCGGTCGTGGCATCGAGCTGAGCAGCACCACGAGCAGCTTTCACACGCTGCTCCTTCTTCTCTTTTTCGGACTGCTTGGGCGCTTTCGCGGGGACTGCCTTGCCTTTTCTTGCGGTCTATTGATATATTCAGCTCGTTTGACACGTAAATGATCGAGATCAGGACACACGACATACCTGTGGCCTCTCCTCGTTCTCATCGACCTCCATGCCCTCGTTCTGCTCATCACTCTCGCCCTCGTCCGACTCGCCAGCTGCCTCCTGAAGCACCTGTTGTTGCTTCTTCGCCATCAAACCTCTCAACTTCTCGTTCTGCGTCTTCAACTTCTCCGCCTTTTCCGCTGCAGCCAACTCCTTCCTTCGCTCCTGCTCCGCCTTATCACTTCTCTTTGCCTGAGCAGCATCAGAAATGTCTTCCTGGAAGCGACGATTTATCCCCTTCGTGACGAGGATGTGCGGGTCAGCAGTAGATCGAACCGGACGCGTCGTTATTGACTGAGTCGGAGCGTTGCCTGCCGAGCGTCCGCTGTCTGGTCCTTTCTGGAGTGATATGACTGGAGCTTCATCAGCGGGGGTCTCTAGCCGCGTAGAGCTGGTTGTTGTTGGAATAGGTGAGGTGATTTTCGAGCCTTTCGCGCTTGTGGTGGCCTTCGAACGCGTCTTGCGCTTCGTCTCGGCCGTGCGCGCCACTCCTTTTGTTGGCTGATTCATGCACAAGTAGGAAACTCCCTGCACGAGGCAAAGAGAGTTGAAAGAAGGAGAAAAAGACGGTATTGGTAGACCAGGTGCCAGTGAGCGACGTGCAATGGGGAGGAACAACGAGCAACCATAATCTCGGACACGTCGCCGTGGCCCCCAACCTTCAATGCAAATTATTGCACGTGGTCTTAGCCAACCACATTGTTGCTGTCAGTCGTCTGGTGGTCCTCCCAGCTCTTGTCTTGTCTGTATCATCTTCATGATGCGCTTGTTTACCATCTTTCTGGCATATACTTTGATTTTCATGGGCTTTTTTTGCAACTCTTGCAGTAAATCATTCCCCACTCGTTCCGTGCTCTCGAGCCATTATAAGCGGTATCATCGCAATCCGATCCCAGATAATCCCCAAGTCCAAGAACACTACCACACCAAGCTCAATGGTTCGTCTTGTACTCCTTTTGAAGTTCCTCATGCTGACTGGCTCATGTTTAGCGACACCCTATGATCGTGAAGGAGCGCCACTCGACCCCAGTGTTCCTCCATCATTTCCGCTTCCACATCCTTTCAAATGGGACCCGTTCGCGAACAGGGCCAACTTCGAGTTTGTTGAGTATCACTATGAACAGGCTCACTCGTCAATAACAGGTGTCAACCATCTCCTCGACATTCTCGCTGCCCAACGCATCCTTCAAGGTGAAAACAGCGAAACCGGCGGCTTCTACGACAACTACAAGGAGCTCTTAGCCGCCATCGATGCCATCAAAGTAGGCCCAACGTCGTGGACTTCCTTCATCGTCCGCTGGAATGGTCCCGTTGATGCCTCATCGCCATCCTGGAAACGCGAAGAGTTCGTCATTCACACACGCGATATAAGAGAGGCCTATCATGGAATGCTTAGCAGTCGAGACTTCGAAGGCAAGTTTGATACACGACCATACAAGCGTTGGGTGAAAGGCGAACGGACGTACTCGAACCTCATGTCGTCGGTTTGGGCATGGGATAAAGCAGTATGTTTTTCCCTACTTAGCTGTTCTTGCCCAAGTCCAACCTTTTTCACTGAACTATCGCTGTAGACTGAGATCGCCGCTGATCCGACCACTCACGGATCAATGCTAGTCCCCATCATCCTTGGAGCTGACAAGACCACAGTTTCCGTGGCAACGGGCAACCAGGAGTTTCACCCGGTGTACACTTCACCAGGAAACGTGCACAACGACCTACGTCGTGCACATCGTGATGCTCTAATTCCTATTGCGTTCCTTGCCACCCCAAAAGGTAGATTCTCAGTCTCCTTTCTGCTGCTAAATCCGACTTACGCATCTTATGCTCACAGCCGCGCGCGAAAGTGAGAATGACGCCGAATTTCGACTCTTCAAGAAACAACTATACCACGCCTCGATCGCTCAAATCCTCATGCCCCTGAAGGATGCAATGACTACTCCCGAGCTCGTACGTTGTCCTGATGGACACTACCGTCGTGCCATCTACGAGATCGGCCCCTTCATCGCAGATTACCCGGAGCAAGTGATCCTTGCAGGTATTGTTCAGGGTTGGTGCCCTAAGTGAGTGCGACTCGTCTTCTTGTTTTCCTAGCTTGATCATGTGCCCCACAAGGTGTACACTGACGATGATGCCATAGATGTTTCTCGCGGCCACAAGCGCTGGATGAGATCGGACGGCCGCGGTTCCGTGAGTACGTCGAAACACTTCAAGAAACATACGCCGGTGATCCAGGAGTCCTTTGGGATGCATTTGGAGTGGTCGCTAACGTGATTGTACGCACCTCGCCCTTGCTTTGCGCGTTGATTGACCCTAACACCTCCCCAGCCCTTCACGTCTCACTTCCCTCGAGCCGACATCCATGAACTCCTCACACCCGACCTACTCCATCAAGTCATCAAGGGTACCTTCAAGGACCACCTTGTTCAGTGGGTTGAAGACTACATCAAGCTCTACAACAGTCCCGCCGAAGCGAAAATGAAGCTCGACGACATTGATCGCAGGTGAAACCTTTTGACTTTGTCTCTAGAACTATATAAGCTCATCAAATTCTGTTTCAGAATCGCTGCTGTTCCTGCCTTCCCGGGACTTCGCCGCTTTTCCAGTGGTTTGAACTTCACGCAATGGACCGGGGATGACACTAAAGCCTTAATGAAGGTCCGTTAATTTCCCTCATTCCTTTCGGCGTGCCGGACTTACCTCGAGGGTAAAGGTTTACATTCCGGCAATCGTTGGCCACGTCCCTGATCGCGTTGTCAAAGCAGTTGTAGCATTTCTCGATTTCTGCTACATCGCCCGCCGACCTTCTCATACCGAAAAGTCGCTCGCTGAAATGGACGCTGCCCTTCAACGATTCCATACGTACCGCACGGTCTTTGTCGAAGAGGGAGTCCGTGCGAACTTCGCTCTCCCACGCCAGCACGCACTCGTTCACTATGTTCGTAGTATCAGGTTGTTTGGTTCGCCGAACGGCCTATGCTCGTCCATCACGGAATCGAAGCATATCAAGGCCGTCAAGGAGCCGTGGCGCGATTCAAACCGTAACGAACCACTCGAGCAAATTATACAGAAGAATGTCCGCCTTGGGAAGATCGCAGCGGCTCGGGTAGACTTTGGTGCAAGGGGCATGCTTAATGGGAACGTTCGGAGGGCGGCTTACGAGGAGGTGGGGTTTTATCGTCCAAGACTACATGTGGAGAAGGAAGATGAGGCAGAGACGAACGACGCGGAAAAGGTGAAGGCATATAATGAGGGGAAATTGGTTATCGACGTGGAGGATATCGACTCGGAGCCAGCGCCAGTTGATGTTGTGATGGCAAAACGAGTCCGTACGTGTATCTTTTGCTTTTCCCCTCTCATTTTCTCACACAATCGTTTCAGAGTCTCGTCCATTTGTCGAGGACCTTTCCGAAACATCTGGACTCCCTCAGCTCGAAATACTCCTCCGTCGCTTTCTCTACGATCAAATTTACCCTGACCCCGAGTTAGATGCCGAGCGTGTCCCCATCGCTAGGCTCCCCGACATTGATGACAAGCTCTCCGTCTATCATAGTGCTCGTGCCGCCTGGTATGCTCCCAGCGAGCTGGCTGGCCCTACTGGCATGCACTCCGAGATTATTCGCAGCACTCCCCTGTTTTTTCGACGGTGGGAACGACGAGACACGGTGCTTATTCAGAACGGCTCAGAGGATGAGGTCATGGATGGCATGGTAGTTGGGCGAGTGCTCATGTTTTTGGGTGTCCCTCACGGTGATGAAGAATACCCCTGTGCTGTGGTTGAGTGGATGCATCCAGTCGGCGAGAGTCCTGATCCCGTCACGGGGATGTGGATTGTGGCGCCCGAGAAGGTCGGTCCGAAGCGTACCGTCGGTGTCGTTCATCTCGATTGTATTGCACGTTCTTGTCATCTTATTGGTGTCTATGGCGAGACTCGGTTACCTTATGACTTCGCATTTTCAGACTCACATACTGCTTTCAAATCCTTTTACCTTAACAAGTACATAGATTATCATAGTCATGAAGAGGGGCCTGGCACAGTAGGTTAATATACATGTATCATTTGTTCAATGCAGGCTACAACAATTGTACTCAATACCCTTGTGCAAGGCAGAGGTCAAGTAGCACCACCACTGGAACGAGCAACCTCTTACTGGCCAGCAGCGACACTGGACACTGAGCACCCTGACGGCCCTGATCACCCTGGGTTGTGTGGCACCCTGGCGCATCGGTCCGCCAGGGCCGTCAGGGCCACCAGGGCGTTTGACGTTTTGCTGATGCACTCACGCACGACATGAACGTCCAGTAAGTACTAACCTAAATTCATTCCACTTCACGAAACCATAAGTACAAAAACCCCATCAACGACTCGGAACCAACGACCCAACGAACCAACGATACTATAAAACGTCAAACGCATATTCATACACCCATTAATTTTCGAACTATTGTGATTCAAGACCGATTGAAAGCTGAAAACAAAACTGCGAACTTAGAAAAAGAGAAGATTTGTCGTATAAAGAGGACGAAGAGGAAGCGCACGCAAACTCGAGAGAGAGAGAGGAAGAAAGTCAAAAGGGTTTGGTGGGGTATTCAAAAGCGCAAGTTACTGTGATGGTCACGTACGTATGGTATGCAGGCAGGCAGGCGGGCGGGCGGGCGGGCGATCCAAACCGGAGCCGTTAATTTTAGACTATGAAGACGAAGAAGAGCATGGGGCAATTGGAGAACGAGAACGGGACGGGAGAGGGATGTATATTACAACGAGACTTGGAGCTTGATTAGCACAACTGCAGGAAAGACGAAGAGGAGAGATCCAGGAATTCGAGAGAGGGAGACCATATATGCACAACATTTTTCGGGCGACGAGAGGGAAAAAAAACATGCTAGAAAAATGAAACGAACGTCTATCGAGGTCATCACGGTCACGAGGCAAGAAAGGTGAAAAAACAAAAACAAATCCATCCGCAACCAACGGCGACAACGCCCTTGCACGAAGTTGAGGCCAGCCAGTCCAGCACCGCCCCCAATAGGCGCCCAATCCCGATGCCATAACCGACTCCTACTGCAGTCACCTTGCTTCCGTCGAAGCGTAGACTGCAGCAGAAGCCACAACATAAATGGCAACTTCGTCGGCGACTCGCACACTGCGCGACCGTCGTGTCGTGATTCCGAAACCCAACTTCTACTCTCCGCGACGAGGCTGACAAGGCAAAGCAGGAAACGGTGCTTCGGGGTCCATCAGCGCCGGCGATGTCGTGAATGCGGGTGCGGATACGGGTGCAGGTGGGCGTCAACGACGAAGCGAACGGTGAGAACCTCGTCGAGTCGAAGGACTGATGGAGAACGACATGCCAGCAAGCCGAAAAAGATCGAAGCAAGCGGCCTGGCCTGCTGAATGCTGAAACATCTGTGGCGTCGAATCCCGTTCCATATGTATGCTCGAACTTGTTCCATAGGTATGCTTGAACATTGTTCCATTTGTGTGTATATACACTCGGAAACGCGGAGAAAAACGGCCGGCAGAAGACGAAGACGAAGGCCAAGACGAAGGCCAGGACGAGGGAGGTCGGAGGGTGGCTCGGAGTAAACAGCGGGTTCTGAAACTTCGGTCGGTCGGTCGGGGTCGGGGTCGGTGGCGTATCCGTATTATCGAAGGGGGGAACGTCGATTATGGCTAGATCACCCGCCACTCGAAGGCGACTCCGAGGAGGTATTGTCCGGTAGTTGTCCGGTGGCGTGGTGGCGAACATCGACGGGGAAGAGGTCCGAAACTGTATGCGAGAAGATTGGATGGCGTAGCTTGACGCCCGAGACGAAGATGCGAAGTCGGTTGGATCACGAACGATGCCAGATGGAAGGGGTGGTAAAAGTCTTCAAGACCGGACGGGGAGGATGGAGGGTGTGACTAGTACAGCCTTGAAGCCCGACACGAAGCCCTTGTGATCACGAATCACGAATCACGATGCGAGGGTGGCAAGAGTGTTCAGAACAGGGCAGAACGGGGACGATGGGAGAAGCGATTCGAACGGAACGATGGGACGATGAGAATGTAATGTAACAAGACAAAACAAAAAGAACAAGACAAGGGCGGGACGGGCATGCGGGAGATGAGCGATGGAACATGAGAGATGGGAAATGTGCTGATGAGATGGTGCAGATGATGAAGTTGATGATGAGAAATGTAAGAGGCAGGGTACGACGGGCTGATGAGAAACGAAGCGAGGGGGAGGGGGTAATATAATGCAGTTCGGACGGCGAAGGCAAAAGATGAGATTATGCGAAAAATTCGGACGCATGGACTGGGGGGCGGTCGGCGGTGAGCACATCGATCAATCAAAGCAGGTGTTGTTGATCGACTATATATGTAACAAAATCCGGGTGAGCACACAAAATCACCCAACAACGAAGCAGTTAAAAAATCAGCAAAATTACTCACCCACCGCCTCATACAAGCAACAACGCCTCCGCGCCCAACTCACTCATAACCTCCCTCCACCCCTTCAACCTCCCCATCTCCCCCGTCCCCACGTCCCCCTGCTGCTGGCCCAACATCCCCATCTCCGTCATCCTCGCCTGATCCCTATACTGCCACACCCTCTCCATCACCCTCCTCGCCTCACTACAATTCCCCACATCCGCCTGCTCGTCCTCCTCCCTCAATCTCCTGAGCATAACATCCCTCTCCTCCCTCACATCCGTCAAACACCCACACAAACAGATCCCGAACACGACGCTCCTCAACACAGACGAGGACAACGACGTCTTCCCTGGCGGCATGCTTCGCAAGAGCGCAATCATCTCCTGCACGCCTGAGCGGATCTCGGGACAGGAAGGGTAGTCGCCTGATATGACGGAGTGGAGGTACACTTTGGCTGTCGCGCGGAAGATGTTAGCGGTGAGTCGGCGTCGAGTGATCAGTTCGTCTTCGGTCGGACGTGCACTGTCCGCCGCCGTCGTCCCCAACGTCGGCGATCCTTGCCCTCCTCCTCCTCCTCCTCCTCCTCCTCCACCTACATCGCTGCTGCTCCCACCGCCAAACACCGAAATCCCATGTCCATGGACCGGACTCCCAGGTATATTAATGAACCTCTCCTCAATCATCATCCCCCGATGCACCAGGTTAACCACACTCAGACCCCCCCTCCTCATCTGTCCCTCCTTCCACTCCTGCAACGCACTGATCTCCGCAATCGCTAATGCCGTCGAATTATGGCATCCCATCACGCTCAACATCGATAACTGCGGCGAGGCGTACATCGGGTCCTCGATATACGCCCGGTCGGACCACAGTTGGCGGTAGTAAGGCAGGAAGCGCGGAGATTTGCCGGTGGTCGTCGAGGCGAGGATGTCGAACCAGAATGTGGTCTTGATAATAAACCGTTGGCTATCCGTACACCTCAACAAGAAATCCGTCGCATCGCCCACCTCCACTCCCCCTCCCCCTCCCCCTCCTCCCATCCCTCCACCCAACCCCGGGCCCATCCCATACCCCCCAGCGTTGAACGGTCCCCCCTGCGTATGATGCGTATGTCCATACGAACTCGAGGTCGAGCTCGTCGGACTCCCCGCACACGTACTAAGCACATTCTCCACCCAATCCGCCGCGACCTCCAAAAATGAATGCCAAGCGCCTCTCCCTCCATCGAACAAATACGCCGAAACGACGATGAGGCCACTGAGCGCTTCGTCCTCCGTGGGGGCCATCCCCGTATCCGTCGTATGTCGCTTCACCGTACTCCATATCCTCAACAACGCCTCTTTATTCTCCGTCGACGTCAGGTACCTCATCATCCCCCCCTGTCCATTCCCATTCCCTCCTCCATTCATCGTCAACGAGCCACCGAACGGCCCGCCCCCTCCTGCGTGCGCAGTAGAACCATACGGATTCATCCCCCGCCTCAGAGCCTGCTGATGCAGTCCGCTCAGTAAACACGCCGCGTCCCTCGCCGCCGGACTCTTCTGTATAGCCCTCAAAAAGAAATTCGCGATGTTCTTATCGGCGAGGAAATATTGTCGATTGAGGACATGGTCCAGATAATGCCGCACCAGCGCGTTCTGGTCATGTGAGAGGTCGTAAAGCAGCGGCGTGAAGATGCCCTGGCCGATCGAACCATAGCCCGTCGTGTCTGGTCCCATTCCCCCTCCACCTCCACCACCGCCGATACCTCCTCCGCCACCGTCCCCGTGAACGTGGATATGTGACCCCGTACCCAGACCTCCAGACGTGCCGGCTAACATCAAAGCGCCAGACACATCGCCCGCTGAGGAGTCAGCGATCGTAACCCCGGACACGTAGCCATTCGCGTCTTCTTGGTCGACATCATACAGCAATCCCGCGAACTGATGGCTATACGAAGGCGAGAGCGCGCTCTGGAAGCCCGTGGCGGTGAACCCCGCGGCTGGTCCTGTCCCATTGCCGTTACCATTGACATTGTAGCCCGACGAGGGGTTAGCCGCATTTGTCTGAAAGCCCGACGAGTTGTCGTTGTTATTGTTGTTGTAATTCGTCGTGCTGGCGCCGCCGTACACCGCGCTGCCGTTGTTCGTGCTACCGTACGACTGCGTCTGTGGTGCGTACGCGCCGTTTGATGCGAACGTTTGATTTTGTTGTTGCTGATGTTGTGAGGACGTGGACGAGGCGGACGGATGATGATTGTGATGATGATTGTTATTATGTGGCCCTACAATGCAGAGAGGGGAGAGGACAGAGGGTAGAATAGAGGTTTTTTGAGTACATTACTGACTACATAGATAGAGAGAAAGAAAAAGAAAAAAAGCGGCGAATCAAGAAAGCACAACAGCGGGCGGACAGAAAAGAGGCGAAGTCGGACGAGGCGAGGGTCGATGGATCAAGAGTGGGCATGCATGGAGAAGAATGAAAGGGGAGGGGACGCAGCTAATACTATAAAGGAGACACGTCCTAATAACGGTACGACGAGGAGCTTGTCTTACAAGAAGAAAGTAGACTACCGGAACCTCCACCCCCGGGACCTCCCGCCGCTCCCACCACCGACGAAGACGAAATCGAGACGGAGGACGCAGACGACGAGGGCTGCAACATCGTGCTCGCGGTCGTGTACGGCAACATCAGGTCGGAATTGATGTGGCCCCGCTCGAGGGGCGAGTCCGGGCTGAGTTCTTGATGGAGGCCATAGCCGCCCGCTGTGACCAGAGTCAGTTCGATTGTTCCAGATGCACGGTATCAACAGGTGACAGTGATGGGATCACGAAAGAGGAAAGATAGCGGGAGATCGGGACAGGCGTGGGGAAAGAAGTGGGGGGTGGACAAAAGGAGATAAACCAAACAAACAAACAACCAACCGAATTTGTACACACCTGAAGCCCCACCGTAGCCGTGATGGCTGGGAGGCAAGGACAAAGCAGGGTAGTGTGCCGAGCCAGACCTGTCTCTGATATTCGAGGTGTTCATCTGGCCGTACGACGTCCGGTGGTCATGGTCGTCGCTGGAGGCGGACATGGACCTGCTGCTGGCAGAGGGGCTTGGAGGGCCAGAGCGGGAGTGCGAGTGCGAGTGCGAGTGGTGGTGAGGGTCGTGGGCATCGGCGACGAGGACGAGGATGTCTTGTTGGTCGCCGTTGCGGGCGGCGGAGCCTGCGTGGCCCTTGATCATTCCTTGTGCTGCGAGGTAGTCCTTTATCTTTTCACGGAAGACGGTGACGTTGTTGTTCTCCTGGACGACAGTTGTTGAGTATATCATGTGGCGCTATGTAAAAAACACGGGTGGCGCAAGACATACCTTCAACCATTCTGGACGTTTCTGGCCGAAACCGAGACATTGAAGTCTGAGACGGACGCAGGTCTGGCATCTATTCTGTTCGTTCGGTTGTTCGTCGCATTTCTGTAATGTGGAGATGGAAGGATGACGCCGGCGGTAAGAAAGAGGCAAGTAGACGCCGAATCGGGGGTGCGGGGCAGACGAGCGCGTAGATCGAGGGAAGGAGTGGAAGTCGGTGGGGGAGAGAATTAGCGCTGAATTAATGTGAAATAGAGGATGTTGGGATTACCTTGCGACGGATCCTGCAGGTGTAGCAGCCCGACTTGGCGCGGATGGCGCCTTTGGCCTTGGGCGCCCCGATCTTCTTTGAGGCCTTTGGGGTCGTTCCAGAGGAGGAGGACCGGCGGGGGCTGGATGAGTGGGAGTGGGTGTGCTGGTGTGCTTGGAGAGACTGCATCATTGCGAGAGGTGGCGAGTGGGTACGAGGGCAGGGCTGATGAGGGCAGGGCGAGTTGGGATCAAAGCCAGCGAGCGAGCAGCCGTTCGAGAGCTGGAATATATAAGCAGAGCAGGCCACACCAACCACAACCGGAGACAGCTTCCGTGAGAACATCCAATCCTCCCAGCGGCGTCTCACTCGGCCCAGCAGGGACCCCGGACGCACCCCTCCAAGCGCACTTCCATCCGCCTGCCTTTCGGGGCGGCGCTACCACCGACAACTCTCAGTCCTTGCACCGCCCAGGCGCTTGCGCACTCGCCGGCTCCTCGGCTCTCGCAGGCACCAACGCTGTGGGTCCATCCTTTATTACAGACGCCCTCCCATTCGCTCTCGCCTTCCGACCGAGCGAGTGCTCCTCCGCCACCAGCGGACTATCCAACTGCGTCCTCCTTCCCTGCGTCCCATCCGATGCCGTCCCCTCCCCTCCGTTCTCTCCCCATTAGGCTACAGTACATTACCAGTCACCCCATCAAATATCCGTCGTCGTATTACTCTCTCTAGCTGCATCACTCAGATCCCACATCAGCCCACAATAGATTGCATTCAGTTGCATCCTTTCCCGCGCGCCTATCGCACCGTTTCCTTCTTCAGCAACAACGCCTTCTGAACGTCCTCCATCTTTTTCAGTCTTCCGTTCGTGCACGAGTGGCAGCGGGTGGCGAATGACGAGTGGCGAACACATGTCCATTGTCTTCATCCCGTCGGACACATTTCATATGTACATGATCGTCGCAACCTACCTTTCGCCAAAGTCCCCTCTATACGCACTCGACGTCATTACTGTCATCTTACTCTGCTCGACCGATCGAACGAGTTCGGAAGACGTACGTCGACGGCAGGAATCAAGAAATGGTCAACCCCCTCGCTATGACTCAGTATACTATACAAAAATTTCATTCCTTGCTTCCCTAATCGCCGTGACAATAACTCAGGGTAGAGCACTCACGAGCGAATAAGTATAAAGTATTCGGAGGGGACTGGGGGGGGTAAGAGGTAAGATAATCGAGAGGAGGGAGAACGGTGACGCGAGCCGAATCGTAGAATCGCAGAAAGGAAGAGTGAGGATGGAAGAGTGAGGATGGAAGATAGAGGATGGAAGATAGAGGAAGGATATACTTAGGCCTGGTATGGATGGACGTGGACGACGACGGCGAGTGCGAGAAGAACGAAGTCGATGGTATGATTAGGGGTAGTATGAACAACGGAACGAAGAACAAAAAGAAAACGAAACGGAGAAAGAAGAAAAACGATCCACACCACAGTTGGGTTACTAAGAAACGTAAAATATAAACAACCAAGACACAAACGATCCAGATGCCGTCGGACGACGAATCAAGGCAGACTGACTCCCTGACAATGACAAAGACAAAGACAGAGACGAGTAAGAGAAAAAAGGAAAAAAAGGAAAAAGGCAAACCCATCGACAAACCACGATGATGCTCTCGCTAGCCGATTATCCATCGCTGACCTCTCCAGTCCGACAAAACCCTGATGGCATGCTAGGTGTCCGACCGTCAAACGCTCCGCATCATCAACAATCAACAATCAACAATCAACAATCAGCTCAGCTCAGCCTCCAGCCTTTTGTATCCCCACATAGACGCCCACGTCCACCGTCCAGTTCGAAAATCCCAACTCCAACTCCGACTGCATCTCCTTCAAAGCGTCCGCTTGTCGATCCACTGACACGCACACGCTAAACCCCTATCACCGATCCCTATCTCCTCTTCCCCCTCCCCATCCTCCCTTCCTCTCTTCACTCCCTAGCTCTTCCTCGGCCCACTACGACTGCGCAAACACCCCCGACCCTCCCCTCCTCCCCTCCGTCGCCGACGCCGAAAAACTCCCCACCGAACTCTCCTCCCTAATCGGCGTCTGCGGACTAAACGCGCTCCCGCTCATCCCCCCACTCAAACTCACCTTTCTCCCCCCTCTCGATCCTAATCCTGCTCCTGCTCCTATCGTTGTGCTCCCAGCCTGAGAGATCCCAGACCCCGATCCAGAGCCAGAGCCTGTAGATGCGCTCTGCCCATGCCCATATCCATGGCCACTGTCCAACCCACCCGAAGGTGTTGAACTCAAAGCCTGAGCCTGAGCCTGAGCAGCCTGAGTCTTCGACTGCACATTCCCGGGCACACCCCCCGCCTCGCTCCGTCTCGCGATCAACGCCTTAACCGCGCTCAACCACTTTATCTCTTCTTCTTCGCTCGGGGCGCAGAGTAACAACGTCCGTTTCGTCGTCACGATCTTAAACGTGAAATTATCGTGCTCTGCGCCACTTTGTCCCAATGACGACGGGTCCATGTCTTCCATATTATTAGCCGTACGTGCGTTATTTGCCGTGCCGGTGGTGGTGTGATTGTTGGTGTATTGAGAGGCGGAGGCGGTGGGAATGGTGTGTGGAGGAGATGTGATGGGTGGAGAGAGCGGGTTCGAGCTGGAGGTGGTGATGCGCGAGGAGGGCGTGTGGGCGTGTGAGTGGTTGTGGGTGGGTAGGTCGTATTCGAACGCGTCGAGGATCTGGGAGAGAGGGATCTGGCGGTGCGGTTTCGTGTCCTGTATACCATACCATACCATACCAATATACCACACGAACGTCAATCTGTGTGCGCAGAGGGCTAGGAAGGGAACGCACCATATGACTCCCGGAATACATCAACTTCTCCCCATTCAAGACGAACCACCTCTTCCTCCAATTCCTCCTCTTCGATCCACATTTCATCACATACCCAGAAACGACCGCCTTACCCCCACTGATCCCGCTCCCACCACCACCACCACCACCTCCACCACCACCCACACCAGCACTAATCGCACTCCCACCACCCACCGTGTTCATATTCGACGGCGACGACGACGTCCCATACATCCTCCTCGCGTTCGGCGACGCGTCGTCCGATTCCGACGACGTCACACCACCACCGAGCTGCGACGGCGGACTAGGCGTGAGCGGCATCGGGACGTCGTTACCTCTCTGCTGTTGCCCACCACCATACTGATCCCTCGATCCCTGTCTCCTCGGTATCGGAATCGGTCCCGCCGCCGTCCTCCCACCACCCACACTTATCCCTCCCGGCCCTCCTCCCGTGGCACCCTCACCCCCTCCTGCTGCTGCTGCTGCTGCTGCTCCACCACCACCCACAGTCCTAACACTCCCCTCCACCGAATTCTGCGTACTAGTCGCCACGAGCACCTCCATCGCCTCCCTGATCGCGGCCACCCAGGCCAACATCTCCATGTGCGATTCGGCCTGGAGGTAGAACGTGCGCGCGTTGCTCACGACGCCGAACGTGTTGTCGTGTTTTTTGAGCTCGACGGGCGTGCATGAGTGGACTTCGGTGAGGTCGAGGAGCCGGTGGAGTTTGTATTCTGCGGAATCTTTGTAGTAGGCGAGGTGGGCGGGGCGGAGGACGAACCAGCGGCGTTTCCAGGTCTAGAAAGTTGTTGATCGGCATGAAATGGCGCGGGGGGGTCCAGTGTTACGTCGTTGAGTAGGTAGCGAGATGGTGGCAGAGGTGTAAGAGAGAGAGATGAAAAGCAAAAGTGGGAACCCCAGTCAGGCTTTTTACCGCTCTTCGACGCAAGAATGAATGGAATAAAAATGAAATCTTGCACCAACCTTTCTCCTCTCTCCCTTCTTCCAAAGATACCCCGCCTTAATATCCTTCCCTCCCTCCCTACTCAAACTCGCGCTATCCCTCCCATTCCCCGCGGCTCTCCATCCTTCACCACGCTCGCCCTCCTCCTCCTCTTCGTCGTCCGAATCGCCGCCCCCGATCGCGCGGCCCGAGGTCTCGTCGTTGTGTCGTTCTTTGATGGGCCCGAGCGGGGGTTGGGTCGAGTTCGGGTTGGAGGGATGCGCGGAGAGTTTGGACGGCGTTGGGGGCCCGGAGAGAGAGGGTGGGGCGCCTGTGATGTGAAGCGAGGGTGGAAGTTGTTGGTAGTACTCTGGGGAGAAAACGGAGTCGGAGTCGGACTCTGTGCCTGCGTTTGGGGTGGGGATCTAGATACACAATACACCATACACCATGCGCCGTATCCAAGCGTAGTACACAATCACACAAATAGACCGACGAACGAGCGTGCGGATAGATGAACAAGAGACGGGAGAGAGATCAGGCACTGAAACGAGCGAAAGACGTGTAGAGCGATTTGATCAAGCACTCACCTTTGGTCTCGCAGCGGAATGAAGAGACAGTTTACGATGTATCTCCTGTGGAGTCGGCGGCGCGACAGGCGTCGGGATCGCCTGCTGTGCTGGAGGATGCGACGACATCTTCGCCTAATATTATGTTGATGGCTCTTGCTTTGCTTTATTAAAACCTGCGGATGTGTTCTGGTTCAATCGATAGCGAAGTCGTCTGCGATATCGAGAGAGACAAGCCAAGATAGATGTCGGGCAAAAGAGAAGATATCTAAGGAGGGCTGAAAGCCAAGGCAAGGCGGCTCTCCACAATCGACGGCCGTGACGACGCTAGAGCCAGCGATCACCGTTCCTCGAGCAGCCCTTGCTTTCCACATCCGCTCGGCCGTCACCGGTGCGTCACTCTGTCACTTTGTCACCCTTGTCGCGTCACCGTGACAGACAGCGCCACACCGCGTCTGACTCGAGCCTCGAGGTGTGGCCCCGGGACGTGGGGGATCTGCACGAACTCCGAACTCCTACAGCTGTACTTGGGTCAACGATTTCGAAGAATTCTTTCATACGATCGAGCCGTAAGTTCGTCCTCATATTTCGAGAGCGCAGGAGCGTCTATCGGGAGGCTCAAAATTATGCGCTTGCATGCTGCTGTAAGGGTGCTCTTGGGACATGGACGCAAGCGCTGTGCAGGCTCTGATTCTGGGATCGATAGCCTGGATGCGGCTGTGCCACACCCGCACGCCCACACATGCACTGGTACGGCTGTACGCTTTGAAGTTCTATGTTCGAATCCATCCGTTCATTTGTGTGCGTGTTCGCAGAAGAAGTTTAAAGTGCGGATGGCGAGAATCTGTGGATCGGAGGCGGTACGGGTGCAAGTGTGTAGGTATGTAATGAACGAAGTGCAGAGATATGTTCGATTGAGAAGGTCTTGTACACAGACAGTGGTGGAAAGGGAGGATCGACTTTTGGACGAATACATGAGCTCATACCAGGAATGCAGAGTATCAGGAATAAAGTCGGGCGCTCAACTCGACCGACATCTACATACCTGTTATTGTCAATGCGGGGAACAAAGACTCGATCAGATACGGGACAAGTAATCACTCCAGCTCCAACTCCATCTTCTCCCGTATAAGTATCCTCAAATGTATACCATCGCACCCCATCCGCACCGCAAATACTTCACTTCATAGGTATTACTGTGATGTGTTCTTCAAGTTACTGTAATACAACACGGTCCTTCACCGCCTCCGACAATAGCGGAGATCAAAAAAAAGACGGTCTTGTACGTGCTCGAGCTTGGTTTGGAACATTCTTCTGATATTGATACGCCGCACCCGCTGTTGGCTGGTATATTTGTAGCGATCATTGATACTGATTCAGCAGCGTAAGTCCTTCATGGTCATCTCGTCTTAGTTGTAGCTCCGCGACGAGGCAGAGGCCGGAAGAACGAAGCGGTTTGAAGGAGAGACGTACCCAGTTCCCAAACAACGGATCCGCTCGAACATCCCACACGAGCTCAAAGCTCTGAGTAGACAAATCACGTCCAAAAGGCAAAGACAACTTGAAAGCCAGACATGATCTCCGCGAACGCAACGAGAACTAGACAAAGATTCCCGGTAAAAACGACAAGCGCCTCGACACATGAACTGGACACGAGCCAGCCATGCCATTGACAGGTACTACAGCTGTACCTGTATCAGCTACTTATGGAAGACGATATGTTTAGAATGTGGTCACTGCCGCGTTTGCATCGAGGCAATGCTATAGACCTCGCTGGGTCACAAGTCCAGACAGGTCATGGGTGTACCGTGAATCTGTGGTATGTTATACCTCGATACAAAACATCACACGAGCGTATGTTCAAGCCAAGGCAACTTCGAGCTATAAGATTTAAAGCAGTCGCAAATATTCAACTGGAGAACAGAGGTGGCAGCAGTGTGAGACCATCATACCCGTTCCAGCACCCCATCTCCGATCTAAACATACCCAAGAACGGACCACCCAAGCCGAGAGCACAAAACTCTTGAATCGGGCACGATGCACATTTGACAAGATTGGAATGGTGGTGGCATCCGCATGATGATGCAAACGCCCGTGCTCGTCGCAGCCGCGGAGAGCGCCTCCGCCTCACTCTATGATAGCTATGTAGCCTTCGGCCTCACCAGACTAGCCTCAATCCAAACACATGCCATATTTCACAGTCAATGCATCACATCCGCTATCCGCCAGTCCTCCGGGCCCCACCTCTATCTTCTGGGCTGAAAAGGTTCAGGGCAGCAGCCAAGAGGGACTGAAGACTCAAGAGAGAGTAAACAATACATACGAAGAGCGGCGCCTAGTCCGATGTGTGGCCGAGTCAAACTAAGATTAGGAACACAAGATTGGAAGACGCGGCAAAATATTGGCAAAGTTCACCAAGTCTCGAGCGAGGGAAGCACGAACTTGTGCAGATCCTATAATGACACGGCGCTCCGACGACAGCGCGGTAGACCTGCCGAGAGGCACAAGAGATTTTCTTGAGATTCGTTGCCAGCTGAGTACGGCTGAGGACTAGCCAGAAAAGCGTGCGTGTAAGCCAATGAGTAGTTCGCCGTCTGTGTCATGCCAGAAGAGTGCTACGCCACACGTCTTTCGAGCTCAAGAAAGAGAGTTCAACAGTTCGTACGAAGGAGAATGCTCGGACGAGCCGGCGACATGACCGGTGGCGTAGCCTACACGGTTCTGCTCTCGAAAGCGCCGGTGGGGTCTGGTAGGGTTTGCAGTTGCAGTTATGAACGAATGCAAGTCCACGGAGGTCGTTTCTATTTCCTTCCAATCAATCGTCGCGGGCCCTTGCCTCGAGAATCAAGCTCAGACCGGAAGCAGTGAGCGCTCCACACGCCCTCCGTCGGACGAAGGAAGGAAGGAGATTTGAAAGAAGACTGAAGTGGGGAGAGGAAGGAGACCCCGGATACCCTACAGTTGCCCGGCTCAGACGCGCAAGCGGGGTATTGTCTGTATGCCGAGCGCGCGGGATATAGACGCTCTTCATTCCACGGGCCGCCTCGGTGAGAAGAATCGTACTCAGTCGTGTTTGGTAATTATGCAAGATGGTTGTGGTAAGTTGTGAGGAATGCAGGATGGACGGCAAGACGAGGTGAGCTTGAGAACTTGGTGGGGTGCGGGATGAAAGATGAGGATCTAAAGGAAACGAGGCTAGATTGGAAGGGAAAGAAAGAGGATGCCGAAAAAGTTTAAGTACGCGAGACATACACGTGTCGACACGGGTCCACAGTGGTCCACAATCGGTACATATAGCCAGCATAAGTACCTGTGGATCATGATATCCTCGATAGAATAGGGTTTCAGGGGACGGCGAATAGGTGAGTCTATCTGACAGAAGAATGGAAGCGCCCGGTACGACAAGCCTGAGAGGAACACCGTTCGTGTGTCATTCAGAAATAAACCTTGGGAGACGTCAAGATGGGAGGAAGCAGACGAATAGACTAAGGGTGATAGGAGTTTGTGACCGTCCGCGAAGGCTGAGCCGCCACCGGTACCATGAGGAGAAGGAGAGGGACCGTTGGGTTCTTCGCGCAGGACTGGGATGACTGGAGAGCGGGAACGAGGATGCGGTCTCGAGCGAGATGAATCCGAGGAAGCATTCGAAGGACACGGAGGACAGGCTGACTGCGGGAGGTGGAGGCACGGAGGAGTCAGTGCAGGTCACTGGACAAAATTCGGTGCGTCATCCGGTCCTTGGGTGTCTTGTTGGTTCGTGGCTTGGGCTTCTGGTTTCTCTCAGAAGACGTCGATAGCTGGATCTGATGTTCCGACGAGGATGGTCCAGGCTGAGTGGCACGAACGAAGGCTACAATCGGGTGGCGGAAAGGTTTGATCGCAGTGAGGCCGTATCGCCGACTCCGCCCCAATTGCATGTGGACTCCGCGAGGGAACTCAGTCTGAAATAGCCATGGAGATGAAGAAACAAAAGGTGAGTTGATAGCGTTCATTCGGTGGATAATAGGATATGCTATCGTGCTTTATAATCGCCTCTGCCACAGCTTTGAGCTCGCGCATAGACAACTATCACAGCCCGAACGCAAGGTTCAAGCTCAGAATGAACTTCGGTACCATCGCGATAAGCGCTGAAACACCGAGGCGCCCTGAGCACTCACTTCAAGTTGCCCCTGGCTCTGTATGCAGTGCACACACCTACAGGCCAATAGCTGTACGAACGCGTGCCCAGAACGACGAAGCTCCCCTCAATTGCTTTTGTGCTTCTTTCCTCTCATGAAGCCACTGGTATCAAGAGGAAAAAACACGGGATATGCCCAAGAAGCGTTAGCGCCGGGCGGCGAAGACGTAACAGGACAGAGAGAGAAACACAAGCGCACACATGTAGTGCTCGAAGCCGAAGTAGGCCCCCAAAGACCAGTGCTTCGTCCACGAGTCCATGCAGGCAGCCCCTGTGCCGCTGAGAGAACCGAGAACAAAGCGAGTCAGGTTGGGCCGAACCGGCGATTGCGAAGCAGCGCTTACGCGGATGTGAAGCTTTGAAGATTGGATGGGCACGATTGGTGAGGATTGAAGACGGGTACGGCAGAAGTGAGGAGAAGAGCTGGTTGTGGCTCTTTCTTCACATGGATCGTCATCGGGTGTGAAGTTGGGTAGACGGGAGGAGTTCTGACGCCGGACTGGAGTGTGGGTCTAATGCTATGTTTCGAGATGGATAGACGGTTCGGCGCTTCGCAGTCTCCAAATGTTGAGGAGAGGTGATGGTGGTCAAGAGAGTTATGAGATGGTTTGGTGTGTCAGATGAAGCAGCCGAGTGTTTGTCAGTTCGTGGTACGATGGGGTCTTGATTTAGATCACGCTTAGTGTATCATCAAAAAAAAAGGAGAAGAGAACTGAGGGAAAATTCACCGAAAGAGTCGACAGGGAATCAAGCCACAACTCATAGCCTCTCATTGCACCATTTAGGGTAAGTTGATAAGCTGTCACTTGAGCGGTTTCCCTGGGGCATTCATCAACGGAGATGATGCTGAAAATGTACTAGTTTCTAACGAGCGCAAAGGGGTACGGAAAGAGATCTTCACGCTCGATAGATCACCGTCGCCTGGTAAGTAAATATCTAATTAATATGCGGCTGTTTGATGGGCTGGACTTACCGTATCTGTGCATATGCAGCTGAGTTACGCTTGCTTGTCCACAAGACAACAAATGAGCGTGCCGAGCCCAGGGTCACGACCGTCGTCGTTCATTTGGAGAGAAAATTTCGCGGAGGCACATCACGGTCGAAGCGAGAGTATTAGAGTAATAAAGAGTGAGGGAAGGGCAAACATTGTACGTCTCCTGGTCATCGAGTTCGGTATTTTGGAGGTCTACTGTATAGTGAACAGTGATGACTGCCTCCCTCGATCTTTGATTCTGGACTTCGAGGCTATATGTTGGGCGTTCATGAACAAGTTCAACGACGAGTCGCTGTGGCCCGGGTGGCACCCAATGCGCTGGACAAACGTGGATTGACGTAATCAATCAACTGAAAGCCCTGTTCACCTTTGGGGAAAACAAGCTCGCATCCCCATCGATTTATCCATCCTCGCCCAACACCATCATGTCTCAAGCAAAGTTCGACAAGGCCGTCAGCATCGTCCAGAGCCTTCCTAAGGACGGTCCTATCAAGCCATCGCAGAACGAGCAGCTTTACGTGAGCTTGTATCAGTATCATTTTGTGCAAAGGCTATTCTGACGGAGGATGGGGCAACAGTTCTACTCATACTATAAGCAGGGTGTGTAATATTCTTATCTAGCCAGCGATACGACTGACTAACGTGAGGGACATAGCTACCATTGGTGATGTGAATACCGCCCGTCCAGGTCTGATGGACTTCACCGGAAAGGCAAAGTGGTGCGTGCCAATGTGGTTGTCTCGTTCACGATTTGTATCAGCTACTTATTCCGATAATGCGGGCCTCAGGGACGCGTGGAAAGGTGTCGAGGGGACGTCCAAGGAGGACGCCCAGGCCAAATACGTCGAGAAACTCCTCGAGGTGCGTCTACGCTTTGACTCGATGCTCGTCACTGGACATGAGACGCGCCTTTCCTCTGCCGACGTCCTTTTCGGCGCTGATGGTTGTCGATCGCTGACTGTTCCTTGATTTTGTCGCCCATAGATCTTGAAGAAGGCTGACACCGATGAGGCCAAGGCCTTCGTCGCTGAGATCGAGGCTGCTTGATTTCCGGTGAATTTATACGCGGACTTATGGCCCCGGTTATGCGTCCAGTGTAAGCGCTTCGAACGAAGATGTATCGGTAGGAAGTTCGTGAATGCACAGCTGTACGTTTGTATGTTCGTTGGATGAAAATCAACTCTTGCTTTCATTGACGGTGATGGACGGTCCTGTCGATTCCTCGGATTCGCGCGCCACAAAACCTTTGGCTTGGCCGTACGTTCGCCACAATGGGGTCATCACCAGTTCTCCTCGGCAATACCTGTGGCAATGGTCGCAGCAGTGTCTTTTGCAATAGCTTCTTGATGCGGCCTGCAATGTCTGTGTTATGTCTTCCCGACCGCTCTCCACTTTATTTTTCCCGCAATCGCCGCAACTGTAGGCCTGATGATCATGCTGCGTCGTTGACTAATGATTGCGCCTTCTCCTCTTCGCACACGGAGCATGATGTGGCGACGATATCAAGAGACTGGCAGTCAACTTTGTCTTCGTATCTGTCACAGCAAACCCCTGTACCGAAGTACAAGTGAGTAAGCCCGCGACCTATTCTTGCATACGAGCGTCATGTAGCTGACGCTGAAGATTGGTGGTTCCGTCAGCGCCGGTCATCTCACCTCGATGGAGCTCAGATCATCCGTGGCTCAGCGCTCAGCCACAAGCAGGCAAGCATATCCTATTCTCGACGGGGGATCCAGCTGTCATTCTTCGTCCCCATTTGCGTGTCATGCCCGAACAAAGAGGACCGCGATCATTCGATGCACCAACTGTATTCTCCCGTATCAATGCCACCCTGTTGGTCTCTTTGTTCTCAGTCGGCGCTTGATTTTGACCGACCTACGTACTCGCTGTACAGTGATGCGGTGGCAGAGGGTCTGCCTGTCTTGTGTACGGTTCATTTATGTCCACCAGCCGATCACAGAGGTGAATGCTGTAACGGCGATGTCGACCCTTTGGCTCGCGAATGAGATGCACGGTGATTGAGAAGCACGTTCGTCTGAGGAAGTTGCACGTCCCGCCTGGTCACTTACTCGCTTTGAACCTCATGATCACTCTAGCCGCACTCCTTAAAGCTGTTTCCTTGATACCGGCAGTCGTATGACTCTATCAGCCTAATTGAATATTCTCTGCCAAGAGACTACGGCATAGGCAACTTATCACACGACGCAAATGCAGCTGTCCTTGTTGACAGCGACGGCGGTGGCGTATCGTATCGTATCGTGCAGTGGTCAGGGTGTAGCTCGTACCGAATCGTTTGCGATAAATACTTCCCACTCACTCCATATTCAGTGACTGACGGTCCATTTCTTTCATCCAGATCTGACGAAGGTTTGACCGCAACATGTAATAAACCTCGAGGCGGGCATAGTTCTCAGGTCCACCGAGCCGTGCCACCTCTGGCACGGCAGCCATATGTTCTCGAAATCGATGACACCGGGAGCACTTCTACCAACACGGGCCGTTTGGGAATGTGTGGCGAGGCTACATTGTGTCCTCACGTTCTGTCAGCTCGGTCCACTACGGTACCCAGTGATGCGACTGCGACGAGTCTTACGATACAACGCGGAGGCTAGGCTGTCGACATTGCACAAGTGGGTAGGCAGGGCGTGCGTCCGTATCTCCAATAGGGAACTGTCAATTAATGATAACATTGACCCTTCAGGTCTATCGAGCCATCCTCTCCAAAGAAGCATCCATAAATCGCATAGGTGCTCTAGGGTGCCGCCTGTTCTTCGAGATCCTCGAGGTCTTGCCACTGTGCGGTAGGTTTTTCTGCGTCACAAACTTTTGCACGGAACACTTAGGCCGGCCTCTGAAGTCTGCCATACGCTATCGCACCAGAAATTATGTCTGACCAGCCGGACCTCAGGCATCAGGTTCGCTAGAAAATCCTGAGACTCGACTCAATCATGCTGCCAGCTGTGCGCATTAGGAAAGGTCACCAAACGGTAACATCATTGTTCTAATTATCTCCATTGTATTGGACATTCGGACCTCAGGCCCTGCCTATACTCTGCCTGTAGCACGACCCATCTGATAGAACTCTTTCTATGTTTTGCTAATACAGTACTCGGCCCGTCTAGGAGGAAGCAACGCTGTTTATGGCTACTACACGACCATGCCGACCTCTAGAAGCATCGTCACTTCGATTACTACTAGTGGTCCCCTGGTTCGGCGGTGCCACCGTTGTGACATTTCACAACAATTCGCCGATGGACCACCTAAAGGCCGACGCCACTGATATCAACAGCGGACGCTACTCTTACTCTCAAACTTCAAACACTTAACCGAGTTTTGAGGCTTTATTCACTTTGTGCTCATAGAGTTTCACGTACGTCTTTGGCGCTGACGGCATTTTGCCCTCTAGATGCATCTCATCCTCGAAGGCAGAGGACTAGAGTTATATTGCGCAAACGCATTCGGCATGGTACGAAGGTGCGTACAACTGTTCGGCGTATGTCTACTATAGCTTGTGACTTGTGAGCCGAAATCTCGTCATATGCGTATATGCACAAGTGCATACTTCCACAAATGGACGCTTCCATGTTCCATGCCTCCCCCACACCCTGACGCCTGTCTCCTAAGAGGCTTCATTTCTTCCAAGCATCTCCTCGTCGAACTCGGCTCGGTCGAAGTTCCCATTCAAGCTCAGCGAAGAAGTCAGACGTGTGGTCGAGACCCCACGACGGCCCCGCGACGGCGGTTTCTTGACAGCAAGGGTATACTAGAAGCCTCATCAATGTGTTAGACAGCAATGAATCATGATGTACGGACCACACTGCCAGCCTCAAGTTCAGCCCCATGGCGCGGTAATGCACTAGCCCGAGAACGGTCTCGACGACCAGGAGTTAGGCGATGCAGGTAGGATTCAGCTGTGGTAATATGTTTGATCTCGACTGGGTATCGCGGTGAGTTTCGCTTCTATGAAGGTTGGGAATGAAATATTGATTGCATTCTCGTGTATTAGTTAGGATGCAGGATGCTTCAGCCTCTGATCTCGATTGTCACCGGGAACTCATGCTCCGCTGACTCATTGCAAGTCGTCAAGTTGATATCCGACCTGTGGAGGATGCCATGAACGTTGGCAGCTGCATAGCCCCGGTGACTGTATTGGGATACAGTCAAGTACCTTCTCAGTCTTATCTGTGGTTTAATATATTCTGTGTTCATAATCACATATGAGACGTTTACTCCATGAGTTTATGTCCATCTTGTCCATCGCGACCTCTGTCATGATACCCGACTGTCGTGATCACAGTTCATCTACAGCGATGCTCATCCCGCCGCATCCTCAGAATATCGAGAGACAGCCCTATATCATACTATTGAGTCAGGCCATCATCCAAGGACCATGATCACTCTGAGTGTCATTACAGGGCATCTCGGGTTTGACTGGTGGGTATGGGAGTCTGTGACTTACAATGTGCAGACACGGCGAACGGGGCATTTTTAAGATCAATCCATCGACAAAGCCCTATGAGTCGCTCCAGACTTCAAAGGTTGAAACGAATCGATACCATCGCGAGACACGATGTACAAGAAGAATCGCTCAGGCTACCACTGTGATCTTCTCTCTTCATTTTCAGCAAAGCCCTAAACCCTCCACATTGATCGTCGCCTCCGCCGTGATGTTCTTATCCTGGGAACATGTCGAGCAGATGGCGTTCGGCTCCCTCGACCACGTAGGTTACACTCCAGGAGTGAAAAGGAAGGATGGCATTTCTGAAGCGTGTAGTACGGAGCACGGTTCGTTTGGGATATCGAATGGTCACCAGCATCTGGACCTTCTTATACTGCAACCGAAATATCTTCCACAGTGCTCCAACGCTAGATAATGATGCGAGACACAGAACACCTCACCTCCGGTAGGTAACATCATCGACTCTGCCTAGACTTGCACCACCCCACAAGAACATTGAATCTCTCCGGCACATCTCAGGTTCATTCGCGTAATAGTATCTTCGACGATAGGTTTATACCTAGCGGAGTTGGAGGACAAAATTTAGATCGTCAACAATATCGTGAACTGAGGAGGTAGAATAAATGAGAGCGTACCTTCATACAATTACCCGAGGTATAACACAATTCAGAAAGATCGTCAGGCCGACGCTCACTGACCGACAACCTAGTCGCATATACCCGCGTTCGTGCATATCCCTGTCGAAACTACCGTCAGTCTCCGGTACTAACTCTGAATATCCGGGTAAGTTGAAGCTGAATAAGATGCAGGCGAGCGACGAAAGAGGAGATCCAGGATGTAGTCAAGGTAAGGAGTCGACACTACAAATAGGGTTGGACGCACCACTAGGACAAGTCGTCCCATCCACAAACTTCTGTCCGAGATGTAGAAGGTCGGAGCCTTGGCGGTTGAGGAGCACGGGGTAGGCCAAGGACTGCACGACTGTGGCGAGAAGGGTGACGGTGGCTAAAGAACATGGTTCTTGATGTTTAAGTGGCGGAAGAAGACAGCAAGGGCGACAAGAAGACAGAGAGGCAAGTGAAGAGGAGTCGTCGCGATATAACCCAACACTGCGAAAACAAGCTCATTCCAAGATCACATACACCGCACCTCTCCAGCTCACAGGCGACCAACTTCAAGCGCCCGGTCTTCCGAAACCGCACACTGCCTTGAGGTCAGCTGTAAAGGAGAATAGGAAAGATCCCGACATCAAAGACCAAGCCCAGAGTTTGCTCAATAATAGCGATTGAGTTTCTTGGGTACCATAAGATGTGTGGACCCTGTGGTAGATGTTGCGCAGCTTGTCGGCTCGAAGGCGTACAGCATATTGACGTCCGCTTTTGACGGTGGTGTTACCGGAAGACTCGCAGGGTAAGCGTACCAAGGGATGTCTCGATGATTCCAAGTTGTTGATCCAAGGCAGGCGCGAAACGCAATTATCCATGACAGGTGCATCCAGCACGAAGGGAAAAGGGTGTCGCGCCCCTCCGAGACATCACATATAGACTGTCAAGTTATAAACCGTCAGCCTCGGAACGTCAAAGAAAATGAACGAAGAAATACGGAGCATGCCTTGTGTAGCAACAGAGTGTTTCTTGGAGGGGTTGTTGTCGCGGTAGCTCTCCAGCCGGTTCGAAAGGACGTTAGTACAAGATGTAGAAGGGAACGTGGTCGAGTCTCTGTAGGCATGTAGTCTAAGGAAAGGGCTTTACGTGGACTTTCCCCGTGACTAGTTTAACTTCAAAATAGACTCAGAGTCATACGTTTAGAGTGGAATGAGTTCACAAGTGCTCTGTGCAAGTGATGTATGTGGCGACACGGGGGATGAAGAAACTTGTAGATTGTACCCGGCGGGCCCGGTTCAGAGACGAAGGCAGAGATTATCCTCGCATTTCCGCGAAATACTAGTAGCGACAACCACAAAGAGCGCATTTAATTTTCCGGATGTATGGATGAGAGTCAGGGGACCTAAGATGTTCTTGCTCCTGAGTTGAATCTGTTTGTGGTGGCCAAGGAGAACGTTCTTTCGGAAGATTCCGACGGCCGCCACTTCGACTTTACGTCTCTTCCCCGCTTTCATCTCCTTCACCTTCCACCGCTCCCACCCTCCTACATCTCTCCTCCTTACCCAAAAAATAAGTCAAAAAAAATGGCCAGCACAAACTCTCTACGCCCTACTAACCCTGACAACTCTTCGTCCGACGAACATGGCGGTCTAATCCGTCGTTCCTGGCACGCATTGTCCGACGTCCTCACCCCCTTCTCACCTTCCGCTCTCGCTCGTCTGCCCAAGAACCTCAAACGCCCAGCACGCTATACCCGCGCGGATGCCATACCCGACATTGCAGATGAGGACAGGGAGGAGGACGGGCGAATGCCGACCGTGAGGGATTATCATTCTATTAATCCGGTGCAGCCTAGGTTGGCGGGGGCGGGGAATGTGAGAGTGCCGAAGAAGATTGCGACGCCGGTGAGGGTGGAGGGCAAGGTTTGGTTTGCTAATGAGAGGAGTGAGTCTTGTGTTGCACATTGGATGTTGCAGTTGACTTTGGAGAGGTGTTGATGGTATTGGGGCGTTGTGTAGCGTGGATCTCATACCTCAACATCTCAATGCTCATCGGGACGCTCTCCATCGCGCTCTTCAATGCCTCAAAAGACGAGATAGCGAAGAATATGGCTTATGCTTACGCTGCTATCTCCGTCGGAATTATGGTACGTCTCTCCCTTTCTTTCCGCTCCACCGTTGTTCACCTCCGTCCATCCCACACGCCGTTCGGTTCGTTCAGATCTATGGATATGTAGTCTACCAACACCGTATTACCATGATTCGTCGACGAGATCCAGGTCACTTTGGTGCGTTCTCCCCTCTTGTTCTCTCCGGCGCGAACGTTCGCATTGATGAAAATTTTCTTCTTTCCTGCTTTTTCGCTTGGCTTGTGCCCCTATCGACCCGTGTGGCCCGCTACGCCACACTTGATTTCACGAACGTGCGCCCCCTTGATCGTCGATCGCAAACATGAACATGTCAAAAACTTCAACATTCCGATATAAAATAACCTCCGTGATACGTTCAACAGACCAGATCGTCGGACCTCTGCTCATCAGCGCAGTTCTCTTCATCGCTATCCTCGTCAACTTCATCATTCGGGTTCGCGAGCTGTGCGTATTCCATTCTATCTCATCCCTTGCTGTTATTTCGTTGGGCTCCCTGTACGATCCGTGGACGATTGAGCTGGAAACTAAGTGCGATGTTCTACTTTTTATTCAGACAACGCCAGAAAGTTCCGATCCCGGGCCTTGCGTTCCTCATGCTCACGGGCATCGCAGGACCACAGTCTTGAATCCGATAGTCGATTTTCAGTGTTGCGTGCGGGTGGTATATATACAGAGTTGGATACATGTATGTATGGCAGGATATATGGACAGTTTTTCATTTGCTTTGGGGAGATTTAGGCAGGGGGTCGTTTTGTTTGGATGCTATGGTTCATAATGCCATTTGTTTCTTCCATCTTCTGCTCGCTTGATACTTTTTGGTCTCAGTGGTCGTCTCTGATGTTTCCCAGGTGCAGATGCTGCTGATTTAAGCAGGAAGGTGACGCCAAGACCTGCGATATCTGCATATTGTGGTCCGCAGGACTTCGTCTCCGCGTTGCGTAGGTGGAGAGCCGACGGTACACCGTATCTTCTGTGTGAATGCCTAGCAGTTACACAGCATGGACTTGGTGTTGTATTCGTGGCAGAAGTCGAGAGAAATGCACGTATATCGTTGAACGCAATGGGCGACGAGGCGGTCGAAAGGTATGATATGGGGACGCGAGTGATAGGTACGCTCGATGGCGATTTGGGATGCATGCAGCAGTTGCCGAACGATAGTGGTCTCCTCTTTCACACTAATACTCGGAGTCAAGAAGGAAACATAGGATGCTTAAAACCCAAGCATTGAACGTTGAACAGTACGGTGTAGTATGTACATTGTGCAAGCCTAATCGACAGCCGCGAGAGCACATACCGTCACCGTCTCGACTTCTCAGAGAACAAACGCTCCGTAGAAAACCTGATACCCCACAAAAGACGAAGGATGTCGGTCCCCCACAATACGCTCGTCTCCCTCCCGCGTCCCCTCCCCAATCATGAGCGTCTGCCGCAGACGAGCCGGGCGTCGCCTCCTTGAAAGAGAACCCAGCGCAAACGGAAGAAAAGCGTACTGTGAGTAGACCCACGCCCCGTAGGACGTGTCTGGTTCAATCAAGGGGACTGGAACGCGGACAAGGAGGCTGAGAGAGCTGGCCGAGTCCGAACTTTTATGTCCCCAGGGATTTGTTCTGAGGAAAAAGAGGCGGGCGCGGGCGAAGGCGGTTTATATAGGGCGAATTCGGCGATATGTTCGCACGGTCGAGTCGGGATGTGGCGTGCCGGAGCGGGTGTGGAAAGGGGCTTTGCTCCTCTCCTCGTGAAATCCAAGTCGATTCTCTCGTGCTTCTCGTTCTTCTTTGCTTTGTTTTTTCTACGATAACCAGCTTTTTCTGGGGGTATCGACTTGAGCTGAGCTGGGGATATAACTCTAGTCGACTTACTATGTCTCGTTCAAAAGCGGGTGCTAACATTGCTCGTCTAAATGACTTGACGCTCGGAGCGTTCTCGAGGGTGCAGCCCTCTGAAACGCTCGACCACCTCATTAGATACCTCAGCACTTGGAGCGGTAGCGAGTAAGTATCTCATAAATACTCTATATTTTCGATCTGAAAGCTAATAATATCATGCAGCAAGCTCTTCATGGTGTGCACTCTTTCCGAGCTACACTCTATGTTTCCGATGTTGAAGCGAGAAATATCTTATGGTCATATAGCTCATTCAATACGGAGTGAAAGTCCTCATTCCTCTACTTCACTTACGTGCGAGGCTTCAGCACCGCGCGGGCTTTCGCAAGGACACTGTGAGTCATGCAGCCCCGTCGCTCAACAAGATTGCCAGCATCATCGGCGATGCGAGGATGCTCTGGAGGATATGGGGTCAGTATGTTCGCTATTGATTCCACTCATTGTCTCATCTCTCAAATTCCAGGCCTCCTACCCATTCTCCAATGGCTCGTCGCTCTCGAGCGCTCCCCTTCACCCACCCGTCGTCTTCTCACGATCGAACGCGCCCAAGGCTGGAGCATGCTCTTCTACTACCCAATGGAGCACTTGTACTACCTCCTCTCTCACGACGTCATCCCTTCCTCTATCCCCCTTCCTCTCCCTTTCCTACTCCACACTCGTACCCCAACGGACTATAACCCCGCCTCGCCCACATTCTCCCCAACACCAAAAGCCCTCTCCTTCAACCCCGACCCAAATCCCGACCCGCCTCCTTCCTCGCTCCTCAATCCACCAAAACCGCCGACTCTGAACCTCGACGCGAATCAATTGGGATTGTGGTCCACGAGGTTTTGGGCTTTGTACGTTCTGTTGCAGTTGGCGCATTTAAGAGAAGATAGGGTGTTGTTGAAGAGGAGGGCGAAGGCTTTAAGTAAGGAAAAGGGTGTTTCTGTTGCGGGTGGGACTTTGAGCGAGGAGAGGAAGGAGCTCGGAAGGAGATGGGATGCGTGGTGGAATGAGCTGGCAGTGAATTTGGGGTATTTACCGTTGACGGTGCATTGGTGAGTTTCGCCCCCTTCCTTTCTTTTCTTTACTCCATCTTCACCATCTCCACGCGCACAAATTAACGGCTGGGCGATTATGGGATAGGTCACTGGAGAAAGGTCTCTTCAAGAACGACGTACGTATCTCTCCGTTGCACGTAACGCCCTCGTAGCAAACTTGACTCATAATTCCTGCCCATATAGATCTGGGTCTCCCTTTTCGGTCTCTTCGCCGCCGTAGCATCCTTCCGAAGCGGATGGAAAGCTACTGCGCTTCCTCCGTCTGTGGCCCCTCCTCCGCCCTTCAACACGGATGGAACGGAGGAACCGCCTTTGGTCGGGCCTGGTAGTGAACGAGCGCTTAAGGATGGGAGCGTTGTTAATGAAGAACTCTGGCAGCTTCGTCCTGGGACACACGAAACGCAAGCTTGAGGAATACGCAAGATACACGAGTCAGACACGCCTTCGTATTGCACTTTGTACACCATTTCTTGGGGTTTATTTGTTCCGTTGGTTCTTTTGCTAACAGTGTATATAACTTATTTGACAGTCAGTCCACAATATATTCTTGGTATGGCGAGATACCCGATTTCTCCATCATACTGGTTCGAGTCTTCGTCTGGTCTCGGACTTGCGATGGATCAGCAACACCTTTGATTGGGATCGGCGAAACCGAGTTCGTGCTGCTGATGTGGGCCGAGACTTTTTTTTGGCTCTCAACATCAAAACTTCTTCCATGCCGACACGTCCACGGCCTATGTTGCCCTTCGTCCACCACAGGACTCGTCCTCTTGCGGTACTCAAGCAACTCAATCGTACCTATTGCTCATTCAAGCCGTTGGCTTGTCTCATTGCGTCGGTTTGCTATCCTCTTATAGAGTCGTCCTCAAGGCGGTGTGCGGTCTTGAGAGACCGGGCGCTTGAAGTTGATCGCTTGCTTGCTGGCTAGTGATGTGCGGTTTGTGCGCTCTGCGAGCGAGCATGTGCTCGTCGCCTTGGGTTGTATAAAGACTCATCTTCAGAACATCTTCCCATTTTTCTTTCGAGCGCTATCCAACCTCTTACAGCCCTAGCCGTCTTCTTTTCTTCGACTCGAACATCAAAAACCATGTTGTTCAGCCTCGCCACCGCCACTCTCCTCGCGACCATAGCGCGCGCCTCCGTCCCCATCCCCGCTCTCCTCAACCGCCAAGACTCTGGCCTGTTGCCTCTCGGACAGAACTGTACGGCGAACGCGGAGTGTCAGAGCGAGAAGTGTTGGCCGGTTAGTTGGTATTATGGACAGACGGTGTGTTCGCCTAGTCCGGCGGGCGTGGCTTGTACGGATGGGTCGACTTGTATCAGCGGTCAGTCTCATCCTCCTCCCTCTCCATTTCGTCAGATGACGAGGCTGATGGTTGTGTGCAAATTGACTACATACGGCAGGGGTATGTACGAGTGACGGTGTATGCGACAAGAATACGGGGACGTCGTTCAGTGAGAACGGGAAGGATGGGCCGTTGTGTTATACGTCGAGTGATTGTTATGGGGGTGCGTGCCTTTTTATTTCCTTTGTACGATATGTGGATTATTCTGTTGTTGATGTGATTATTGCCTTCTTCTCGGCATTTCAGACAACTGTATCGCTCCTTTCCTCGGCGGAGGTCAAAACACCCAGGTACGTCCATCTTACTCTTTCTGTCTGCTAGTAAGGTGTAAGAGGACGATATGCTGACCATAAGTTTTGCATCTAGTGTTTCCCAACTCACGTCGTAAGGCCTCCTCGCCTTTCCATCCAACCAACCAGCTTGCTTATTCCCCATCATCCCTCAACTATATAGGGAAACTACTGCGACGACCTCACCGGCTGCGTCTCAGGTTCGATCGTCTGACGCGCTTTTCCCTCTTCCTGCCACATAAGTACAAGTGTCTTACTGATTCACAACTCGTAACAGGGAACTGCGTCAACGCGACCTGCCAGCCAGGAAATCACGCAGGTGCTGCTTGCTTCTTCTCAGACGCAAACGCTTGCGATGCTCCGTTCAAGTGCGATGTCGTCGCTATGAGCAGTCCGACGGGGGATTGTATCCAGAGCCTCTAGAGGTTCTGGGTTCGTCGAAGTGGCACGGCGTATTGGGTGTCGTCCGAGACAGTTGGGAATCCTGAATCTGCTTCTTGGGCCTTTCATTTGGTTCTGTCGTTTGTTTGGGTTCGCTGATAGGGTATATAATCTACAGTGATTTCTAAAAAGATACTCTTTTTCTCGGGCACAACGAGGACAGAAACACTCATTTATGCCTCAAACACGCAACCCATCCACGGTCTCCTTGCATCTTGGCACTAAAGGGGACTCGTTGAGATATGGGCGCAAGTATGGTCTTTGAGATCTCGTCGACTACAAAAGAACTATCGATTTCTATCACGTACGGGAACTGCTCTAATAACAATATATGATACTGGGTATGGCACACTGCACTCGCATCCCTTTTATGTTATGTTGTCAGTGACTCGACTCTTCTTGTTGGCATCGGACGTACTGCGGATCAGCATTTGCTGAGAGTTGGGATCAGAAGAATGGGGATTTCGGTATAGTCAACTCGTGACTCTCGGAATCCTCGACATCAGAGATGGCAAGTGAATTGTTGGCTTGATGTTGACGTCGATATCGTCTCTTTCCTTGTACGAAGTTGACTTCGAGGTGATGTGCGGCTTTAGAAGGTTGTCCCTCTGAGACCAAGCCAAGCGCTGATCTGTGCTTGACAGGGCTTGAGCTTGGTGTGACATCTGCGCTCGAGCAACGCGTTTATTATATAACGCACCTTTGCTAGCTTTGAGCAACGTCTCTGTTCCCAATCACCCACTTCACTCGCAGATCGAATCGCCATGCTCTTCAGCGTCGCCACCGCCACCCTCATCGCCACCCTCTTCATCACGATCGCACAGGGCTCCCTCCTACCCCTCGGTCAAGATTGTACCACAGACGCAGAATGTCAGAGCGAGAAATGTTGGCCGAGCAATTGGCATTATGGGCCCACTGTGTGCTCGCCTAATCCAGCGGGCGTTGCATGTGTGGACGGGTCGACTTGTATAAGTGGTCAGTTTCCTCCTTTGCCGTTGAATGGCGCGTGTTTGAGCGAAGAGATGCTGACATAGCTGGTTGGATGATATGGATATCAATCTGAGTAGAAAAATGCACGAGTAAAGGTTTGTGCGACAAGAATCCTGGGACGGCGATTAGTGAGGCTTGGACTGGTCCGTTGTGTTATACGTCGAGTGACTGCTATGGAGGTAATACTATTATCTTATTCCCTCACGTCATTGATGTTATCTGACTTGAATATCAGAAAACTGTCAGCCAACTTTCATCGGCGAAGGTCCGAACACACAGGTGAGCTCTCGTACAGCGCTCTGAATTGAGTAAGTGGAGTTGACTCTCTAACAAAACGTATCCAGTGTTTCCCGACTGATGTCGTAAGTCAACCATATTATGTATATCCGTCCAACCCACCACTCAAAACGGCTTGCCTGATTTTTGCATCATACCTCGAATGTTTTGTAGGGAAACTACTGCGATGACCTTACTGGCTGCATCTCAGGTTCGTTTTCCTTCCAGTCCGCCTCACTCCTTCCTCTGTAATAACTTTTCACATCGGAACCTCCTTGACGCTGCAACCAAATCCGGATCAAAATGCTACTCTCAAAATGCCACTTGATGTCTAAACGATGCAGGCAGATGCGTCAACGCGACCTGCCTGATAGGGAACTACGGTGGCGCACTATGCTTCACCCTAGACGGTTGCGAAGCTCCGTTCGTGTGCTCCGTCAGTGCTATGACTAGCCCGACGGGTTATTGTCAGGATTACAACAACTAGTAGAGCAGTGGTCAAAGCGGCATGGTGCGCGGGAAGAGGCATGATAGGGAGGGTGAATAAATTAAAATTTCGATCTTGGGTAGGTTGGTGTAGGGGCCAGAATATGGAGTCATATTTGGGTCGTTTCATTATGTTACAATCATTGAGTACAGAATCCTTCTACCATGTAAGTAGAGCCGTCGTGAAATGCAGCTTTCGGGAGAAAGACCTCGGTGAGACCTCGGGGTGGGCTGGAGGAATTTGGACCGAGGCCGAGCGTGACGATGGTCCTATGTTAATGGGCAAAGACTAGTCTTGCACCTACGGAGGGGTCGGAGGCGTTGGCGACTCGGAGTTTGAATTAGCACACGGCCGTGCTGCGGCAGCCACCTGAATTTGAGAGAATTGCGAATTCGCCGCGCGAACGCCACATGGACGATAGCTTACGTGACATTTTGAGTCGCGTCGCGTCGCCGCCGTCGCGTTCTGCTTCTCGTCTCTCTTGCCTCGTCGCGTCTCCGGCTCGCTTCAGTGCTGTCATTGTCTAGGCTGTGTACATATTATTTATGCATAGATCATGAACCTCGCTCTTTTGAATGGTTCCTCCTCCCAACCTCCTTCTTTGGCCCAAGTCTCTGAAGTTCTCTGCTCGAGAGCTCAAGTCTCCGCCCTCCGAGAGCAGCAAGAAAAGCCCATCATGTCTCTGGTCACGGGCAATGACACCTTCGTTGTGCTCCCTACCGGTGGCGGGAAGACTCTCATTATGCTGGCCCCCCTTGTGATCGCTGATGCTATGGGCCAGCCCGGCAAAGCCTTCATCATTGTTCCGACCAAAATACTTGCAGACCAACAGGTGCGTGGGGAAGTATCACATTTGGCAAGCACGTACTAACACTCAACACCCTCTCAGGCTGAAGAGGCTCGCAAGTATGGCCTTCACGCACAGTCCATTACCGAAGATACTGTCCGCATAGCGGCCGCTTCTCTGCCCAGTCGTGACTTGTTCCAGGAGTTTGCGAACCAGAGTGGAGTGGCGGTGGCGATCATGAGCCCGCAGATGATGGGTGGAGATCGGGTCAATAAGTTGATGCAGTCGGAGGCATTCCGAACACTTGTTCGGTGGGTTTTTGGTCGATGAATCCCATCTGGTGGACGAGCAGGGTTCGACCTTCATCGTACCATACAAAACTCTTGCATCGTGGAGGTCTCGACTAGGATCCAAGACAGTGTGGGGAGCATTTACAGGGACTGCTTCCCGTTCTCGTACGCCCCACATTACAAAAGCACTCGGTTTCATCAATGAAGAGTTTGTATATACTCGCTACCCTATCGACCGTCCCAATATCAAATATCTCCCCCGTTTTTTCGAGCATCCATTCACGGGCGAAAGCCTTCTCGACTTCACCTTCCTCATACCATTCAATATGTCTTCCTCCCAAGCCATCGTAAAGACTCTCGTATTCGCAAAGACAATCGAGTACGGAGACCGTATCATTCGATTCCTCGACTACATCATCGCCCTTCGCTTCCCCAGCCTCGCCAACCGCAGCAAGATCATCATGCCGTACAACTCTCATCAGGAAAAACCCCCCTACCTAAAGGCCCCCAATAGTTACTTATATGCACCTATAGGCACCTATAGGCAACCATAGGCATAGGTGGATTTAAGCTATGTCCCAAAATATGTTTGCACCTATAGCTGCCTATGGCTGCCTATAGTTGCCTAAACTTGCCTATAGGTGCCTATTAGGGTCCTATCTAGGGTCCTATTTATTACCCAATAAGCAGCTATAGGCAGCCATTAGTGCCAATAGCGAACTATATGGCTAAGTATATGGGTACTTAATAGGCTGGAGAAAATCTCAAATGTCCACTCTGAGGAACCATATTGGGGCAAAAGTAAATGCCATTCAATCACATAAAGGTACATTCCATGATGTACTAGACAAGAATACAGACAAATCCCACAGGGAAATAGGCTAAAGTATATGGACTGTGTGCAAGTGCAAGTATGCATGCATGTGAGAGGTCACATCTAAGAGGGTGAGCACCAAAAGGGAATGAAAATAGGAGTGAGCAGGGAAGGGAGGATGTGGGTGCAGCGAGGGAGAGCAACGGGGGAGAGCAGGGATGCGAGCATGAAAGAGAGCACGATAAAAAGTGCGGGTGGAAGTGTGGGCACGGGTAAGGATGTTGGTGTAAGTGCTGATGAAGGTGGGTAGATCTGAAAGGGTGAGCATGTGCGAACGAGGGTAAGCGAGAATAGGGTAACGAGCCCGTAAAAGATGTGGGAGAGGGTGGGAGAGAGGGTGGGAGGGATAGAGGAAGATGAGTGGGAGGGGCAGAAATGAGGTGGCTGCGCTGAAAAGCTGAGCGTACACGAACTACTCTGCATGCTGAGCGAATGCATGGCCGAGGTCGTAAAAGGCAAAGACAAAGATCTGTAGCGGCTCAGGCGACTCGCCCAGATACTGTCACACTCTCAGAGGGGACAAACAGTAGACTTGACGGCATTGCTGTGGATGGTTTCCGGAACGTCGCCAACCTGGAACTGGTCTAAAAAATATTTGAGATAAACGGTGAAGGGACATACATTGGGGAAGTGAGATGTCGAAGTACTCGGATGGAGGCATCCACTTCACCGAATGAGCGCGGGTGCGGGTGTGCACGCGAGAGGTCGCGCGTGGGCGAGCGAGCACCACATAGGCAAGAAATTGAGACCAGAGCGGAAGAGCTAATGAGAAAGAGAGAATATAGATGCTGTGGGAGAGCGACGAGTAGGAGGAAGAGCAGAACATGGAGAGGGCCGCGAGAGGACGACTGCGAATGTCGACGATGGCGACTAGTTGCTCTAGAGGCTGCCGGAGCACTAGCGACGAAGAGCGAGGCGAGGACGAAGAAGAAGAGGTGGGGATGGTCGCGCGAGGGTGAGCGAAAAAAGGAGGATACGTTGACGGAGGGAGAGAGAAGAAGGGGCTACGGAGTTGGGGAAGACCAAGCGAGGGAGGGAGAGAGTAGAAAAGAGGATTGAAGCGGCACCCAACGCAATCCACTTCACGGAGCGAGCGAGTGTGGGTGTGCGCGAAAGGTCTTGAGTGAGAGGACGAGCACCGAACCGTAAAAAATGACAAAAGCGGGAGTGAGCAAGAAAGAGAGGATGTTGATACGATGAGGGAGAGTGATGGGGGAACTCGATGGGGAGTGTCAAGGGAGAGCAGTGATACGATCACGAAAGAGCACGATAGAGAAAGCTGAAAGCACTTACAATAGTCCGAACGTCCAGCGGGCCATCCAACCTTCACCAAACATCTTTCCCTCATTCTCACCTCCGCTCCGTCCACTGCCCAACCGTCGCCGTCGCATCCTGGAGCGTATCACCGATAGGGTTGATAGGGTTGATAGTACGGCCCTCCTGGCTGCGGGTATCGTTAAGCGACGATGAGGGAGTGAGGAAAGGAGGGCAAAAGCGAGTACGCCGTTAGCAAAAAGAGAAGAAAGGGGCGCGACGAGATTAGTGAGTGTTGCAAGTGGTGTATAGAGAGGACTATCTGCGGACCATGTCGACTTCACCACCCACGATTTCATTGACCAACGTTCCCTCCCATCCACTTCAACGAATGAGCGCGGTTGCGGGTGTGCGTGCATGCGAGAGATCGCACGTGGGCGAGCGAGTGCCGCATAGACAAAATAACCAAGACCAAGGGAAAAGAGCGAGTAAGAAAGAGAAGATAAAGATTCAGTGAGGGGGCGAGGGGGAGGCGGAAGATGAGAGGGTGTCGAGAGGGCGAGTGCAAATGTCGACGATGGCGACTGGAAGGCTGCCGTAGCGACGGAGAGCAAGACGAGGACACAAAGTAAAAGGAGGACGGGGATGGTCGGGAAAGGGTGGGCAAGAAAGGAAGGATGTGGATATGGTGAGGGTGAGGGTGCGTGGTGCGAGCGAAGGTGGAGATGGAGAGAGGGACGAAGGAGCACAAGTCGCGACTCGACGCGAAAGTCAACATCGGCCAAACACGGCCAAACAAAGACGTGGGTTGTGGCGACGACGCGCCTTGCAACTCTTGTTCTTCGTCTCCCACCCGACCTATGTCGTGCACAGGACCTCCCTGGACAACGATCGTGCAAGTCGAATGGATGTGGGAATGGAGGTTAGTATGACGAAAGGTACAGCGGCCGCGGAGGAGAATAAGAGCTCGGTGCGTCCCGTTCTTTTTCTGAGGTACCCCCTTCTCTATCTCATCCGCTACCATCTCAAACAGTCTCAAACCCTCTCGTCAGCACCTCCTCATCGACCTTCGCCGCCTCCTTTTTCTTTCACGTGGACACAATACCCAGATGCGTTACCGGCGGCCTAGCATCCATCATCCACATCCTCGTCGTCGCCACCAACCCACCCGCGCCCAATCCGTCCTCTCCGTCCTCATTATCAACGGCATGCCCGATTGTGGTATCGCATTTGACGGGCCCGACGTACTTACCGAATCGTTACGTTGAGAGCAGGAGTTAGAAAGTGAGAGAAAGAGGGAGCATGAGTCTTCGAGTGCTGAAGTCCTGACTGAGAAGGCTGCGTTGCATGGGTTCGGGACGCCGGCGGATGTGTAAAACAATCGTACGTTCATTCCCTTTCGTTGAATATCTTATCGCCGTTTTCTGCTCCGTATACGTCGCTGATGCTTCACAGGCTAGCGCTTCTCTACTTCAAGTACACCCTTTTCTTTTTCCGCCCGCCTCCGCCACCTCATCGCGCTCGCGGACGACGTTAGACCTCCCCACCTTCATCCAACTCGTGCCTCAATCTTTCCAGTGCAACACGGCCTTCATAGGCTTCTCCAACCTCGGCGACACCGACTCCCTGACCAAGACATGGAAGGTATGTCTTCGTTTTTATTTTGTTGTCTCTTTGTTATTCGTTTCAAGTTTTTTTTCGTGCCATCGGGCTGACGGCTCGAGAACCCCAGCTGGCGCCTCTGGCACCGACGATGCCAAGCCCAAGCCTGAGTTCAAGAACTATTCGAAACATAAGAGAAGGGCAGGTGAGCCTCTCCACGTCGACCCTCCTCCTTCTTCTTTCCCCTGAAACCTTTGATGCTGACGCTCTGTCCGCCACCCTTCCTCTTCACCCATGCCCCTTCTCTTCACCCACGCCACCTGTCGCCCCCCACCTCCCTCTCTGGCGCCCAACCCCAACGGTAAACCCAAACGCCCCTCGGGGTCCGCGTCGAAGGTTACTACGAAGAGATCGTCGACCAACGCTCACTCAACCCTTATCCTCTCGCCGTGCACGTCTCCGCCCTAAAACCCACCTCCAACCTCTCCGGCTACCTCGAGCGCAAGCTCTTCACGCTCAACACCGGCCACGCGTGCACCGCCTACTTCGGGTCCCTCCTCTTGTACCTCACCATTGACGCGGCGATTAAGGATAAGAGGGTATGTGAGGTCGTGCTTGGAGCGCTAGAGGAGGGCGGGGGAACATTGGTGAGGCGGTATGGGTTAGAGGCGGGGCTTCATCATCGGTATGTTCTCCCTGTGCTGAAGAGGTTTGAGAACCTGAAATTGAAGGAGGAGGTGATGCGCGAGATGGCAGCCGTTGAGGAAGCTGGGCAGAGGGGATAGGTTGTTGGGTCCTGTGGCGTACGCTCCGAAGAGCTCGACACTCTCAACTTGAGATGCCCCCACTCGAGCGACATCGTCTCCCAGCGCGCCGACGAGTCCCCGGAGTAGCGTGCTGGGGTGTGTTTCTGACGCGTAGCTCGTGCCCAAGAGGTTCGCCACCTTTCTCAGTCCGAGTGCGCGTGGATTACCGAGGACAGCAGGGAAACGGGAGAGTATTTGGAGGTAGGGCACTGGAGAGACCGAGGGACACCATATGACAGTGTATATCCAGGCCGGACGAGGTATGTCTTTTGTTTCCCTACGTTTCGTGGTCAGGTTTCTTTCACGCATTCAGATAGTACTGACTGTCAGTTCGACGGTAAAACTGGAGATCAGTCACAGCGCCCGCTGACACTGACGAATACGTTGCCGTCGTTAGAACCCATGTCACGTGCAGCGACCCAGACGTCGTCGCATGCCAGGCAGGTGGCGGGTATATGACGGATACGATGCTGACAGTAGCCTCTCACCAACGCGGACACCTGCACTGTCACCAGCCGTGACCAGGAGGCCTCGGCGGAGAGCTGATCGTAGGTGTCGGTGTCGAACGGGGCATCGTGGGCCTGGAACCGAATGATGGTTTCACGATGCACGCAACCATCGAGGACACTGTCCATCTCACCGCCTCTTTTCTTCGTCCTTCGTCATCTTTGTGATGATATTATTGTATTAGTGTTGCCTTGTATTTAGAGAAAAGTAGATCACAATTTTGAGTAATGTTAATATCTGTATCTGAAGTGGGCAATGTACATATGTAGATTGTACCAGTAGCAGTGTGAGAGTGAAAATTAAACAAAGCGAGCTCAGCGCTGCCCCGGAGTCGCATTCGAAGCGACCCGTAGCTAGGTAGATTTAGGCGTGTTTAGGCAGCTCTTAGGCGAGCGCCACCGCGGAGGCGCGACTTCCAGTTTAGGCAGAATTTAGGAGCGGGGGAATTTGCTGATGCTCTTATGTCCCCCGACTACCGACGCCAATTTGCTCAAGATTTCCGAGACGAAGGTTCGAACATGCGCGTTGGTGTCGTAACCGATACTTGCACGTATGGTCTCGACTTGCCCAATGTCCGACGGGTTGTTGTTGCGGACATGGATAGGACACCGGAGAATCTCAAGCAGACTATGGGCCGTGCAGGTCGGGACGGTCGTGAAGCAGTAGCCATTGCGTTCGCACCTCCCTGGGCTCGCAGGCCACCAGAAGGAGCCGCTCTCACAGGGAAGCAAGCACAAAAGGACGCAAAGCGACGGGAAACCCTACCAATCTTCACGCAGCAATTCTACAATCCTTCTCCAACCCTCTGTCCGCGGCGCGCTGACCTCCAGCATTATGGTGATGAGTTTCACCCCGAACTCACATGTGCATGCATCGTACACACTCCTGAGCCGGAACAGACCACAGACTCGGCCTGTGTGCAACTATGGATCGAATACCTTGCCGCTGAAGCCACGACTCCCCGTGCGGTCTCTCTTCGGTCGGATGGAACGTACCCGCCACTAGACACGCCTATGAAAGCCTCCCTTTCTGCCATGCTTCACACCTGGACAATTCGGCAGTGGGTTCCTTTCCGTCGCCAGCACAACATCTCAGAGCTGATGCCGGTGGCATGCTTCTGTCCGCGACACGTCCTCGAACATCTTGTTGAGAAGGCTCACGTTTGCACAACGATGGAGCGACTTGGAACGGTGATGGATGGGTGGAAGCATTTTGCCACTCACGGAGAGCCACTCTTCCTGTGGCTCACGGTGATTTTGAAGGAGTGGAAGGATATACATGGTGAATGTCGGGAGTCGCAGGCTGTCGGTGTAGACTCCGGAAATGAGGTGGGTGGTGCTGATGAAGACGAAGACGAGGCGATGAGTGATGGAGTTGCAGAAGACCCGTCAATGGCAATCAGGTCGACAACAGCGCCTGCCATCGCCGTTGCCACCATCAACAGCGCCACATCAACTCGACCTCGCGTTCTTTTGAGGTTACCAAACCCCGTCTCTCCACCAACGTCTCCTTCGAAACGCACCTCCTCTTCGCAGCAGGATCTCGAGTCTCCGACAAAGCGCCGTCGCCGCACTAGGAATGCAGGGAAGGAGAACGTGATGGAAACCGGATCCACGGACTTAATTTCGACTCTACAATAGTCTAGGTGCTACAAACCTACGTACATATTGCTACTTTATCCTATCCTATTCAGCTGCCCCACCAATAAATCCCAACAAAGCCAGTTCCCCACTCACAGAGGTGATCGGATTGGTCGGTGACCATTCAACTACTGGTTCCCCTGACTGCTCCGACTCTCTAGCTCCTTCTCCCTCCACGCCATCCCCCACTGATTCTCCTAAGTCGACCCATTCTCGTGTCGTTCGGGCAATGAACTTGGCAAGCTGGCCACCGGTAAGCTTGTGAATGCCTTCGTTGAATTCATCTCCGACAACGTACGGCTGGCGTCAATTTGGCTTGAAAGACATGATGTGCTCGAGCCGATAATGAAACCCTAGCCGGTTGATGTCACCGTTTGACTTCGGATTGGTATGTCTCCCGCCGTTCCGTTTGAAGCCGAAGAGAATAGGAAATCTCTCACGAAGCGCGCTAAAGCCCCCTATGTTGAGGCCAACGTGCTCCGCAAGGTGTTGAGAGTCGAAGGTATGGCTCTTCGAGTTGAAGAGTCGCTTGATCCAGAAATTGTAATGCTCTTGTATAAGATCGAGTTCGACCCAATGGCCAGGCAGACCAGATGGATTTGCGAGGTAGTTGTTCAGGATAGCGTTGCGAAGGTCTTCGGGGAACTCGTACAGGAAGTTACAGGCCATTTCGAGAAGCTCTGTACCATAATTGGTAGAGCCCGCACCCCAAAACGAAAAGCGCAAAAGCTACGTCGTAGAGCGGCAGATTATATTTGAGTACACGCAGCCCGAACTCATGAGATCATAATGCTGACCTTGATGATCTCGAAGACACGTCCAATGTCGCCCTCTGCTATAGCGGAGCACAACATCAGATACCAGCATGTTGTGCGCAGGAAATTGCACGTCGTTTGGAGAGCCTGGTCTTCGCCTATGGACGCTCTGGATGGGTCTGTCGCTGTCGCGACCTTTTTCTTCTTGCTTTTCGGTTTCTGTTTCTGACCACGGTTGGTCGTAGACACTTCCTTTGGTTCTGTATTGTGTAAATTAGGACTGATACAATGCAACGGCGAATGTGTTGAACTCACCGCCTTCAGCGCTGGTGGTAGCCTCACCGGGTGTGTCGTTCTCCGATGGTGCCACAGGGGGACCGTACACCGCATCAGTACGCTCAACCCCATGTGCTGCATCATGAGCAGCAGAGCAGAGATAACGTGAAAATACTTTCGCTGCGAACACTTCCAACAGGTCGAACGTGCTGTCCTTCAACGGGCCATCTGATCCGAAAAACCACTCTAGCCCCTCCAAGAGTGGTAGTTTTGTGGAGTATGACTTGCCGCTGTGCTCTTCACAAAGGAGACTAAGTAAGAGGCTCAATGATCAGCAACAGACCTCTAGGAGTGAACAGAACGGGGCAATGAAAAAATCAACTTGAAAGAGGCTTAGTAGTGCTTACCGAAGAGCATCCAACATCATCGCATCAAACCTATCTTCAAGAATCTGATGCCCAGGGTAAAAATCGCACTTCTCGGCGTTGAACTTCCCTCGCTCCATAACTTCGCTATCGTGGCGTAGGCCGAATATTGTGGCGCCTGTCGAGTCATGCCAGTGTAGGCGAAATATGTTCTTCTGCCAGTTCCACTTGAGGTGCCACAGCTGGATGACTGGGAGCGCAAAGTCGTGCTTGTCGTAAAAGGTGGAGGATTTTGACATGTACCGTTTGACTTTACGAATGCGGTCGATCGTGAGCTGATCACCGCAGATCATGATCAGCCACTTGACCCAACTTCCAAGCACGCTCAGCTGCTCAACCAGCATGTTCCGAATGACCGCCACAGTACCAACGGTCGTCGATTCGTCAATGTCGTTGGTTCGCATGCTGTGTATCTTCGACTTCCGGAGTGAGAGGGGATGCAGGGCATGTTTGGTTGTGAACAACGTTTCGGTGGGCTCGCGAAACTTTGCCAGCGAAGGGACATGCTTGATCCAGACTCGAAGGACGGTACCCTGCGAGACTGCTTTGATGTGGTCGGTATTGATATCTTTGAGGAGTTTATCAACGGTAAGTTCGGCGCGTTTCTTTGCAAGAAGGTTTGCCAGGACGGGCTCTGGATCAAGGGCGCCCGGCGGAGCATCGACTAACTCAATGAGCGTACAGGCTGTGCCGCTCTTCACTTCATCCTTATGACCAAGAGTTTGTTGCCATGCTCGTCTCATCTTGTTTACGTTGTCGTATAGGAGGAGGAAGATGGGAGGCGACCATTGAAGTGCTTGACCGCATGCACGTAAGAAGCCTGCAGAGTCTGTAGACAACGTGTCGAGGCAGGAATATATTGATCGTTGTGATATCGAGAAGCCTGTGCGGCTGAGAACAGAGATGATGTCGTGATGTGCATTGCATGTGAAAAGGAATATGCCGATGATTGTAGGGAACATGATAGCGTATCGGTAACGGAATACAAGTAGCGCCAGGATCGCAACGGTAGCACCCTACAAGGCTATGAATTAGTATCACCAAGTCCAACCAGAAGAAAGAGAGGTGAGCGAGCGACGCTTACCAGCCATGGATCACGACGCATAGAGGGCGGAACGCCCGTTGATTTCAGAATGTCTGGCTCTGATCCAGCTTCCACCTCCGACTCCGACTCCGACTCCGAATGCGAGCTCATGTCCCCATCCTCCCCATTGACCGTTGACGATGAAGCGGACGAGCTAGGCTCATCGCTTTGCGCAACGACACCACCATCCAAAAGTGGGGAAGCTCGTGGCCTGTCGGTTGAGGTGGAGGGTGGCGCGGGTGGCGTTTGCGGGTTTGCGGTGGTCTCGAGAATCTTGCGGCTGCGTTCGTTGACCGAGATCGTGGCCGCAAAAGCGAATGTCGCAGGGGCCGTCAGCGCGATTGCCTCCTGCGCTTCCGTGAGGTCCCATTTAAGGATCGATGACCACGAAAGGGGCATGCTGGGCGTCCGGACTAAGCCCAAGCTAGGCTCGAATAGTCTAGGGACCTCCACGTCTACGCGTTCCAAGACACGTAGAAGAGACCAGTTCATGAGCGCATTGCGTGTTGTATTATCTGGGTCAGGGGAAGACAGCGCCGGGAGCAATCGTTGTGAAGGAGGAAGCGCGTGACGGGGCAGCGTGAATACCGGCTCAATTGGAACACGGTCAGTGTATTCTTGTGCGAACCGGTGGTTAAACAAGAGATCGACGAGAGCGGCAGGGTGAGTTCGGAGGTCCTGTGACTTGCATCTAACGAATGCGGAGAGACTGAGCGCGACGGGGGAGTTTGTGCTGAATTGGGTGTCCTTCGACAACAGCGCCAGTCCAAAATCTCCGATATTGTCAAAGCCTGCCTGCCGCATGCACCGGATTACGAGAAGGAGTTGCTGCTCAGCGGTGACCTCGAACGGCCAATGGAAGCGCGCACGGGAGCTGGAGCTGGTTGTATTGGGAGCGATGCCGTGAAACAAGTTCCGGGCAAAGGAACGTTCGAGGTGAGCGCAGAGTAGATCATCTGGCGAAATATTGGCGGGCGATGGGGTGGGTGGTGCAGAGAAAGATAGAGGGTAGGCGGGTGGAGTGTAAGATGGCGGGCCTAATGGATGGTGAGTTGTCCACGGTGCAGGGCCGGGACTATGTAGACAAATTAGCATCACTTCTTACATCCAAAACTATGCAACTGAGGATAGATATACCTGATGAAGCCTGGGTGTGGAGCATAAAAGATACCAGAGCCAGACGAAGGGGATGGAGGTAACGGTGTATTTGGGGTCGAAAGGGAGCGAGGATTCTGAATGAAAAGTTGAGGGATCGGATCCGACACTAAGCGACGAGTATAAGCACGACGAGGGGTCGGAGACAGTGGTAAGTGACTGGATGGAGTATGCGTAGTGGTCGATGGCAGACTCGGAGGCAGGTGAGAGCCCAGGCGGACTGGGGTGCGAGGGCGAGTGGCGTCCTCGTTCCGCTCGTCGAGTCTAGCTGATACAGGTGCAGAGGGACGCCCCGCGCCAAAGGGAGCCTGTTCTTCTCCAGCCATAGTTGAGCTGCCAGCTCAAGCCAGCAGATTTAACTGTATACGACAGGAAACCTATACACGACAAGCGTGGAGCAAGAACGCGTTCGAACGCGTCGCGGAGAAGAACACCGCGAAAAGTTCAACGCGTCGCGCCATGTGGAATTTCAAATGATCACACGATCGAGATCCGCGGCTGGCTTCGGCATCAAGGAAAAGGAACGAGTGTTTGCCCGAATTCAAACTCCGAGGTCCCACCGGTTACGGGCCCCACATAGCCTCCAGACTCTATAGTGAAGAGGAACGATTGTCTTCCTCGATCTTGGAGTCTGGATTTCGAGACTAGGCAAAGACCAACGGTAGTTCAACTTGTCCGACACGAAAACGTGTAGGAGGGTTATGACGTTGCCCACAAGTTATACTCGTGTACCAATGGATCGTAATCATCCATTTGGTTTTGAGACGCCTCGATCATACCGTATGAGATGTCTGCGCCTCTGCGCCTGTATTATGTTCAACGCGATGTGGTGGTAGGTCGTGCATGGATTTTGCTATGAGTCGACCTTGTCCTCGGCATGAAAAACCACAAGGTCAACCTCCACTTCTCTCGTGCGCAGAACCTCGAAGTTTGTGAAGAGTCTGGAGCAGTTACTGCATAATCACTGGTAGGGTGTGGACAAGTAAGCATGCTACACCTCACCGGATTCTTCGTTCTGACCTCCGAGTCCTCTAGTTTAGACAAACTGATCCTAATGGACCAGTAGAGGACAACGTTGAAGGTATCCGACCCACCGAGGGCATATAACCAAGAGTCAAGGATTTCAAGTCGCCGCTCGTTATTTGGCGTCGGTTTTTGTTGCGTGAACAAAGCCCGCAAGGGATGATAGAGTTTTTCACATCGTTTAGCCCATGGACTATGTGAACGGGGAGCTGTGATCGCCCTGGGTCCGGTGGAGCTACCACGGAGTGTAAAGACCCTGAGGACGCGCTCACGATGAATGCCAATGTAGGACCGTCATGCCGTACGATGAAAGCGAGTATTTCGACAACATACGCGAGGCAATATTTTCGCACAGTCGGTGATAACATAGCCACTGGAGCAGAGCCGTCCATTAACCCCGATGAGGGTCCTCCGCAAAGACCAGATACTGGCTGAAATGGGAACAAAGCCATATCTTCCGATAAAACGTCAACACGTCACAAATAACACCGGTGTTTTGTATGAGAAGCGGTGGATAGGGTATGTAATAGCACGAAGAAAATGCACGATGGACAAGCTCATCTCGGGCGCCACGCACCGATGTGAACGAGAGAGTGACTCACCACCTACTCCAATTGACGTCCAGCTGGTCTGAAAATTAGACGTCCTCTATGACACCGCAGGTCTGGAGCGAGAGTGCACGATAAAAGCTTCTAGATGGACTGCCGTGAGTGCGAGACGAACGGATGTTGTAAACGTTCACTGGATATTTGGAGTCTTCACCACTCTAGGAAGGAATGGTTTTGATGATCAGTGAGAAGTAGACGTACCTTAAATAACGAGAAAAGGTTGGTCGGCAGGCAAATGAGCCTTTGACAATGAATAGGACATTCACATAGCCATGCGACGCCACGCAACGGTCATGACCCGGCTCGTCCTTCATTTTGAGCACGAGTCGACAGCCCTTCAACACTCGGCTTTTCCTAATTGGCCTGGGTGGGAGAAAATCGCATCAGGAGAAGTGAAGGGAACTAAGAAAAAAAATAAACACACTTGTTTACAACATCTTCTTGTAGCGCGGAATCTGACTCCCACACACACTGCTTGGGATTTGTACTAGGCGACCGGTGGGTTCCTATGACTAAGAAGAGTACAAGCCTGAACAGAGACACTCATCTATCACGATTGACCATTTTGACGGCTACTGGGGACCTTCTCTGAAACGCACGAAGCATCCTAAAAGTAGTACATAACTGATGAATACACCTAGAGCTTTTGTAAGAACAAGGATGAGATCTTAGTATAGAGAGATGTCTGTCCAGGTCTATCAAGACCCGACGCGGAAACTCCGCACCCGCACGGTCTCTGTGCTGTTTGTATTACTTCTCCATGTCGGACTTGGTTGGACCAGGAGCCGGAGAGCGAAAAAGAAACAGGGCGCACCAACGACGTGAGATCTGGCCGGTGTTGTTTGCTGTTCTAGGGCCGTCGCGAGTGGCGTTTCACTCACTGCATCCAATACAATCTTGTAACTCGAGGCGGTGCTTTCAACAAGGTTATCCCGTAAGGATCGTTGGGGGACGGGTACTGAGACAAGGAGGAATTCTCGACCTTGCATATATTGAGAACAGAGTGAGCTGAGTTAGTTCCGGAGTTCGGAGCAAGGATGAATGAACTACTTACGACCATTCTCATCTCGTAGAGCACATCAACAGTGGTAATCCGACTCTGTTTGTGATTTCAACAACCAATATGTCGATCGTCGTTCGGTACCCTAGCATCAAGAACTGCCAGCAAACTGCCAGCATATAAAAGAATAATAAGATGGACCACAGAGATAACGGGATGTTCGTTGTGTTCGTCGAAACGCGAGAACAGAGGCAATCTAAATTTAGGGATGAATGACATGCAAGCACGAATTCTCTCGCCAATGAGAGAGAGCCTTCTGCTAGAGCGAATGAAACAGCACTCACCTCCGCGAGAGATGTGGACTGATCAGTGCACTCTCCATCCTCCACTTCCTTTCTGTCCATCCATGTGTCCAATTCGTAGGAAAATCGAGTAGCCATGAAAAAAAAACCCTCCTTCCTTTCTTCCTCAATGTGAGAGCCCGCAGCACTTCTCCAAACACGCATGGATCGCATCAGACTGGGACAGATAGGCAAATGAGAGTGGAAGAGACATGCTGAGGTGTTGTCGACCGTCGTACACGGAAAGGCGCGGAATGTGCTGCGAAGTACAATCGTGCACTTCATATATCTCAACGCACGACTGGAATCCGTGTCTGGTAATGTTAGTGTTCTTGTCAATGTGTTTTTGGTCCCGAGCCACCGCTACCAACGAGCCACGTTACGCTTTCGCCCCAATGATCTCATCGATACAGGACCCCAGGTGCGACACCGACATCGTTTTAATAGCCGGGGGCCAAGCGAATCTCGAGCCTCGATAGTGTGTCCAGATTGCAAACGCCTCTTGACTCCTCTTGATCGAGACGAAGAAAGAAGAAAATATGAAGACGGGGACTGGTTGGTGTACCCGACCAAATTGGCAACGAACTACGAATCCTGATTGGGCAGATATGCCGACCGATGTCGATCAGCCTGCCAAGCAAGCATCGGAAAGGCTGGACGGGCAGAAAGTCATTGACTCCTTGGCCACTACGTCAACCACCCACTCGGAGAGAACACAATGTAGCGGAGTGTAACCTGAACCCGAACCCGTGTAGCAGCCTAAGAACTCATCAACAGCGCAAACACATATACGCGGCTGCCAGACCATCAAAGAAACTGAAGACGAGGATGACATCTTCACCCCAAAGACCGACTCTGCGCCGGCCATTTCTCTCATTTTCTCTCCACATCGTGCACCTAAGTATGGCACGAAACCCGGAGAGTGTCCGATTGCACGATGGCGCTGCTATTGGAAATGCAAAATGGAATACTTATTTAAGGAACGGATATTTGACCCAAGATCTCCGTAAGATCGACCGGCTGAATTCCCCAGTACAAGCGCAGACGGCGAACCCGAGGGCCAAGACGAGAGTTGGACAAGAGCAAAAAGCCATAAAATCACTTGGCTTACAGTCCGCGAGTTGGACTGGTTTCGCTAGAGGTTGATGCGTGGACCAGTCAAGATCTCGGATGTTCGAGTTTGCTCCACTCCATACGATATCTCGACGTTTAGGCACGAGTCTTCAGCGGTCAAGTTTGGCGCAAGTTTCGCCAATCATGAATGACTCGACTTTCCGCTTTTTCTGAATATTTTTCCGTAGCCACTTCACGGCATAGGTGTTATTCTGAAGTCAATGCAGCCTTCGATCAAAGATAGAAGCGAAGTTGCGCACCTAAGAAGCGGTCAAGACGACGACGATCTGCTACGGCTGCACACGCACCGTAGACTCATCGGTACTTCCGCTGGTACGAACAAGCGGTCGACAAAGACGGCGAGAACATCACACAGGGCAAGAACATGGCATCAGATATCAATCATCACTCAAACCATAGAGGAAAAGAATGGTCTGTGTTATGGTGATTGCGGAACATGTATGCGTACAACCTCCTTTTCACGCGGTTGCAGCACTGAAGAGGAAGTAGGAGGAAGGACGGCCGCGGACAGGCAACCGTCGGTGCACTTTGACTGCCGACCTGATGAAAGGCGCCGGTGAGGCTAGTGCGGGCGTCTATCGGTGGCGTCTGGACGGTCGACGGACAGACAGCTCGAGGGACGGTCACGACGTTCCGGGACGCGCCTGTGCATGATTCGAGATGAGCCCCACGCGAAGGCGACCAGCACGCTAATCTCAGAGGCCGTGCATTTGTAGGACGTGGAGAGACGGGCGTCTACCTTAGACGGTTGGCGAGCAATGGCAGGGGAACCCTGACGAAACGAAATATAGGCTCTCCCATCACGCGTTCGGTAATCTCATCCTCTTTTCATCCACCATCTATACAGATCCCTCCGAGGACCGACTCCCCCTGCCCCGTTCGCAATCCCTGTGCCATTCTTGTAGACGGAGACTAAAAAGTCCGATTCACCGCGACTTCACTGCTCTGTCCCCTTTCCCTGTCGACCATCTCAAACAAAAGGGACTAACGCTCCTCATCGAATACAAACCAATCCGAAACCCATCCGTAGTCCGACACGCAGGGGGAAAGCCAGATCGCACTTGGAGACGGCCTTTCCCGAACAGCGTTCTGTGTTGTGTTGTCTATTAACTAACAGCAGAGCCATACACCCGACGGGTACGTCCATTGTCAGCCCATTATACGACATCCCCATAACGGATAGAGGATACTAATCAACAGACGCTCTGCTCCAGCACCCAGCAGTCAAAAACCCGAGCTGCGTCTACGAAGAAGTAAGACTCACCCCTGGCCTTGCCCCTTCCGTCTATCCTCCAAACGATTCGCACGCTCTCCGTTTGCATATCGTATCGGCACCACGTCAGCCTGAACACCCAACCGCGATCTCAACCCCATCCTCCGCCCCAACCACCGTTAACCCCACCAACTACCTCAAACCTCTAAACTCAAACACTCTTCTCCTCGACTTGCCGACCCTCTCGATCACGAGCACATTCCATCAACACGAGCGCGTCTGTCTTCTTGCCCACCACATCCACCACCGTCGTACTTCCACCCATGAACGCCCGACCGTCCTCCAATTCTCCCAACCGCAGCGATCTCGATACGAGCACCGGACACTCACCTGCATCAGACTTCGACTACGCTGGCTCTATCTCTGCTTCATCCTCTGTCGATAGCTCCCCTGCCGTCATCCCGAAGGCCATACGTCGCGCGAATTCCGGCTCTGACGATAACCACTCCCCTCGACGACGAACGACTCCCCCATACCTGCAAAACAACTCACACGACCGCCTCTCGCTTGAGATGGGACGTCCCTCTTCTGCCGCCGGGAAAGGCGGGTGCTGGTACGTCGCGTCTCTCCTATCCCTATCTCGCAGCATTCACTGATTGGTGCCTCGCTATACTCTTCCACCACTCCACTATGTGGTTCTATTCGAACGCCGACGACGGAACTGACGCGATTTTCCTTCCTGTCGGACATCAGGACGTGTCGATTGCGACGAAAGGTGCGCATGTTTCGTGCATCGGTGACCGACTTCATCAATGCTGATCCATTCACAATCCAAATTGTTTTCTTCGTCTTGCCGACGGTACGCATGATCGCGTTTCGTGTCTGTGCTGGCGGTGTCTTTTTATGCATGTGTAATGGATTATGGATATGATGGGATGGGTGTGCGCGTGGCGATGGCTATGGTGGTTGTTGGTCATGTCGACTAGAAATGCGATGAGATCCGAGAAGGCGATTCGTGCCAGACGTGTCGAAGGTTGCAGCTGAAGTGCCTCGGGTGGGGCCCGAAGAGACCTGAGTGGATGAGGGTAAGTCAGCTTTCGTTGCTTGTTAAGAATCCTCTTGCTCATCGCGCCCTTGCCCGTCCGACGTCATCACTTCCGCGCAATAACACGCCGCCTCATCCCATCATTATCTTGACGATCGACGACCCACCTCTTGTTACGTGTAACTGCTACCTCGATGTTAACTGTGTCTTCGCCATCGATCCAGGACAAGGACGCCGTCGCGCAATACAAGGCTGAAATCAAGGCTCACCTCCTCAAACTCGGCCTCATCCGCGGCCAGCCCCGTTCCAACTTCATCCAAACCATCCCTTCCACATCAACGGGTTCCTCGGCCCCACCACTCAGCCGTCATCACTCTGGCGGTGAACTCCAGTCATCCTTCCGCCACGACCGCCATGACCAACGCCAGCAAATCACGCTCAGCCCACAGTCCCGTGGACATTCGCTGGGACTCGGACTGGGTTTGGGACAAGAACATAGCCACGGAGGGATGGGCCACGCCGAGTTTGGCCATGGGGGTGTGTTCGGCTTCGAACATACGCCGCCTCTGGACATGAACTTCCCATCAAACGCTGTGACAGGTCAGTCAGTCATTCCAATCAACAGCCCCTCCCTATTCCCTATCGCACACACACACGCAGCCAAAATTAGAGACGCATGAGAAAAACACGAAGAGTCTTACTCACCTCACTTCCGTCCCTATCACGGCACACTTCTAGATCCGCACCTGTTCGAACTCACACCGACCGTGGCGTCATCGGGAGCCGCCGCTAGGGCGCTTGCGTCGTCGAACAACAACAACAGCAGCGATGTTTCTGCAATGTCGTCCGCCTTTGATTTCCCTAGTACGAACATGGGTGCTGGTTCGCTTTCTTCTTTGGCTGGGACGAACCTTCCTCTTTCTGCAGCGACTACCCCGACCGGCTTACTGGGATTCGATACGTTTAGCGATGAGCCACGACGACAGCAGCAGCAACAACAACAACAGCAAAGAGCGTACCATTATGACGGGCTTGCGTTGAGGATTCCGGCTGGGTCGGGAAACAATGGGGGGACGGTACGAAGGGATCATGTCGTTTATTATTTCGACAACGTGAAGGGTCTGCAATACCTCTTCTCGACAAAACAGGCAATGGATGCCTTGTACGCTGTGAGTGCAGCCCTATAATGAATGACTGTCAGAGTATGTTCGCTGACTTGAAACACTTGACTTACCTTGGACCGACGTACATCTGTTCGTCCAGACGCTTACCGAAGATCCCTCGCACTCCCTCACGGACGCCGTCTGCGCTATCGCCAGCCTGCACTATAACCGCACACAACCTGCTTCCCTTCCTTCCTCCTCCATGAATCATCCTCCAGACGACACCCTCGCCCACTTCTTCCACTCCCAAGCCGCCTATCCGCTCACCTCCATCTCCCAACGAGGCCTACACTCCCACATCACCGAATACGACGTGATGACGGCTTTGCACCTCGTCAGTTACTCGCTGGCGAGCGTAGGCGGGAAGGTGGTGAACGGGTCGACGGGATGGGGAGGAATGGCGGATTTCGCGATTGAGTGGTTGACGCAGACGAACTTGCATCTAGAAGATAATCCGAAGGAAGCCATGGCGAAGATGAGTCCGAGCGGCGCATTCGCCGTGAGAGCGACGATGGTGAGTCGAGTCTCTGGCTCGCTTCCCACTACCATGAGAAGATAGACACTGAGTATCATGGTCTTGTCTGTCCCACGTAGTGCATCGACATCTTTATGAGCCTCACCATCAGGCAGCCGCCCCGACTTCTCGCACTCTACCGGCGCCTCTTGGGTGACGGCAACAGCGGGAACAACGGAGGCAACGGCTGGTCTAGCGCCTCGCATTCCCGGTCCAGCAGCATCTCGAGTGTCTTCGGGGCGGCCTCTGTCTCGCGCAACAACGCTACGTCGGGCACGACTAGTGGGGTGGAGCAGCTCATCGTCTGCACGGATGGCGTCCTGCTAGCACTAGCTGAGATGGCCGCTCTGGCGCATTGGAAGGCGCAAGAGACCCGCAACAACTCGTTGAGCATGCGAGAGCTGGTTGCGCGCGGCAACGCGATAGAACGGTCGCTCAGCCAGCATAGGGATATGTCCGTCGACATCTCGCTCGCCACATTCGGAGATATGCACCGTGATAGTGCGGGGATGATGTTGCCACCAATGAGGGACGGACGTACCTTCGAGCAGCAGACAAGCGAGGAGATGTCGAGGAAGTTGGCCGCTGCGATTTGGTTCGAGGCGGCGATGATGTACTTGAATTCAATCTTGAGCGGGCCTTGTCCTAGTGAGTGTTCCCCTTCTTTATTGATCGTGTGCCTGGTATGTGGTATGAGACTGAATTGCTGATGTGAAACATTTGGGTGGACAGGCGTACCGGAGATCACGAGCTCAGCCAACACGATCATGCATCTATTGCAACGACTGCCCACAACGAACCTGGACCGTGCTTTGTTGCTGCCGTTGGGCATCGCCGGTGGCCTGATGGACGACCAGCAGCAGCGAATGACGGTTAGGAATAGACTGTTAAGATTCGGGGAGGATAATGTGAACGTACGGCAGATTGTAGGGTTGATGCTGGCGGTGTGGCAGAGACGGGATTCTACTGGCACAGTGGTTGACTGGCGAGACGTTATGCAGGAGCAGGCTCTGGCGCTGTTGTTCATGTAATTTGCATATGAGTATGGGGGCGGTAGGACTGGCAGGCGAGGATGAGTCGACGATACGCACTTCGTTTTTTTTTCTGGTTCTTGTTGCTTAATATACTATTCCTCCTGTCGTATTGTGTTTTCGAGTTAAACATAGATAGATGCATGTCACTCTTCCATGATCTGCGTACTCGTGGGTTCTCTTCGCGTGGTTTTTATTTAGGATTTTCTCCTATGTACTGCAGTCAATGTCTGTCCACTATTTATGAATGTCATGACACTCACTAATCCACATTTTCACCATCATAAATTTGGCAAAATGCAGGAGGAGCAGAGGACGAAACGACAGGCAGAGCAGAGAGATGATGGGGGTCGAGTGCGAAGAGGAAGGTGAGGAGGAGGTCGTGGGTAACATATCCCGGTGGACCTCGGGCTTTAGCCGTTATGCGAGCGCTCACAACGCGCTCATGACGTTATCTCCTTTAGTCAAAGGATCCGGAGGCCGTCTCGCGTCGGAAGTTCCTGACGGGGTCACACCATTCGCCACCTACCGTCCAAGTTCATTTCTGCACGCAAAATCCACTTGAAATTATAGTCTCGATAGGAGTAAGGAAGAAAACCTTGGGAAGATTTTGTCTATTCAAAATAAACATTAGTTTCTAAGTTTCTTCAACTCTTGACGTATCCGAATTGTGTTACGTATGTCGGCGTGTCGCGCCCAAGTCGCGCTCAAGGATGATGTACTTTCATTGTGCCCAGTCTGAGCTTTCTGAGCGCTGAACAATGACTTTATACGGGCGCTGAGTATACACAATGCGTCGAGAAGAAAAGCAGTCTAAAAGTGTCGGGCGCGACACCAAGCAAGTTGGGAGCAGGAGAAATCGGATGGGGGTGCACGGTCACGTGGCTTAAAGCGAACAGGCACGCCGGCATCGCGTGGCTTGATTGCCTCGCGTCGGGCCACGCACCTTTTGCAAAGTTCGAGTTTGGTTTCCAACCAACCCTCGTCTTGTCGTCGTCCTCCACGACCTCCGCGACCCGTCTCACTCATACAGTGCATCCAACTCTCACCTCTCATTATTGTCCGAAACATTCTGCACCTTTACGTCCCATCTCTCTCGCTCTGTCTCTGCCATCATCATGTTCAAAGGGATCATACCCTCCAAACGGACCGCCTCCATCGATTTCCAGATGGTCACCCCGCTAGGGGACAGCCATGGTAAGGAGAATGAGCCGCACCCACCATTTATACAGGTCTCTGTTCCCAGCTCAACGTCAAGGGCGACCAACAAGCCAAAGACTGAGAAGTCTAAGGCCAAGAAGGGCTCGCCATCTGCTATCACTCTCGCAGAGCAGCTCGGCGAGATGGATGAGGCATTCGACAAACTGCTTGTAAGTTAACGTGATGCTCTACGCTTCTAAAATACAGTGTAACATGGGTATACTACGCAGGACGACCTCCAAATCCCCACCAGCCTCCGGCCGAAGCTAACCGGCATGGAGCCTTCCGTCAAAGCCGCCATGCTCAAATCCTCGCACACCATGACAGCGACCCAAAACCCCTTCCTCCACCAACAACCGACTCAACCAACTCAACCATCGGCCCCGGCCACACCCACCACACCCAACCGAGGCACCGTCCGTCGTGTCCACAGTGGAGGTTCACTTTCCATCGAGTCACCCTGCCCGCAGAGACTCTTCACCGACCGATTCCACACCTCCGGCCGTGCCATCGGTGCCGCCTTCGCCGAAACTTCGTCTCCCGAACACCCCAGCGCTACCGTCGGGCGGGGTGCCCCAAACATCGGTCATGCCACGAGGATGTCAGTTGCTGATTTCGCCAGCTCCATCCCGATATTGCCGCGTCCAAAATCAAGGGCGCAGGGAAACACTGTGTTCTCGGAGAATGGTGTGTCGTTGGGAAAGGGGGGAAAGAACGGATTGCTTCATATGCAGATTGTGGGCACGTTGAATGGGACGTCAAGTTTACAGCTGGACGTTGAGGTGGTCAAGAAGTTGAGGCTGTTATTGCGGAACGAATCGGCGAGGTATGCATGCTCCGTTTTACGTGCCTCAATTTTGTGTTGATAGCCGATTCTGCTCAGTTGGACTCAAGATTTCTTACGCGGAGGTGGTTACTCTGCTCTCCTCACTCGTCTTAACGAGTTGCTTGAAGTTGAATGGAGGTAAGTTTCCTGCTTCCTCTTTTCTCTTGTGGACTTCGCTCGGTCAGTGCTTCGAAGAACGTGCGGACGGCTCTTTAGGGGCAGGGGTCCATATGTTCAAAATCTATTTGCATCCGAACATGAGGCTCTTCTTCTGGTAGCTGCCGTAACACTGTCGTCATTTTCGAACCGATTTGTGGCACCTCACGCCACGCGACCCCTTACCACCTCTGCACTCTTCTATGCACACATTCTCTTTCACAATTTACTGACTGGCATCAAACTGAACACAGAGAGGAACAACATGACGATCAAGTCCTGCACGAACTTCTCCGCTGCTTCAAGGCCCTCTCCACCTCGACCATCGGCTGCTTCGCCCTCCGCTCTTCTTGCCCCACTCCTTTCACCCAACTCGCCTCTCTCCTGTTCTCAGACAAGAAGCCGGGCGATGTTGCCACCCGCCAACTCATCGTCGACCTCCTCCTCATCCTTTTCGAGCTCTATCCTCCCGGCTCTTGCCTTCCAGCCTCTCAGTCCGGCTTACAGGGCTCTGCATCACGCGATCTTTGGGCGGGCTCGACTTTGACACCGCCTTCACCAATCAAGGCTACCCACCATCGCTCTGGTTCCGGGTCCGACTCCGCCCCTTCCACACCCACCTCCGCCGTCTCCGCAATAATCCTACCCTACCCTCACAAAACCACCTTCTCCCTCCTCCGCGCTCTCCTCCTCACCCCCGCTCCACCGCCCTCCGAAGCTCCTCCCATCCCACTCGAGCCCCACGAATTCATCGACGCGCTCCACAAGCCTCGGATTTATAAGACCTATCTGCAGGAGCTGAGCGATGTTTGTAGGGACTACTTTTGGGTGTTTTGTCACCCGAATAATGCGATTTGGAATTTGAGGGAGACGGACGAGGGCAAGGTGGAGAAGCCGAGGGCGCCAGGGGGGATGACGGGGGGTGTGGAGTTCGAGGCGATGGGTTATTTGGTGGGTTTGATTTTATTCTCTTTATATTTATTTATTTCTTCGCGATATTGAACCGGGTTCCTGTTATCGTCTCGTTCGGATGTGTTTGTGTAGACACTGCATTTCAAGCTGGTGAATGCGATCGCAAAGTCGGCTCATGACCTTCGTCTTCCGAAGGAGCACGAACACTCCGCGCATCAGTTCCATACCGATATGTTCCTGTCCGGCATGGAACGCATCATCCTCGTACGTCCCCTTCCAATGTCCCATCATTCACCCACATAACCTCACGCTCACCTAACTATTCTCCCCGACCATCACAGGTCGCCCGCAAAGCCTCCACAGCCTATTACCCAACTCTCCATCTCGAACTTTCCCGCTACATCAACCTCGCCCTCCAGGCAGACTTTGACCTCCCCTGGACAGTTTCTCGGCTCCTTGGTCCTCCGCCCACCGCTCTGTCCAACAAACCAAAGACAACACAAACGACGCCGACAAGGAAAGGCACGGGACAGACGACCACGACGCCTACGAAGCAAAGGCCGGCGCCGACAACGCCTACGAGGATGGGATTCGCGACGGGCGGCATGGTGTCTCCCACGAAGCAGGGATTCGCTACAGGTGGTCAGATGGCCTCGCCGACGAAGCAGAACTTCGCTACCGGGGGCATGATCTCGCCGACGAAACAGAATTTCGCAACGGGAGGCTTGGGGTCGCCGACGAAGCAGAGTTTTGCGACTGGTGGTGGTCCATCGTCCCCGACGAAGCAAGGGTACTCGACTGGTGGACTTGGATCGCCGACGAAGCAGAGTTTTGGAGCGAGTGGACCGGCGTCGCCTACGAAGAAGAGTTTCGGAGCGGGTGGGTCGCAGTCGGTGGTGGGTAGTGCATTGACGGGGCAGGGTGGACAGGGGCAGTCGTTTTTGCCGCAGCCGAGGAAGGCGGAGCCGTTGAAGTTCAACTAGACTGGTTCACCGACCTTTGTGGGTGAGCCTCAGGAGAGATGTTTATAGATGGACGAGGACGAACCGTTGACGAGAGGAATGGTTGATGCTGGATGATGAGGATGACCATGACCATGACGACCCCATGCTGACCGCGACCGCTGCTGAGTGCTGCTAGGCTTACGAATCTGAACTTGACTCTAACGTTCATTGACGTGAATCGACTTGACGAAAAACCAAAAATCTTGTACCATTATCCCATTATCCCCAGGCCTTCCGTTTCATGTTCTCTGTTTCACACTTCGCTTTCGTTCGCCCCACCTCACCTCCATCTGTTCATGAATCATTTATTACTACAAGTTTCCTCTAAATATGTTTTCTTTCTTTATCGATTACTATCCTTGCTCTGCCGTCAGTCGACCCTCTCATATACAAATACATGTTACATGTTACTCGCCCGACGCTAGTACGGTAAGTATTCCCGTTCGTTCTTTCCCCTGGCGACGACAGTCGTTCTCATCATATGTAAGCCTCCTTGATGGAGACCCTTCCCACTCCGTCTCCACTATTTCCTTGTTCTCTCCTATGTGTCATCTCCGTTCTCCGTTCGAAGTTTGATATTTGCATCGCGCTGCATTCCGATTCTTCTGGATCTTTAGAAGTACTGATTCTGACTGGCACGACTCAGAGGATCATTCAGACTGTTTGTTTCTTGCGTATACTGCATCTATAACCAGGGTGCTATGTTAACGGAATGATTCACTATATAAGAATGCACGTAGGTTATTCTTTAGAGGTGTCTTTGTGATGAGCAGCGGATGCGAGTTCGTGCTAAGCCGAACCGACTTGAACGATGTCGAGTGTGTACAATCCTTGCATCCGATTCTCGCCGGTTCTCGATCAAGAAAGATCCCCCAGTGCCAGGCGTCAACGTCGCGCACTTGGGTACGATGACCTTCAAGTTCTTCGAGGCCTTTCTTTGAGGGTCTTCAGTATCGATATCACAAGCTTGTTCAATCTACCGTAGAAGCAGCAATCGAATAAACCAGTACAAGATGAGTAACTATGTCGTTGTGGCGCGACAGCTGTGGCGTAAGAAGGAACGTGTAGCGAGGACCAGTCCCAAAAAGTTCACTCCTTCCTCCCAAATCGTAGAGTTGCGTTCACGTAAGTATAATCTACATATTTGACAAATATATTGTCAGTCATGCTGATGTTACCCAGAGAATAAAGCGCACCAATCTGTCACACCGATTGCGACATCCGGAGCAGTTTCAAACCAAGTCCAGTTGATATCCATGAACGTATTGTCAATACCAAAGAGTTCTGCACGGTAAAGGTGATGCGGAAGCACTGGGAGAACAAGAGTTGCATGAGAATTCACTCGTTAGATGGACCTTGTTTTCGCACTCCCCCTGGTCGAAGGGACGGACGTACCTGGAACTTCCGGTGCAAAGCGCATGAATGATTTGAACCAGATGTGGCGAACATTCTCGGAATGAGAATGTGCTTTATGATAAATGGGAAGGCCACCATCAGGCCTCGAAAGACATTTTTGCACAAGCTCTGTTTCCTCGACGGTCATGCGAACGAAAGGAGCTCGATGGTGGAGCTTTCTCAACATACAAACGACAGTGACATCTTGCAAGGCACAGAAGAGAGACGGAAGGAAGTGGACACCACCGTTATCAGCACTGAATCTTTCATCTTCACAGGCTTTGCAACCTAATAAGTGACCGTGACAGGGATGAACTTCACTAATCAAAGATATAAAGTTTACAACCTCAACTGCAGCCTGTAAGATGCCGCGAGAGTGTAAGGCAAGTTGTGCAGAGTTTCCCTGAACGGAGTCAGCGTACTTCGCGTAGTAAGTCGCACTGTAGATAGTTAATATTTTCTTCAAATAGGAAAAATTAAACATGCCCGGGCCCCGGCCGGTCCCGACATTCAGGTCGAAGAACATATGGTCTTCATGAACAGCATCCATGAGAGGATGCTTGAGAATACCTCTGATGGCGGAAGATAAATCGACACGCAGCGAGTGGTGTGGTGAGTAAAAATAGCGCTCCATAAACCACATGACTACTTTCGTGGCTGCCTGATGACGGCCGTCAATGTCGTTGAAAGACTGGCCCGCAAGAGACTCTGTGGTCGAGAAACCCAGCATCAAAGCTGCGAAGATTGGATGATCCCAATAATCCGAATGCGTCCCGAACTCATTTCCATAAGGCCGAACTCCATGATCTCTGCAGGTTGACAGGTTGTCCAGTAGCGGAGTAACCCCAGAGTGAGAAAAAAAGTGGTCTACTTGTGTCAACTGTGGTATGTCCTGTCTCAATGAGTTGCGTAAGATGTCCAGAACAAAATTCACATCATAAAGAGCCACGCCTTCTGGCCTGTCTCTCTGCGCTGAGTTACTGTTGTGGAACATGCTCCGTCGATCAGTCAATAATATGCCTAACACGGGTGCTTTTGTCAGAAGTTCTTCATGGGCATTTCTGAGGGTCATCGGCGATGTAACCTTGTTACAGAGGATGTTAGCCATTGCCTTGGTGAAGGCGCAATTCAAAAGTTGCTTGGACGTCCGGAGCCCGGAACAGTGGTACGAATAGCGAATAGCGGCATGCTGAAGCATAGGGAGAAATTCTACACGAAAGTTACACTGATGGCCATTACTGGGATAAGGAATACAATACTCACCAGGTTCTTCGAAAGGTTGGGACAAACATAAGGTAGCTGCTGCTGTTAGGTTGCTGCGAATACTGGCCTCGTCCGACAGAAGATAGAGTATAGCCTTTTTCTCGAGAGGAGACATGCATGGTTTTCTATCTAGTCCATGAAGAAGACCCCGTATAATAGGAACCCGAGATCTAGCCAACGGAAGCAAGGCAGCAGCAGCCTGATCAAGTACATCGTAATCATGCGTATGGTGCAAGGCAGCATGGAAAGCTTCGTGTTCATGCATCGCGATAACTGTGTGTGGGCCGTAAAAATCTGCAGCAGTATAAATAATAGGAGGATGGTCCCGAATAGGCACTGCGACAACTGGCTCATGATGCAGAGAGCCGTTATCATTGTGCCTATCACCTTGTTGTGCATTGAACAATGGTAACAAGTAATCATTCTTCATTTTTCGGAAACTCGTCACGATTTTGTACCATAGCTTTAGACATGTCGAAGGCATGTCTTTCATAGTCTTGAGCCAGCCAGGACCACGAGACACAAGTACTCTCGACAAAGTTGACTGGAAGGGGGACAGGTCGGGATGCGTACAGCCATGGACTACTGTCCAAATTATGTAGATGCCTATGGCCACGATGAAGATGCACGAGATGACACCAGCCGCAAATAGGAGCGCGTCAGAGTTTGAGAGAGGAATTGAGCTAGACAAGAGCATGTCGATCAGGCCGACGATAAACAGCAGCACAGGCAGGATCAACAGCTGTGGTAGCGCTTCTATGGCAGGCGCGAGAAGGCGATTGGCCTCCAGCCATCGACGATGCAGTTCGCCCAACTTCTTGTGAGCTTGACGATGCTTAGAGCGAGTGAGCATCGTGATGTACCCACGACTCGTAACAGCTAGAGCAGCCACAGAAATCTAAGAAAGTGTGCGAATAGTAAGTCAACAATCGAGGTAGAGTCTAGCTAGACTGCACACACGCTGAGAACAAGAGAAATAGAGAAATAGAAGTTGAGCCGTATTACGCTGGTTGCTGGCTCAAAGAGCGATGGTTGGGTGAAGTTCAAATTCACCCCGCTTGCACCTTGGAGTACGATGACGACTTCGGTCAGGTTCTGGAGTAACTCGTTCGTTCGTTCACCTGTGTCCGGGGAGAGGCTGGCCAGGGACTGGACGTAAAGAGCTGTAACTATCGCGGAAAAAAGGGCGATCTGTTTGTGACGAGGAATACGATCATGGTCAATCTGTACCATGACCTCAGTTATCACGAGGAGGAGAAAACTCACAAAGATCAACAATGTATCGAGAGTACCTCGCCACTGGCTGATGATGGGATCCACGTTGTTCATATGCGAGCGCAGAAGGGCACTCCAAGCACTAGCACTCGTCGCCGAGCTCTGAGGCAGTGGCTGCCTCGATGCCATGTCTGAGAAGACGTGTATCAGCAGATTTACCAACGTGGAAGGTGTTGAGAAGCACACCTGCTGCAGCTTGCTTCTCATGAATCCTGCGTAGATGTTCGGACACCTCCTGAAAAACGGACGCTGTAATGGAAGGAAATACTTAGGATGGCAAGGGAAAAACAGCAGAGAACCACGAACATGGAGCGGGAGCCTCTCTGGAGCCCGTCTCTGTTTTTGCAACTGGTTGCATATACTTTGCTTGAGCCTCCATCAATACGATCAGTTTATCGAGCCTATCAGTTCTGTATGCGGGAGTTCAGACCATGCGTAAAGTTGAAGAAGTATCATGCCTAACTCACACACTCGTGAAAGCTTGCTCTCTATTAGAGCCATCCTCTTCAACAGTCAAGGCAGACATGGCTTCACGTCGAGAGTGAGATCGGCGGTGTCTTGGAGCGTACTGAAAGGGGGGAAGGGAGAAGATATGGTGATGGTTCCGACGACCGTAAGTGAGCGATAGTAGTTCCCATATTCCCAGAGACTGCAACGAGACTCCCAGGCTCTCGGCTGACATCTTCTCGAAAGAAAATTGAAACATGTGGATCTACATGCGCCTACAGGCTGCTCATGATCAATTGTTCAGAGCGTGGCCGGCCAGTGTTTTCAGAGTCCTTCAGCTGTGTGGCCTCCGGACTTCGGTTATCTAGATGATGTGAGACGCGCAGGACGTCGAGGTCAATACTATGTTCTACGAAACAGTGGAAAATAATGAATAGAACCTAGAAATCCTGCGAGTGAAAGTCTGCTCCTGCGTTCTCGATTGGCCGCTGCGAACGAACATGCCCCCGGACCCAGAATTCGCCGATCTCCGGATAAGAATTGGCAGCCAATCCTGTGGCTCCTCACGCTCGTAACTTACACCAGAATTGCTCCAAAACACTATCGTGACTTCTCAAGTATCCGTCCGATTCAGCAGCCCTGTATCCATCTCTGTATCTCTGTATACGTATATATATATACACACTACATACGAACCAAGACCGTATAACCGTGTACCATATAACAATGCACCCATGTAAGTAGCTGATATATGCACCCCAAAGCGATAACGATACCAATGTCGGTTCACATTCACATTCTTCAATCTTCATTCTCATTCTCGGAAAGGGGGCAGGGCAGGGAAAGAAACGGTAAAGACTAAGCTACAAATGAGACGGAAGGCATCGACTAGGACGGCACTCAAAAAACGAGACGAGAAGGAAAGGAAAAGCAAGAAGAAGAAAAGATAAGAGAAAAAAGAGGCAATAAATAGGATATGAACCCCCCTCGACACAATCCTTCCACCCTCCTAACTGACCTCAACATGTGAAGCAGCATGAAGGGCACAAGAAAAGGTCGTCGACGAAGATCCAAAATGTCCAAAGGTGGATATACCGAAACGTAAACGCAAACCAAAACAGAAACGGGACGTAAATAATAGGTGGCAGTGACAAGACAAGACACGAGCGAATATATAACGAGAGCCCATCAATAAATGAGTAAGCACACAAGCAATCAAACAAGCAAGTCAAACAGACGAGAGAAGTAGGCGTGAAGGGATGTAAAGTAAGCAGCAAGAAATATAACAAGAACGAAGGAAGTGGGTGGTTTGTTTGCGTAGTAGATGGAGCGCAAGGGAAGGTGAGGATGAACGGATAGGGATAGAGAAAGGGAAAGTTCCGGCATAAGAGCGCATAAGACTCATAATTAACATGGACGTGAATATGGACCGGTGTAAGGTGGCAACGACGATGAGCAAGAAACGAACGCGGGGTGGGGGGTAAACAAGAAGCAGGTATGGTTGAACATGACGAAGGATGGTGAAGATGGAATGAGATGCGGCGGGTGTAGCGTGGCAGGCTCGTTGGTGTCATCATCGTCATCATCATCGGCAGCATCGTGTCGAGGCATAAACGAGCGTGATAGTGAGATGTGGCATGTATGAGGAAGCGAAAGCGCTAGCAGGTTGCGGGTAGAACGTTGGATACAGCGAATGACCGTTCGATGCTGATGCTAGGTGGTCGATGGTGGGTGGTCGATAGTGAGGCGGGGAAACGATGCGATGCGACAAGAAACTCAAGGCCAAGAATAGAACGCGTCCACAGAAATGTCGACCGGCCGACGGATGCCCACTCACATCACCACCCCATTCCCCATCCAATCCGCCGCCGTCCCCTCCAACTTCAAATCCTGCCCCTGCCCCTGCATCGCCATCAACGCGCCCATCCCCCCTCCCTGCTGTTGTTGTAGTTGCTGTTGATCCCCACCAACCTGTGCCCGTTCCGCATCGATCGTCTCCTGGATCCGAGCGCAGCCCGCACCGCCTTCGGACTTGACTATAGTCAACAAACAAAACGCGAATGATCAGTAACCATACTCATACTCATGTCGTGTCGTGTCGTGTCACGTCCACATCGAGAAACAAAGCCGGAAGCGAAATGATGCGAAACACAGAAACACGAAAGGAGTAAAAGCAGAAGAAGCATGATAGATGATAGATGGCAAGGGAAGGCTGATAGATGGAATGATGGCGGTTACGCGGGCGTGCGAGGGCGAGTCCCGAGCCCAAGCCCAAGCGCGGAGGGGAGTCCAAGCCCAAGCGCGGGAGGGAAATCCAAGCCCAAGCGCGGGAGAGGAGTCCAAGCCCAAGCGCAGGAGACGAGTCCCAAAGGCGGGACACCCAGACATAGCCCGAAACGCGAAACACGAAACACAACCACAAACACAGACGAAAGAGGAAGGGGGGGGGGGGGTGTGACAAGACAAGACTCGACTTGACAAGAGTTTTTGATGGATGGAACGTGGAATGATGCGGTGATGGGTATGGGTGATGGGTACGGGTACGGCTGATGCGAATGATGTGGATGATGCGGATGGGGAGGCGAGCCGCGAGCCGCGAGACGACGAATGGAGAAACGGCGAACGACACAGCGGACCAAGAAGACCGCGAACGAACAAAGGAAGAACAAAGGAACAAAGCAAGAGACAAAACAAGAAAAGGAAAAAAAAAGGGGGGAAACTCACGATGTCGATTCAAAGCATCCAACCTCGCAAAAGGCTTCTTACACCCCTCACACGTAAACGGCCTATGATTCGAATGCAGCTGCTCGTGCCTCTTACAATCGTGCTGCCTCGCGAAGCCTTTCCCGCATCCGGGCCATTTGCACTGGAAGGGCTTTTCGTCCATGTGTGAGCGCTTGTGACCTGTTGGTATTAGATGGTAGAAGACGGACAAAGCAGATCAGATCATGTTCCGGATATCAAAGGCAGATGCAGATGGTAACACGTCGGCAAGGCGGGATGGAGCACACAAGTGGCGGAATACTCAGAGAAAGGGAGGGGGAGGAAGTCTCGAAGAAAAGAAAGCAAAGAAAAGAAAAGAAAAGAAAAGACAAACGCACCCTTAAGATTAAAATGCCTCGTAAACGTCGATCCACACCCCGGCACATCACAAACAAACTTCGCCTCATTAATCCTCCTCTTCATACTCGCGTCCGCCGTCGCACTCGTCGTCACATTCGGCTTCGCCACCGGTCCCGGCGTACTCGCCCTCGACAATCCCCCTCCTCCGCCCACACTCCCCACATCATGCCCCGACGTATTCCTCTGATGGCCCGCTATATTCACATTCGGCAGCTCGCCGAGCATATGAGACGGACTCGCGTTCGGAGAGGGGTAAGGCGACATTCTGACGCCGACGCCGGAGTAGAGTCCGCCTCCGGCGCCTCGCTCTCGAGAGCCGCTGGACGTGCGCCGGTGATGACCGCGCTGGATGGACATGACGGGTTCGGGCTGGAGGAAGGTCGTGCTGTTCATCTGCATCTGCTGTTGTTGTTGTTGATGTTGTTGTTGGTTGCGGATGAAGTCTTGGTGTGCGGAGGGAGGGTAGTTCGCGGCGTAGAGCGAGTTGTTACCGATGGTGGAACGGAGGTCTTCGGAGCGGACTTGGCGATGAGTGTTACGCATGGATGAACCGCCGTCGGATCGTGCACGTCTGAGGGATGCGCCTACGTCGGGAGAGAGGAGACCGTTGTTGGAGAAGTCGAAGGGGAGGCCTGCGGACTGGGGGAGGAGTTGGTGGCCGTAGGATGGAGAGGGGGAGGAGGTATTACGGAGAGATGATGATAGTTGTTGTGAAGAGTCAAGGTCGCTCACGGGAGGCAAGACCTGGTTCATATTCACGCCTGTGCTGCCGAATGCGGTGAGATCAGGCAGTGCCCCTTGATGGTGATTGAAATCGTTTGAGGTCGTCCACTGCTGTGGCTGTGGCGGGCGAAGCGACGTGTCTGATTTGCTCCGCATGCGGGACGGGGAAGGCGGGAGGAGGAAGTCTTCGGATGCCGATGACATGTGTCCACGGCCGTTCGAGTGGTGGCCCCCGCCGCCAGCTCCGCCGAGAGAATAGCGGTTGTCGGAGCCCGGGAAGGCGAATGGGGAACTCTGGCCAGCGAAACGCGAGGGGCCGGCTGATGCCGCTGGATCTGTTTGAGGCCACTCCGAGGCGGTGTGTCGTGATGCTAGAAACATACGAAACAATTTCAGCTGATGCATACTACGCACGGGCGGCGACACTAGCGAGCGACAAGACATTGATCATCTGAAAGGCTGCCGAACGAGCCACGCAAAGCGGTAGGGCACAATGGGCGCTTAGCCACAAGCGCTTGAGTCCATATACGGAACTCAACGTGACAAAAGGAGCGATACGCCGACACGACTCTCTCGCGAAGACAAGTCCCCGGAGGAGAAACTGCACCGACATGACACTCAACAAAAACGGGGAGTGGCGTGTCATACAGGCGCCACCCAATGATTTCGTCCGGCCATCGAAACGATGAAGATGGATCACACACCTTGCTGCATGTAGTTATTGTTGTTGTACGCAACGGATTGTGATGGGTCGTCTCCGCCGACGACAGGCGTGGCTGGGACGATGTGCAGCTGGGGACCCGAGAGGCCTCCGTCTCCTGCAGGAGCGTTGATGATGGGGGTCTGTATTGGACGTTGACCGGCGGATTCTGGAATGACTAATTGAGGGGGAGATGGAGGTTTGCTGAGATGCGGCGAGGACGTACGGTCGCCGCCCGGGAGCTGACCACCGGTCATGTAGGGAGAGGCGACGTGGAGATCGTGGAAGGGGATGTGTGGCGAGGCGTTGTTGCGGCGGGGATGGGAGGAGATGGAGGACGCTGGACTGTGGTGCCGATAGTCGTTCTCGCTCTCACCGCCGCCGTTGCTGGAGCCGGGGGAGGAGTGGTCGTAGATACCGGAAGAGGGAGAGGCCATGTCTTCGGCTGCTGGGGTGATAGAGACGGAGACGTGAGAGGTGTCGCCACCGGTCATGAAAGCTTCGTCGAAGGTGAAGAGGCTGGGCCCGTTCGAGGACGGAGCGTCGTACTGGGACGGGTCGTAATCCAGATCTGGGTTGTGATTGAAGAGGCCGAGGGAGTCCGGCTGCTCTTTGTAGTCGAAATCGACGAGTTCAGAAGTGTTCGAGTAGGGCGAGTTCTGGTAGGAGCCGTTGTAGGAGGGCGTTCCGGGAAATTGCTGGGGAGAAGGCGGGTAATTTATGTCTGGAAAGGAGTCGAAGTTGGGGTTGCCGAGAGAGGCGAAGTCAGGGGAAGAATCGGGCTGATGGAACGGATCCATGGTGGTCGACTATATAAGTGAAGGGACGAGTAGCGAGTCGACGCGAGGAGCCTTTGAGCGAAACGAGAGATCTACCAAGTGAGGCTGTTCACGCGCAGGCTGTGCGGTCACCGTACAAACTGACTTCACGGTTCGTGCTAGGAGAAAGAGCGAGAGATCCGCCAGGCCTCCCATCCTCCGCAATCTCCCCTTCCTCTTTCCCACGCTTCGATCACCGACGCCTTCCAAGCCCATCTCTTTTTTCCTCCTCATTTCTTGTTCTTTTCCTCGTCCTCCTCCGCCCCCCCTCTCTCACCGTTCCTCCCCCTCCTCCCCCACTACGTCTCTTAATTGCACAGCAGCTGCACAGGCCCACAGCCTCCCAAGAGGCGATGCAACAATTATGGCTTTCCTTCCCAAAGATGCGGTGCCCCAACACGTGCGGGCTAGCGTCTCGTTGCCTGGGCGTCTAACCTCTTCGGTCCTCCGCGATGATGTGATGATCGCTCTCATCATCATCGACGCTGACGATGGCCTCTACAAAGTCTCTGTGCAGTCGTCTGTCATCGCTCTATCCAGCCATCGTCTCTGCACAACATCCCTCGTCGTTCGACGTTCAACCAACATCAGAGTATCCGCGCAATGACTCGACGACGGCCTCCGAGATCCCCATCATTTATTTATAGCCTTGGCATCATACATCCCTCGCTAACCTCCACCTTCCACAAGCCGCGTACGAATCGTCGACCATATCGAGGTGCACTTTGTGAACACTGAAAGGGAGTGACTTGACGAATTCGGCTTCACAAAGTCGGTCAACTTGGACCTCCGTGCCTGCCACAGTAATAGTACAGTGCTCCTATTCCTGTCGTTGGACGCCCATGAATCGTTGAACCTGGCAAGATCGATGCTGTTCTCCAAAGTCCATTTCCTCGTGTATGGATGTACATGTACATACATCGAGTCGTCCTTCTCCCGTACTGTACAGCGCATTGTCGATCCTTCGCACGTACATACATACAATAAACCCTTGTCCTCCGTCCCACATTCCTCCACCTTGCAGGAACATGTTACATATTACATCGCCAACGCCACCGTGAACTTCCCCTCCACCCACGGCGTCTGTTTTCAAACTGGCAACTAGGGCTTCAAAGCGGCTGCGCGGGTACAATACTGTACAAGACAAGGTCTGTTTTCGTTAACCCTCTCCGCTACTCCAAACCCCGGACCTCCGGACTGACCGAACGGCGAACGGTATCGGTGAACGGCTATCATGCTACCCTCTGTCCAGTCTGTAAGAATAACTTCACCGTCCCCTCTTAACTTATACTCGGCAGTTGGCAGTCAGCGCTCAGCACCACCGGCGCCGGCGTCTCCACTCTACATACAACTATTCCGATACCATACCGAAGTATAGACAGTCCTTCTGCTTCCTTCTACTCTTCTAGCTTTGCAGGTCCTTCTAGCTCTGCAAAGCCATGCATCGCCTCCAGGTTTATGCTTATTGGGCGCCCGGAACTTTGCGACTTGCAATTGGGGACTCTTGACGATCTCAGGCTGCTACGGTGGCTTGCTTCTCTGGCGGCTACTGCTTATAACACTTCCTCGAACGACGAACTGGACATGTTCTGCGACTTGGGAGGACTGCATAGCCTACATGCTCAACAGAAATGAGGATGAAGGAAGTATGAGCTCGTGGGTGCGTATGTATGTGTGTGTGTGTAGGTCCATAGTAATAGTAATAATCGATCGAAGGGCTGGATTGGACACTGCAGGCTGGGGAAGGGGAAGAGAGCACAGCATCGTCATCGACGTTCATTCTTATTTCTATTTCTTATTATAAAGTTGAGTCAGAGTTTGGAAGGAAGGTTTGCCTCGAGGTTTCGTGGTCGCAACTTGCTGTGAGTCCGAGTCTCGACATCGCTGCATCGTAGGATCATAGTATCGTAGCATCATAGCATCCCGTCATCTCGTGCATCGAGGCAGAAGCGGTCCCGACACGCTTCACCGTGACGACGACTCGATCCCGGTAACTTGATTTGCACCGTGCTGGCATTTGTCTCGAGATATAGCACAGCAGGATCGACGCCCTGCAATATGCATATGGAGGTTATGTATCCTCTCTCTTCGCTCTTTCCGCCCGGTCTCGAACCATGTTGGCCGTCAAGCTTCAAAGCTTCAAGATACATACCTCGATTTCCGGATCGCAGGCTCTCATCTCGCGACTCGGAATGCTTCTTCAGGCCATCTAGCGATATGTACCGACACCGTGACGTCGTGGTGCCTGCATGCTGTCTGGCAATATCCCGGTATCACAGTCTCAGCGTCCCAGGATACTGCACCATGACGCGAACTCGCGGAAGGAAGGACGGGTTTGGTACGTCCTACATATATTTCCTTGCAGTCTGTGTAAGAGTGCTCACTCTATTCTCTTGGTAGGATAGGGCTGCCACCGACGGTCGGCATTGCGGTTTGTTTACATGCCTTGCACGCAGACTGAATGATTCGTTCTTTCTTGGAATCATGATGCATGTATTATATAATATATCTCGATTCGTACGTCGACGGTTGTAACACCCGATCGATCCTACCGTTCCTCGTGCGGACGTCCCGCCGTCCTTATCCAAGTCCGTTCATCTCCAGGTAAGTTACGGCTACTTGTCATTTTCATTTTCCCAGTGATACTTGATACAAACCGACCACCCCGTCATGTTCATAGCTCGTCACTGGCACTGGTCCGGACCAAAATACAAGCAGCTTTTTTTTTTGTTTCGAAGATCCTGAGCCGAATCCGAATGTTCGTGCTTGTTGCCCACGGTCGCCAGAGCCGCCACTCGCAGGCAAAAAAAAA